ACATCTGGGCCAACTTGACGATTTCAAGTGACACGTACAAGCTCAGAGGCAACATCGTGTTCAGCATTATGATGAAGGAGGTCAAAACGTGACCAAAAGGCACTTTCGCATCCTGGAGGTACCACGATTTCTCCTCAGTTGTCCGACGCCAAATCTGATATGCCACAGTCAGGATGATGGCCATGAAGATGACGAGGGACGCCACGAAAATGACGACTTTGTTAACCTTGGCCTGTAACGTCGGTGCTTTGACCCGCGGAGTCTTGTTAGCATTCATACGTATTTTGCACTCCTCGCCAGAATAGATGACCAAGCCAACTGCAGATGGAGTATTGCGCAGGACACTACCACGATACAAGACTTCCGAATTGGTCAGTGGTAGTGTCGATCCGTTAATCGTTACCCTGCCATCGAATTTGTAGAGATCTAGGTTCGGATCCTCGACCACGAATTCAGCCGGCAGCCTGGCGATGGCATCGAGATCTTGACAAGCGGCACTCACTTCGCCGACAGGCTTTCTGGATTTGAGGTTCGTTTCACCATCAAGGCTTTTCGTCTCGACGTAAGCAGTGTTCGCGGGGTCGTCACTGTGAAGCAGTATCAAGTCGGCAGGAATTCCAGCATCTCTCTTCAGTTGTACGATATCGCCAACACGGATTGCGCTCCAAGTTTTCTCCTGCCATTCCGTATTGGTAGAGCCAGATGAGGAAATCCTGAGAACCTGCGTGATTCTTTCGTTCTCCTCCTTGTCCAGGCGATGTCTCCTAATGTCGTCATATCCTTCTTTGGCCATGGATAGAGCAACAAAGATCAGAAGCGGGATTATGGTGGTGTACGTCCCTGTGGTACTCAGACCGGGTATCATTTGAAGTATGGAAACGCACAGGAAGTAGAAGTTCGCGAGTTTTCCAAATTGGGCGACAAGCTGTCTGGGGACAAAGTTCCAGGGCGTGTAGCGACAAGAACGGATGACGTTGCTGATGTAGGGCTTGCCAGTCCTCTCGTCGAGGGCGTGATCAGCCTCTATCACATTCACTCTGATATGCCGTCCATCAAGACTGGGCGGAATGGTGTTGGCTCGAATGATTTTGTCCCGTAACAGGAGGTATCTTTCTGTGAGGCGCTTGAGTAGAGTTGAGCGAGAATGGTGTGTAGACATCCATCGTCGGTACAACGGCAGCTCGAGGTCTGAATCCGATAATCGAACAGGTCTGCGCGCATCGGGTTCTTCTTCCGCCTCCTCAATAGTGATCGTGGTCGGGCGAGAGTCAATCTTTGGTGCGTCGGCCCCAGCCTTTGAAGGATCCATCTCAAATGTACCTGCATTCTCCGAAGCCTGCCTCTGGATATTCTGTGCGAAAAGCGAACGTCTGAGGGAGTATCCCCGGCTGCGGCCCACGGATGGGCTCTTAAGTATGCCAGCATGAGGACGAGCAGAAGTTTTGATCTCCCTCGTTCGTATATCCTCCTCTGTCTCTCGGGGCAGTTCGATCGAGAAGCGAACTTTGGACGTGTCGCCGACAGAAGATTTCTTCACAGTCAAATCCGCTGTATCTTGGGTCGATTCCCCATTTGTACCGACGTGATATGTGTCCTCGCTTAAAGATTCCCGCTCACTGTCGTCGCGATTTTGACCACCAGGGCCTTCTGACGGGTTTGCTGCCATTGCGAACCTCTCGAAAGACTTCTAGGAACGGGCGCAAAGGGGTGGTACGGCTTGAATGTTTCATCGGCGCAGTTCTCTCCGAGGGTTGAATTCACTTGTTGGGGGCAAAGAATGGGAGACGAAAAAGTTCCTTTGTGAAGAGATGGACTCGACGAAGGTCAACTTCACGTATCCGAAACAAAGACATTGCTCAGAAGGTGATGGCGACGCAGAAACGATGTGTCTCAGATTGCGCGGCTGTCCAAAGGGACAGTTGGGCGAGTTCGTGTAGAGGCGGTGGCAGTGCATTGAAATGTTGCGCAAACAGCAGATTCAACGGATCTCCGAACCCCCCAGTGAGACCAGGACAGGCGGTGCTAGGGCGTGTTCGCCACGCCCACCAAACAGGATCGCAGGAACCTGCAACAGCGTGGCAGCGGGCACACCCCGACGTCAAAAATGTGGGCAGATGGTGGGGTTTGGACGGGCATCGCTTGAGCCTCCCACTCTCCCTGGGCGGGCTGTCCTCGGCGTAACAAGGTGAACAGGTGGGTGTGACATCACGCCCAGATCACCTTTGGCACCCATGGCACCTACTCGGTAAACAAGTCCTCGTATCGCTTTGAGTCAACCACTCGTCTTCCCTGATGCAACCTTTTCTAACAACTTTTCTTCCCCCGGTGCAGTAACGAATTGCCCAAATGGGTCTGGTCTGTCTTTGGGGTTCACTTCCTTCTCTGTCGATCATCCTCAATCGCTGACGCAGTTCGTGCGATCGTCTTCACGTCGTCTACAATTGGTATGGTCGACAATGCCTTTTGTCGACTGAAGTGAAAAGGTTTCCGCCATAGTTGCATCGACGTCGTGCACCGGTGTCTAGAGGATGAGGAGCAGAATCAAAGGGAAAGTGCGACAACACACAAGTCGGAATACATGCGAGGTACAGTTGAAAGAAAGCCTCGGCAGTCGTTAGGTCCATTGCTGCGCAGTATTTGACACACTCACTTCATTCAGACCTCAGGTCCTGAGGCATGGCTCCCAGGTGCCAGCTCAGGTGCTGGTATTTCGATTGAACGTGGCTGCCACCCACACAACCGAACCACTTTTCAACTCCCTGATCGATCCCTGGCCTTTGCATGTCATTCGGCCGCTTGAGATATTGAGACTCACAGAGATCCTAACGTGCTTGCAGTTGTCACTCAAGCCAAGGGGGGGAATCTCCTTTCGGGAGTTCATGGACCATGCCCAAGTCACAGCATTCCCCTGAAACCCGGACCATATGGTCGAAGACATATGGAGCCTCCTGCTGGTCTATGAGCGCAACAATCGAAACCAAAGAGTTCGGCGACGACCATCAATCGTACTTTATAAAGGTACGATTGGAGTTCTCTCCTTCTTTTCTCTCTCTTTCTATTCGCGGGAAGATTTCTCTCTCTTTCTATTCGCGGGAAGATGCCTCAGGACATATGGCACTGGAAGGGGAAAGAAGGTGAGAACAAGGTTTTGCGGGAGGAGAGACTGAAAGAAAAAGGGGGCCATGCCGGTTGAGAGTAGAAGATGCCCACTGCACGACATTGACAACATCGACTCAAAAGCCATGTCAATGATGAAGAAGCTGGGGCGACGAGGCTCTTCTCGCGGCAGAAGTCACGCAGACTCCGGACAAGAATGAGCGTCGGGGTGCGGGAGGGGGTAGCTCAGGCCATGGGTGAAGGTCATGGACAACGTCCACATTACACCTTGATCGTTTTCCAGGTGTCCAGTATTGTTTAGGAGCGGAATAATGCATCTCGATTTCCATCTTGATTCTGAATCTGCCCCGGGCTTATTAGTCGTCCCACGAACTTGGATACCCACCAGCAAGACACCTGCATGTCTTAGTCCCGGCGGCTTGTACAATGTGCATTTACTGCGAAGAAGAGGATACCCACAAGGTCGACACCCAGCTCGTCATTGTCCATAGCAATTTTCGACCTCCATTTTGCGCTCATGTGGTTTGATATAGGGTCTCGACGAATCCAGGGGAGCATCAACCTTGTCTCGAGCAACCTCGTTTCTGTTGCTCAGCTCAGCGTTATCGAACCATATCGTTCCCCTTCAATGGAGTTCAACATCCTGACATGTCGCAACGACAACAGCGTGCATCATGACGGGATCAGTGAGGATGTGTTCGCATCATAATTCACACAGGGTTCGAAGAGGCGTGGCTTGAGACGTGGGCCAAAAGAGCATCAAAGTGCCTCCACGCAATGCGTTTACTGCCTTGTTACCAATGACAGCAGCAAGTTGACCAATGCCCTAGCGTACGAGCCACTGGAAGTTTTTCGAAGAGGAGTTGGGAGGCGCAGGCTACCCTTGCCGAAGGAAAGGACCTCTCGTCCGACAGGATCATATCAGCCGTCCATCAAGCTCAATGATCCGGAGCAGTCGACGTCGAATGCCCCTGGATTGATGACGACAGACGAAGTGTCTAGGCTGATGACCGAGAAGCTCGTCCGTGTCCGAAGAATTCGGCCAATCTACTCTGCAGCACTCTGTTTCCCAAAGAAGTCATAACATCAAGCCCCAAATCCGTCTTCACACAGAGAGTGCCCACCCACTGGCACTTGGTCCCACCAAGGGACAAAAGCCAGGCCCGCTGATTTGGATGGTTCTAGAGCACCTCCCGCCTCTCTTTGATGCAAGTACTCTGATGAGGGCATCCTCAGATGTCCTAGGTTGGAGACAGTATCGTTGATATCAGAGCACGCAAGACCACGGGCATCGGCTGACATGTCTGGACTTCGATCAACGCGCCAGGTCACGAAGTTCATTTGACCAAATCTCGAGTGTGGAGAAACGATGATCGAGTATCCTCATGCAAGTGCAAAGGAGCCATCGTCAATGCGGAAAAGATAATGCGGAAAGGGTACGACGTACTGTGTGAGCCATTGCGGGCGTGGACGTGATAGAAATAAAGCTTCGGACGAACGACGGGCGGACACGGTCGGCCGTCTTTTGGTCAACTTCCCTAATACTCAAACAACGTCAGCTGATCCGGGTATAAGCTGAGCTGACTTTGCACAATTCTTATCCACAACAAGCTTCAGCCTTGTCTTTGACGTTGTCCATGTTGACTTCTGGCGCAATGAAGGCCCTTGTGCTATCTTTGCTGACAGATCAGAGCAATGCTCTGGTCTGCAGGTTCATCAGAGAACCCACCTGGTCCCAACGACATGCGCATTGCTCCAGTATGGCCGCCTCACCCGCAGAAACAAGATATAAGGATGGAAGAGCATTGTGAAAAGAGAGGGACCAGAGGGTCAGCAGAAAGCAATCAAACAAGGGGATGCAAAGGGCGGTGGAAAACAACAGAATGGCCGACGCACACCAAACAAAAGTGACAAACTCAGCTTCAGACCCTTCATCGCTCCATGGCAAGACAGCTTTGGTCACTGGCGGTTCCCGAGGGGTTAGTATCTGCCTTCTTGCTGATGGAGACTCGATCGTGTGGAATGAGTATGATCTAAATTTTTGGCATTCTCATATAGATCGGTGCCGGCATCGCGCTTCAGTTTGTCCGCAAAGGCGTCGCTGCCATTGCAATAACATACGCCACCAACCTCAAAGCAGCCGAGGAGACCTTGTCCAAATGCCGCTCCGTCTCCCCGAATCTGAAAACAGCCGCTATTCAGGCCGATGTCCTCGATCCATGCGTCGGTCCAAAGCTCATTCCAAAGGTGCTGGAGGGGCTGGGGACAGACAAGATCGACATCGTCGTCAACAATGCCGCCCTCGTCAATGACCTCAGTCTGATGCAGCCATTCGCAGACATAACCGCTGACGTTTTCGGAAAGACAATGCAGGGCAACGTCTTCGGAGCAATGAGCATCATCAACTCGGCGTTGCCGCATTTTCCACCCAAGGGTGGTAGAGTGATCAACATCTCGAGCATTGCCAGTAAAATGGCCAATTCGGATCCACTCCTGACGTACGGAGCATCCAAAGCCGCATTGGACAGTATCACACGATCGTTGGCGAGTTTCTTGAGCGTGAAGACCGGCGCAACATTCAACAGTGTGTCTGTGGGACCAACCAGCACGGATCCGGTAAAGGCGGTGGCCCAGGAATTTGGGGAGGCGTTTGTCGAGGACGCAACCAAGCTGCTCACGGTCGAAAGAAGGTTGGCAGAGCCCGAGGACATCGCCTTTGTGGTCGGGTTCCTGGCAAGTGACGGGGCGAGATGGATCAATGGGTCGCACATTCCGGCAAATGGGGGAAACAAGGAATTATTGGCTCTGCAGGGATAGAAGACCTCAAAGCAAACCGCCGAAGGCGGCCTAAATCTTCATGATAGCTAAATACGAGAGCCGATTGATCTCCAGGTAGTCTCTTGATCCTCGTCGGTCCCTTGTAGCCAAATAGTGACACGGTGACCTGCAATTTCTCCGTCTTGAAGTGCTGTATGCTTCGAAATGCTCAGAATTTCCGATGAGAACGCGGTGAGTGTCGGTGAGCATGACAACAGGACGCTCCTGGAATACTCGAGCAGGTACTCATACTGGGCGGTTCTCGTCACGGGGAAACCTTCAGGGTATTGTGCCTGTGCGGTCACTGTGGGCGCCTTGCCATGTCGTGTGTTCAGTGCAAGAGAGTGCTTCTTGTGTTGCAGCCACTCAAAGATCGCAGGTCTCTTTTGCTGAGCTTTAAGCCTCAAAGTGTCAGGATTTTGCTGGTCACCCTCAGAACAGGGCATGTCCAAGTCTTCTCCACTACAAGGTAACGACGGCTTGGGGATGTTGGTGGCAGCATGTAGTCCGCGCTTGGGGCAACCTTTACATGGTGGTGTGATTGGGACTTCCGAAGCCTTCGCCCATCGCCTTCCATTTCTGGACGGCAGCACTCCCTTGGACAATAGTTTATCACAAAGTGGTGTCTCAGTAGCTCTTTCCCTGGGATTCCGGCCACAGTGGAGCTCATGCTCTATTGTATCAGTGATACACATTCGATCGACCCACTCCTGCAACTCCAAGGCTGAGGCAAGGGTGGAAGCCTCCATGGCAGCCGCTGAATGAATACCAGAAAATCGTGGCCGGTGGAGGGTCGGTCGTTCAGAAGATCCGCGGTTTTTGGCGTCGTAGGGAAAGGTAGTCTGTACTGGTAGGGAGGATCTGGGATGTTGACAGGATTAAGGACTGTTGATGTAGTGTATGCTTATAATGATTTTGAAGAACGACCGAAAAAGAATATGACATATAAAGAACAGAACTGCATTGAAGAGATGGCAAGTGATGTTGAAACAGTACGATGCTGGCTGGGCCAAAGATAAGGATTTTGAGAACAAAGGATTGAGAAGTGTTTGCTCCAGGCGGAAGGCCCATTCTGCAGCAAATTGAAGTTCAAGGAGTAGGAAGATGGGGAGGAAAGAGCTGTAGAGCCCAAGAAACAAAAAGCGCAGTCGAAGATGAGAATCTCTTGATCAACCCGAGTGGCAACCGAACAGCATCGTCTCTGTCCGTACACCTTTCCAACCTGACATCCTCCCTGTTTGTGAAGCAGGACAGCATAGAGTACAAAATCCTGAAGTATACATACCTTGAATGGAAACCGACAGATCTATAGTCGCCCCAACTTCCATCTGGCAATGCGCGACTGTACATCCTCCCATGGTATTTGCTTGACTTTTTTCCCACTCAAGTCTTCCCCCTCTTGGATTACCACAGTCGGTGCGCCAGTTCCGTGGCCATTGTTGTCCACCTTTCCAGTGAATATCTGTGTAGCCACACGTCTCAGATCGGCAACTGTGAGAGCATCGATTTTTTCGCACATTTCCTTGACGCCGACCTTTCGTCCATGAACTTGGACTTGTCGACCAAGGTCTTCCAATTCAACCAGCCTCGACTCGAGATTCATCAGGAGGCTAAAACGCAGTTGGTTTTTCGCGCGATTGACTTCGGCAATGTTCAGACTGGAGAAGCCGGATTCTAATGTCAGAGCTTGTAGTTCGCGGCAAATCACGTCCACCATATGACCGACTCGACCTGGCTCACATGCCCCAGCGATGCCGAAGAGACCACTGTCAGTATAACTGTGGTTGAATGCCACACAGCTCTCAACCCATCCGTGCTGGTTGAGGACATTTGTGTAGAGTCGAGAATACATTCCTTTACCAGGACCGCCAGCCGAGAATGAACCCCCGCCGCCCAGCAGAGTCTGAAGTGTGGCCTGAGCATAAATGTCTTCTGAAGAAATGGGGAGACCCTCAAATGCAACATGCACGTACGACAGGGGGATTGTGAATTTATTCGGTGGTGGAGGAAGCGTCGGGAGTGCCAGATACCCTCCAGTATAATGGGATGGCATTGTGAGAAGGGATTCTGGAGGAGGTTGAATTAGAGAAGGATCGAGAGGCGACACAGTTGCTTGATGAGGTGCAGACGTGGAGAAGCTATTGAAACCAGGAATCTTAGATAAAAGCCTGCTTGCAGAAGATTGAGGTGGAAGTTGCTGTGTATTTGGTTGCGGTGAACTCGGTTCGGTAGATTGCGACGTAATTTGTGATAGCGATGGTTGTTCAGATTTGGGCATGTCTCCAAAGTATTTTTCCGTCAAACGAACGGCTTCCTCGTGCGGGATGCCGGCGAAAGCGACCACTATCCGCTCTGGCTTGTAAAAGACGCTCCGGTATTTTTCAATCAATCCCTTCGTGATGTAAGGCAATCTCTCTCGAGGACATAGAAGAGGATGGCCCAAGGTGTTATCCTTGTAGGCGGCCATGTGCAATAGTTCGGGAATGATTAGATCTGGCTTGGCCCATATTTCTTGGATCTCATATTCGGCGGTTTCCAATTGTTGTGCCACCTCTTCATCTGTGATTAAAGGATCTCGAATCGTTTCCGCGAGCAGGGCGATGGTGTCGGGGACGCTGGCATTAAACGTGGCGGACTGGTACATCAGAGCCTCTCTCGACGACGCACACTGAATGTTTCCTCCCAGCGATTCCAACGCCTCGAACATCTGGTCTGCAGTCCTTGCTTTCGTTGATTTGAAGGCTAGCCGATCCACAATATGACTGACGCCTCGAAGAGAGTCGTCCTCATATCGCGACCCGGCATCGAGGTAGACCCCGACGCCTGAGAAAGGGCCCGGTAGTGATTCTGTTGCGACTCGAACGCCATTTGGCAACTGGGTAATATGGTCTAGTTCAACAGGATCCTGAGGAAACACGGTGGTCAGACAAATATCACTTGCTTATCAAGGTGTGGAAGTGCAGACGTACTTTGTGCAGAGGATCTCTGATGGTCGCATAGTTCCTCCCTAGAGGCCTTGGGGCCTTGGTAGATAGCCTCGCATTGCGCAGTGCCCTGACTGCTGCAGTGCGCATGCTGGTGATTATGGACGGGACGGAGGAGATAAAAAGGACGGAAGGAAGTCGCCGCAATCGAGGTCAAAGCGATCAAGAAAATGATGTCCGCAGGCAAATTGAGCAAGATGTTTGAGCCACCGGCTGTGGAGGCTTTTGTGGGGATGAGGACGCCGTGATACGATAGGCTAGACGTGGTGGCCTCCTCTGTTGTAGGGCTGTCACTCTGTCTGACAATAGCCTGAGTGCACACGGTAAACAGATGGATGGATAGACAGAGCGACTAACTGGATGAGATAGAGATCAAGAGGCGATCACAGGCGTTGTGGTTCGTCTGACCTGCGGCTGACCAGTTGGTGCCTGTAGCCGACTTTGATATGCTCGATGACATCGATGGCCGCCCGCTGTGATCAAGTGGACTGCGTCCCCTTGTGCTCGGTAGAGAAAGGAGTTGATCGTTTATTATTCTTCCTAATCCCCTGGGCACTTGGTATCCTGGTATCCTGTCCATTCCCCTCTTAACAGGTCTCGAATATCCCCCCGAGTTCATGTCGTTGTCCGTGTATTTGATGTCCCACGTTCTCTTTCCTCCCTGACTTTTAGGCGCCTCTCCGCCAATTGAAGTTGCCCTGGATTGGGGCCCTGCGCAACCACACAAGCCACTCCCCTAAAACTTCTTGGTACCAACAACATCCCTGCCGTGTCCTTTCCCACTCACTGAGGCCCTGCCTGTCGAATTGCGGGCACATCCTACATCATCTTATCCACCATCTTGTTTACAAAAGTTACCAGACCCAGACCCTTTTGCTCTGCCTGCGCGATTGAGTCCGAGCCTGGGCCTTATCGGAGGCGCATCTTACACCAAGCCGGATGAGTCTGCGAGATTGTTCGATACGAAAGAGCGACATTCTGGGTTCGGTTGTTGTCGTTGCCATTGCTGCTTACTACCGCCGTTGCCGCCTGTTCCTGTAGTGCGGTGTTCCTGCCCACAACCACCTACAATACCACGCCCTGTCTTGGGACTCAGACTCAATCCGTGCACGCCTCCTTCACGTCCTTTCCCATGATCTCACCGTCTGCCGCTGTCACGTCCCCAGTGGCTGCCGAACCCAGTGTCAACAGGACCACATCTGCAAGGCGCCGAGGTTTGAGTTACCTCCGTGCTCTATCGCACAATCGTTCATCGGGTGGAACGAGCCCGAACGAACCCTCCCGTTCGCCTAGACACTATTTCCAGAGATCACTCAGTTACAACGAGAATCGACCAGACCCGGTGACAAGTCGACGACGGAGCACGTCTCGTCCAAACGAACCTACAGCCTTCCTCTCCTCGGACCCGCGTCAAGTCGGGACGAGGACACCTTCACCCCGCGTCGAGCAGGAACCAACCGCAGATCAAGTGGAAAACACGAGTGCAGAGGATATGGCGAGACATCGGTCATCCACATTGAGAAGGACTGTAAGCAACAACAATCCTCAGGCTAGTGCCTCAGTGGCAGCAGAAGCATCAGATTCTGCCCCGAGATCGGCACATGTAAGAACCAACAAGACTACTTCGGGTACAAAAGGAGAGACACAGGAAGGGGAAACGAAGCAACCGTTACCTACGATTCGTTTCTTTCCCCACCAGGAAATTAGGAATGGAAGACCGTCTCTTAACTTCTCCCCGATCACGCGAACCTTGCCCAGCGAGCATTCTATCATAAGAGTCGGTCGGTATTCTGAGCGTGAGGGTGTGCCATCGGCTAATCCCATTGGTCCCTCTGATGCTCCTGTCGGCTTCAAGTCCAAGGTCGTCAGTCGAAAACACTGCGAGTTCAGCTTTCTCGATGGCCAATGGCAGATCAAAGATGTCGCATCCTCCTCTGGCACTTTCTTGAACCATATCAGATTAAGTCAACCCAACACCGAGTCGAGACTATTCCCAATTAAAGATGGTGATATCGTCCAACTGGGTATTGACTTCCGCGGCGGAGAGGAAATGATCTTTCGTTGTGTCAAGATCCGCATTGAATGCAACCGGGCCTGGCAAAAGAAACCAAACAATTTCAAGTAAGCCACCTCCTAAGGTCTCGATGGCAGAGACTGACAATGTGTCACAGCAAAAGCAGGCATCAACAACTGCAGAGTCTTGCCAAGGACCAACCCTCTGCCGATACTAACAGTGGTGAATGTTCAATTTGTCTCGGTTCTGTCTTGGTAAGATCTTACAGACCCAACAACTCCCCATCGCTAACCGCCTTCCCAGCCCTGTCAAGCGTTGTTTGTCGCCCCGTGCGCACATGTCTGGCACTACAAATGTATTCGACCTCTACTCGAAGGCAAAAACAGTGTTTATCCGCAGTTCCAATGTCCAAATTGCAGGGCTTATTCAGATCTAACTGCCGATGTCGACCTCGCTCAGTCCGATATAGACGAATGGCTGGAGAATACTGATGATCCTGAGAACCAAACCGCCGAGGCCAGTGCCGATGCTACTATTGAAGGAAATCATGCTCCCGATGCACACATCAATGGTCAAGTGACAGGCGGACCAGACCCCGGCAATGCGGCCGTGCCAACTACGACCTTGAATGGAGATGACCCTCAAATAAATATAATCCCTGAAAATCCTCCCGTCACTATATCTCAATCCGAACCCACCAACGACAATCCTTCTCCGGCAACTCCGAACACCTCAGGACTCCTGGCCCGGAGGCAAGCTACCAATCCGCGTTCATCCGAGCTTTCAATGAGCGGTAATATCGACATGCCTGATCAACCGGTCGAGGACGAGATGCAGGCTGAGCTCGAACAGCAACGTACCAGCACGCAAACCCCGGACCCCGACCAAGTGGTTGTCGTGGAGGGGCCGTTAACCCCCAGGAATAATGCCGGCCCCTTTGTCTTTGACGGTAGTGCTGGCAGGTCCGATGCGAGACAGTTGATGGTACCAGGGATGGCGGATGTTGCTGATGGAAACCGATCGTCATGAATGGGTTAGAGGTCAACTCTGATAGACCTTCTGAAGAACCTGATAGGAGCGGTCTGTAGAACGAAGCATGGAGGGGACAGTGTCGGACCCGATACTCTGGTGACCCAGGGATAGAAAATGAAGGCAGGGTCACGACGACACAGACTTGAATCGTGGGACCAAAAGAAGAAGCAGATCCCACTTGCAAGGTCAGGATCAGTGTCTCCCAAAATCCGGTGTTAGCGATATTCTTTGATTGAGCGGGTTATCTATAGCATCCCTGATTGAAGTATACTTAGTGTTTGTCCTATGTTGTTCCATCTCCAGCCGATGCTGCATGTACGACATGGAGTAATTTTGTAATTTTGTACTCGATATCTCTTGTGTTTCAAGTGTCTGTGGAGTCTATTGTGAAGGGTGTGGAGGTGTGGAAGTGTATACACAGACATTTACAGATTATAGACCATGCCCAAACTATACTTCATCCCTTGGTAAGTTTGAGCAAATTGGAGTTTTTCGGAGCATAGAAACACGAGGATACAGTGGTAAGGACAAGAATATGTCTTTGCGTGCGCGCTCTCAAAGGACCCGACAAGAGCCTTTGGACCATTTAGATATTCAAAGCGCCTCTCTGTCTCTCTTACGTCGAGACGTCTAACCCTTTGGATCTAACTAGCTGCCTTTGAGCTCCCTCTCAGAGCACGCCGGTTAGGTAGGAACGGCACAAGCCTGCTGTCTGTCTTCGTGGCGAACCGTTCGTCCGGGTTCTCAGTCTTTGCTCTGTGCTTTGTCGGATTAGCCCCCCCTTTTCAGTACTGATCCCAGTCAAACAAGTTCGCTGGTCTTTGGCCCCGGATCTCTGGGATATCACCACTGCGCAGCTCTCCACGCGCGCGCGCACAAAGAAACCTTCTTCCGTTGATATTACCACACTCTCACGATCTACCTCTATAGGGGTGCGCTGCATCAATTGTTGAAGACTTGGGCCCTTTGTGAAATGAGGCATTGTCCGTGATCAGCCACCGAATGGGCGCCGAGGCCATGGTCTGCGAGAGTGTCAAACAGTGGTTGCTCGATGAATTCTTCAAAAAAAGACCGTGTCATCGAGCTAGGAAGGTAAGGGCTTGTCTCAAAGCAGTTCAAGCAGTGGTGATCAACATGGGCAGAAGAAATGGGCTTCAGGTCGCCCGCCTCGGCCGTTGTAAGGTGTCTGGGTGTGTACGCGTGCTCGCTTAAGCGACAAAATGTTGGCTCGTAGGGTCCCCAACGGTTCGCGAAAAGTGATTGCACTTGGCAATTGGCCTCCTTCATCTTCATGTGCTGAAGCATCTGATGCTGGGAAGAACGTTGGCCACGCCTGTGCAGTTATGCTTTAGCCAGAGCCTGGGCGATTCCATCTCTTGGATAGCCAGAAACAGATCGCAATCGCTAGAAACAAGCCTGCATATGTAACGCCGCTTTGTTGCAGACTTGTACAAGATCCAGCCGGGCGAATGGTGTCATCTTCTCCGGAGGCCGTGTATGTCGCCAACGAGTTCTTTAGTGTCTGTATATTGTCCCATCCAACACTTGTTTATCACGGGACCCAGGACCAAATGGCCAACAGGGGGGAACTGTTTCGCACGGAACAGAGACGTGATATCCGACAACGGCTTGTCGTCGTAGGGTTCGAGTCCTGTTGATAACTCGTAGAGGAGGCTTCCGAGAGCGAAGAGTTCGGTCTCGATACTTGAGTCATCACTCCAGGGGCATTGGGCCCGATAGCCTGCCAGGACCAGCGGTTCTGAGCCATCTAATGACGATCCTGCGAAGTCGCACAACTTGAGATTGGAGCGGGATTTGTCAATCAAGACATTGTGCGCGCCGATGTCGACGTGGTGTACACCTTTACTGTGCAAGTACATGTACCCTTCGGCGAGCTGTGCGGCGAAAAGGAATATCTGCTCGTCGGACAATGGTCGCGCTCCGGGTTGTCGCAGAAACATTCGTAGGGACATGTCCATCCGTTCCAGTACAAGCCGGTTCTTTGCCCCCTGGGAAACGTGATATGCTTCGACAAATCGAGGGTGGCGCCCGAGGCGGAGGTATATGGCGCATTCGACCGCGTGGAGGTTGAGATCATCAGGTTTCGGGACTTTGACGACAGCATCCGCATTCACCTCGTGAACGAAACTCGATGTACCGCCTGTGAGCAATGTATCTGGTTACACACGAAAGGAGGTGTAGTCAGTTGGCTCAGTCGGCATCATGAACAGTAGAAATGCTCAGGAGCTGCATCGAGTCAAGAGTATTGTTTACACCGCCGGAACCTGTAAACCGTAGCTATAGTCCTAACTAGGCAGGTGACACATATTGTCAAGGCTGTATCGTTTTCCCATGTATTACCCCTCTCATAGTGACAAGAGTCTGCCTGGCTTCGCCTTGGATCACCGTAGCTCTACTCTTGACGCGTGGTATTGGTACTATAGTAGAACTCACTTGAACAATCCGCATTTCGCTGCTCTGGCTGGCTCTCACTCTACTATAAATACTCTAGTACAACTGCGATCTAATGCCCTCAAGCCTGAACTTGACGTCCCTCAACACTTTGGTTTTGGGTTCCCACTCGTCAAATTGCTCGAGTAACTGTCTTGCCTCGTCTCTGAGGTCCTTCTTCACAATGTCTTCTTCTAAAATCCCGCGCATGGCAAAGGGGAGGATGTAGGGATTGGTGTTCGCGGTGCTGCTACTGCTGCTTCCACCTCCACCGCTGCCGCCACCCGTCAAGAGCGCCTGTCGCTTCGAGCTGGATATTGGCACATCTTTGGTAGAGGTAGTCTCGAGGGCAAACGCAATAGCAAGACGGTACACGGCATCATCTTCGTACAGTCTGGAATGTCCTTCTCCGGTGTACAGCGAACCTGCCAGAGGTGTGGACAACTCTCTGATCAATCCGTGATCTGGTACGCCCACATTTCTCAACTTCAATACGAACCCCACAAGGTTACTCAGAAAGTTGGGAGCGTGGATTCTCGAGTCAATGGAGACGGCGCGGTAGATATGTGGATGTGTCAGTGGTGCAAAAATCGACGACTCCATCGATACCAACTGATCGTCAATGCTCCCCACGAAAGTGACTTTCACCCCAAACTTCAGACATTCAGCAATGGCAGCCATATAGTCTTGGGAAACTTTCGAGTTGGGGTCTGTGAATTCGAACAACTCCCCCGCGGATCCAGTTATCCAAGGAGATTTGTAGTCCTGAAACGGGCCCATATTCACACCTGCCATGGCGCAGACACCAACGCGGGCAGTCGGTGAGAGACAGCCAAAATGGATCAATTTGGCCACTAGCATTATTGCGACAGGGACGCCTTGGGAATGAGCTGCGATCATGACGAACTCAGATCTTCGGATTTCGTCGATCCAGTTCAGGAGCAGTTTCCACAACAACTCGACACGTTCGGCAATCCGTCCTTCACCTTCCAGGGCCGCTGTCTTGACTTCGCATTCATACCCTTGTGATTTAGTATATCTGCGAATGTTTTGCGCCGCCTTTTCGGCGAATTTTATGCTTGTACCGGTGGGTTGCCCCAGAAGCGATCGGACCATGGGACCAGGGAAATAGCCGTGAACGCCAATTGCTAATGCATTGTTTATTCGAGGCGGCTCTTTCAACAGAGAGAGATGTCTCGGCTGACCAGACTCCTTGGTGTAGTACAGAAGGCGCGCAAGTTGCTGGAGGAGTGAGGGTTGTTCTTCGAAGGTGAGCGTGTCACTAAGACGAGGAAGCAGCAGATTTGGATCCTCCTGGTCTTTCTTCGACGGCACCGGTGACGCCGAACGAGGCGTTGGAGCTTTGGCGGGTTCTCGCGCAATGGCTGTAGCATTGGTTGACTTGGCTTTGGTAGTCAAAGGTTCCTGTTTCGAGGCGACGGCCTTCTTTTGAGGCGTCGAAATGCGCTTCTCCTCTGTCACTGGCTGTTGCTTGGTTTCAGCCGTCTTCTTTCCTCCAGTCTTCTTCGATTGCTCTCCTTGTGCTGGAGGAGTTACAACGGGTCTTGCACTGTCATCTTGTAGACTGATGGAGGCACGCTTAGGCCGAGCCTGAGACGGTGTGTTTGATATTGCAATTTCCCCAATATGAGGCCCATTCTCTAATTTTGTAGATGCAGTAGACGCAGGACGCTTCTTTTCTCGAGACCAAAATACCCACCCCGACGACTTGGACCCGTCGCCTGGAAGTTGTGGCGGTGGAGAAGTCTCAAGGGATGAAGCTTGAGAACCCTCCTTTGCCTTGGGCGTTTGGGGTGGCGGAATGTCGAGGTTTTCCGTCTTCGCCTTGGCTATTCCTGTATCATCAACTGTTTCAACTGTTTTAGGCTGTGGCGGCTCTGTTGGAGGGTTTGGTAGCTTTGTTGATCCACCACTAGGTTGATCACCGTTGCTCCACATTTGATACCAGCTTCGTTTGTTGTTGGTATTTGTAGGAGATTTCGAGTCCTCTTGTACCTCTGGCGGGGGTTGTATAGGCTCTGGGACTGTGTCGGTTGCAGGAGGAATGGGAGAATCTTCCGCAGGTTTGGGTGGTGCTTGTGCTTCAGCAGGTTTCGCTGTACTGCCATCTCTTCTTCCTAACCAGCCCAGCCACGTACTCTGTGCCTCTTGTGTCTGTTGTGGTGGAACAGCGGGTTGTGAAGTCTTCGATGTAGCCTCCGCAACTTCCTCTTGCTGGGCCGGCCCAGCATCCATCTTCTCGGGTCTTTGCTGCTCATCTCCTACAGGCTTGGAAGTATTTTCGGCGTCCTTGGTCTTAGTGAGCAATTCTGGCTGTGAGTCTTTCTTACCCAAAGAGCTGGCAGCTTCGGGGGAGGCATAGACGAGAGTCGTAGTGGCATTTACCGGAAGGGAACGGTTTGATGTTGATTTACCCAGTGTCATTGCCAACGAGGGCGATCTCTGAGACTTTATCTTCTCCTTTTGTGGCAGTGGCACCTCCGTGGCTGTGGTCGTAGCGGAAGATGGCACCGCAGTCGAGGACGTTGAGGCGGACGAGACACTCTCACGATGTGTCTGGGTTAGAGGAGGAGCCTTGCGAGGCCACGTTCGAGCGAGCCATGACTGGTCAGTCTATCAGCAATTGGGCCATGGAGTTAACAAAGAAGCCTGATTACCGATCTTTGTTCTTGTTTCGGTGTCGCAGGGTTTGAGGCGGTAGGGGTGTCCGGGGGAAGGGGCACGTTGGCAGCCTGCTGAGCCTGTTCTTGAGGCGATGACTCTGAGCGCGATTCCTGTGTCGGGTTGGTCTTTTGCCGCTTCAATGGTCTCGCGGGGGCCATTGCAGGTTATTGTAATGGTGACTACGGCATCAACGTTAGGTGAGGAGGGGACAAAGCTGTGAGAGTGGTGAGTTACAGATCGGATGTGTTGTATCTACAGGTAAGTGGAAAGGCTGATGTTGGAGATACCGATGAGGCTGCGCTACGTCACATGCTGGGCATCCCGGCCCTCCAGTTCGACCAACCAGTCGCTGTGCCTCGTGCACTGCTTTGTGGAGGACTAGAGCGCAACACAAATTGATGCCATTGATTTAGAAGTTTTAGACACGGGAACAACACATAAAGTCATGGCACAAGTGGAGTGTAAAAGGGAGCGAAGCAACAGCCACGCCAAAGAGTCCAGACACCCTGGGAGCTCGACTCTCCGTTTAAAAACAGTACAATACATGCAGTCTGCTGTACGGTCACCATGATCCCCTCAAAGGCTCTCGATTACCCCGGACAAGTTCTCAGGAATCCATCAAGAGTCACCTTAATCCCAAGGGCCTCTTCGTCTTTCAGCAGCTATGACTGAATATCGAGTGAGGGAAAGGCTGTCACGAGTCATCGACAAGGCCTGCTATGGCCAGCATACAAGAGGGTGTTGACCTCCGACTTCTTCATCGAAAATAAATCATTTTCTGACCGAAACCTTCACATCGAGAATAACAGGGGTTCCGAAAATTGCAGGGATCAATATGTACATAAAATCCTCATGCGCGATGTTGTGTTCGGGGGTGTTCAAGTCAAAGTAATAAGATAAACAATCGTCATTCCGCATCAAATGTCAGTTAGGCTGGCAGGCTGGTTCCCCGCGCGCGGTGACCCTCCGCCCTCTTTGCGGCCTCTGAAAAATTATTGTGGAGCACCCAACGCAACACACCGCAGGACGAACGCACTACAACCCAGTATTCTCGCATTTTCACACAACCATCCAAGAGAAGACGACTGGAACAGCAGTTGCCAAAGAGTGGCATGTGACCATGGCCAAAACTTCAAAGATCAAGAAAGATCCAACAGGTGATTTTTCCTCGACTCTTCCTTCCCGGCACACAAATCTCAAATCTTCGCACATTCTCACACAAAAGGTTCACAGCGAATCCGCGATCCCGGGCCTCAAAGCGAGCCACGTCCCCGTCCATCGACGTTGACAAATCCATCAGAGACGCCCCGCGCGCGTCGGACGCCACGCCGATCCTGGCCGCTCGTCCGAACGGCGGGATCACCAAGCCGAAGCGGAAACAAAAGCCTCTTTCCCGCGGGCAACGGCGCAGACATGAAAAAGGGTTGGCCAGGGCAGAGATGGTGCAAGATCAGCATGCGAGAAAGATCGAAGATGCTTCACATCGTCTGAAGAAGAGGCGCGAGAGGAAGGGCATGTGGGAGGAAGTCAACGGGACGAACAAATTCGACAAATTAAGGGCAGTGCTTGGTGATGATGACGCGAATGAGAATGACGAGGATGGATGGGTGGATGACAACATGGAAGAGGTCGACAACGAGGGTGATCATGTCGAGATTCTCGAAAAGTCGACGACAATTTCCAAGGCGAGGCTAGTAGTGGTAGACCGGACAGCATCATCTGTCGCAGCGGCCACCGCACCCAACACGACGACGCAGGAAGAGGACGAAGCGGACAAGATAACATAACGCTGCAAATGTCCCTATCGACGACGAAGACCGGCTACCGTATCCTTATTTCTTGGGACGCAGATGTGTGAGCATCCTTTCGATCTCGACCAATTGTTGGCCGTTGGCCTTATCCCGCAGCAGCTCCAGCGAGTTCACGTCCTTGGCTTTGAGGGCTTCCTCACCAGCTTTCACGATCATGCCACATTTGACCCACATCTCAATCCGCTCCGCAGGTTGGAGATTGGTGCATTTTGGAATGAATGATGAGGCAAGGCGAGTATTACCTGCTCCAAGGACTTCGTTGTAGAAGGGCTAACGCAGGATTAGGTCAGTGGCCAACAACTCTATCGGTATAAGATCAACCTACCTCCCATCCGATCGGTGACTTCTTGCTCTTAGCAATTTCCTCGACCTCACCCCAGAGACGGGCTGTGGTCAATGCCCGGAGTCGAATCCACCACCATGTCTTCTCTGGCACCCGAAAGTCGCCCTGAACTTTGGCCGCCCGCTTGCTGTATCCAGATTGGATCAGGCGGAACATGGTCTCATTGATGCTTAATCCCACATAGCTTCCGCTGCCGTCGGTGATGTCCTTGTCGAACGCCTCCTGCAGCTTGAGAAGCTGTCCAGCCTCTGTCAGCGATTTAGCGTGGAATTGCGCTGTCGGATCCTTTGCATCAGTGAGCAGTCTGCCTGCTAACTTGAGCTTGTCAATGACTGCCTGAACCTGCGTTTGTTGCATGGCTTCTTCCAGCAACAAATTCGAACCCTCAATGGGTCGATCATCCTGATAGTACAAGTCTTTGAGCAGTTCTCTGTCGCCCGCTCTTGCTGAACTCTCAACAAGTGCTGATGCCACGGGCTTATCGCTGATGGTGCGAAGGAAAGTTGCCAGTGGCAGTTTCTTCTTCAATTCCAATAACACGAAGAATACCAAGTCGGTGTCTCCAGACTCGATAGCTTTATCAAGTGCGATCTCATCCTCCTCCATATTGAGTAATAGAGGAACTTGTTTGCCCGCTCTAGGTTCATGATTCAACAATGTCGTTGCGAGATGGCTCCGCCCTTCGTCGTAGGCTGCACGCGCAATGGCCTCAAAAGAGATCCCGTGTTTGCCGCGTAATCGGTCCACCACAATCTCTCGAACTGTGTCGTCGTCTGCAGGCGACCCTCGAACTTTTTGGCTAGCCCAATGGACGTAGATTTTGTTAGCAGGAAGATGCAGAAATTCTGACAGCTTGATTGCAAGAAGGTATTCTCGTCGATTGACCAGCCTTGCTATCAGCCGTTCCGGTGTCAGCCTGACATACTGTTCATAGGTCATGTAGAGGCCTATGCGGTAGTCCCGAACGGCATTCAACACTCTCAGATCCTCACACATGTCGACAAACTCATCACTGCTGTACAGGTCGAGTACTGACTTGCCGAAGGAGGCGGCGCGGAGCAGTTGTTTCTGGAGGGTCTGGTTGAACTCGTGACCAGCCGCTCGAATACAGGTTTCTACTGCATCTGGCAGATTGGGTTTGATTCGTTGGATGTTCTCATCTGCTTTTGGTGATTTCTTCTCTAGCAGCTCGATTGAGTCGAGAAGGACCGAGGCAGCCGATGTCGAACCAAGCTTGAAGACTTCTTCTAGTGGATCGGGCACCTTGTGTAAGAATTCGCACACCTCGTTCGTGATCAACCGGATTCCATCAATATCGGGGACGACATGAACCTGGTCATCATAATAGTATTTGACAGCGGCACCATTGGGACCAACCATGTGGATCTCATCTTCCCAAGCTAGAATGACAGAGTCGTTTCCACACCAGTATATCTGCCTCGGTGTAGTCTTCGCCTTTGAGTCGTATTCGCTGTATTTGTTTTGGAAGTCACTGCCGACAACCCACACTTTGCCATCCTCAGTGAACAATGCTGCAAATCGCCCGTTAGGTGAAACGCTGACGTGCTTGAACGGGCCATCGGATAGTCCTCGATCTTCGGCTTCGGTGACATCCACAACATAAATTGTCTTGTCTATTGCGAGTAGCACCTCGACGGACCTAGAAAGTGTGTATGCTGGTGGAATGAGGGACCAGGAGTGGACCTCCCCTTCCGGCGCTTGAGCAAGCAACCTCGGTCTGGGCTCTTCGAACGACGAAACTGCCACCAACGAATTATTGGAAAGTAAAGCGACGAAACCATGCGACCAAAACCGGCACGAGACGACGCCGAACTCCTCTGCACCGTGTCCAAGCGAGAAAGGTTGAAAGTCGCCATGGAGCCCGAAGTAGCAGTGGACAGTGCCGTCTTCCGTTACGACCAAGAGCTTCTCATCGTCCGACCAGCCAAGGCCTTTGATCACGCCTTTCTCCCAGTTGATGTTGCTGATGAGCTTTCCAGACGAGGAATAGATGTCAATGGTGGGTTTGATCGATTGGCCTGTTCGATACCGTGCGACCTTGGTGGTGTCTCGCCATAATGCTACGACAGTCAGCTCAGGAAGGTTGAAGACGAGTAGGAATCGTTACCCAGCGCGCCGCCATACGGTGCACCTGCAACAAGGTAGTTCTCAAGTTCGAGATCCTGATCAAATATGGACTCGTACAGGGGGACCTTTCGGTAGAACTGGTCGCCAACTATCTCCCAGCCAGCTCTGGGATTGTTGGTTGTCATGAGGTCAGGTAGTCCATGAGAGAGCGAGAGTGCTAAGCGATGTGATGGTGATGGATTGGATGAGAGACTCGGAAGGAGATGGACTGCATCTGGTCCGTTGTCCATTTTCGGCCAATGACGTGAGGCCTTGGCTCGGCTAAGTTTCCATGTTGTGTGACGAACCCCGTACATCAACCGGCGCCTCTTACCTCCGTGCCTCCCTTTACATCGTCCGTAGTCTTCCCCATGTTTAGGAGTTGTCACTTCAAGGGTTGCCTCAAGAAGCTGGTATGGAAATGACCCCGCAAGTTGAAACTCTGTGAACCCCAACAAATATGGATTCAGCACAAGCGTTACTGGACCACGTCGACGATCTTACGGATCTTGAGCTGGCCGTCCTCGTCAGCCTCGTCGCCCAGCATCATTGCTTGGTAGTGGCCAGCGATGATTTACTCGATGACCTGGCATCCGAGCTTGCACTGGTTGGTCTCGCCACAAAATACCTATTCCCGACTAATGTTGGTTTAGATTGTCAGAGACATGTTCAGTCTCTCGTACATCATACTAGATCGTGACGACCTACGGTCTATCAAGACATTCGGCGCTGCTATTCTGGATGATGATAACAATGAGTGCGATGATATTCCTCACGGGTCGGATATTGATGTGGAGAGTGTTTGTACTGACCTCCAGAATGTCTTGCCACTTGTCTGACGTTTGTTTAGTCGGGCATGCTCCATTCAAAGGTTTCATCTGTAAATTTTGGCGGAGGTTCTTCGCATTTTGTGGATACCCAGAAACTGGACACAAGGAGAGTGGTCAACGTTATCATCGCGAAGAACTTCAACCTCGCACATCAAGACGTGCAGATCCAGGCTCTCGAGGTACTCCGATCGCATCAATTGCACTTTTCATGCTGACCAAGTTGTAGCTTATTAGGAAGCGGAGAATATACAGCCGAACAACCGTACATCTTGCACCCGCGGTATTCCTGCTGCTTCCGCTTGTTGCTACCTCCTCGAAACATATCCGACTGAACAAACACCTTGTAAGGAAAGCCCATTCGCCCTGTACTCAAAGCTCATTCTCGCAGAACGACCGCATATTCATGTCTCACTCTCACACCTTAGAAGATGGATTTCCCAACCTAGAGGAGTTAGATGACGCGACAAATTCCGGAGACCATGACTCGACTTATTCCTACTCCCGTTCTCCAAGTGTGAGACGGCAGCAAATGATTGCGAGCCGCCGGATCGACGCAAAGGTAGGATCTATCGCTCAATCCACGTGCTGAGTGACTAACGCCAGTCTCCAGTTGATCGAGCAACTTCGAGCCCATGGTCAGACAGCAACGATCACCCCGGAGATTCGAAGGTATCTTCAGGATATTGTAGCGTTCCTTCGGATGGAGAGAGGCGTCGACGGAGGCGTATCGCCGTATGCAACGACGCTTTTCCTTGCCCTAGCAAAGTGAGTCCCAAACTAAGCAGCATGCTTATCTTTCTAATCTAGCTCTTAGATATCTGGCCCCATTGCACGGAATTGACTATGTCACTCCGTCGTTGGTCGCATTGGCGGCAAAGAAAATATATCCCCATCGAATCATCATGGCTACTCCCGCTCGCGAACGAAGCACTCAGTATGGAACTGATCTTGCATCCGCACGATATCTCTTGGAAGATTTGGATCCAGATAAAGTGATCCAAAACGTCCTTGATGCAGTTGAATGCCCAACATGAAAAGCGATCCGACATAGGTTCAACGGAGTCTTTATCGGTACAAGTACTCTCTCAAGAATTCTTGCCGCCTATAACAACATGACACAAGCAAGAATGGGGACAGGAGCCACCACCACCGCCACCACCACCCTGGTCAAGGCAGTAATGGACAACCAGAGACAGGAGTCTTCCGGAGCTGAACAGACTCCGGAAATATCGATCCCAGACCCTCCACTATCATGTTTGGGGGTCGATACTACGGCTGGTTTACGTGTTCTGGCCAGTGACATATCGTCATGGCGAGAAACTGTCCTGATTAAATACGAGGGCTTGATTACACCTTCCCACCGAAGGCAGCCAAAGGAAGCGACAAGATCACGAATTCTGAATTGCAGCATGGTCTGTTCCTCATGAGCACGATGCATCGGAATTTAGGGACGACGGGTCTAGTTTCCTGTGTATTTCGCTCTATACGCGCATGTGCCCCCTCATGCTATCTTCGCTTCTCTTCGGCAAGTAGCACATGCTCTACCTTTCAGGTGCGTTGCCTATGTACAGGCTCGTGAACTCTTTGCTGACGCCTGGCCATCTAAGATACCATAGAAACCTAGGGATTCATCGCCAGAGCATCCACTATGTAGGAGAATCAAAAGCTCGTCATGCTCTTCAGTCTGTGTTCGAAGGCTCGTTTCGTCACCGTTGCGTTTGGCGCAAATAGTTCAAAGGCGTGCGGCACACCTGGATACAAATGGAATTCGACCTCGATATCCTCCAACGCGAGCCTCTTCGCGTACTCAATGTCCTCGTCGCGGAAGATATCCAGACCACCTACGTCGATGTAGGTAGGTGGCAAGCCTGCCACGGATTTCGCGCGAGCAGGGGCACAGTAATGTGGCACGTCGGCATCGTGTTTGCCTGCTTTGTCTCCGAGCAGCGCGGTCCAGCCCGTAATGTTGTCCTCGTTTCTCCAGAAGGCAAAGGGCGCAATGCGCTCGTTCTCGGTGAGATTGCGGTCGTCAAGCATGGGGTAGATGAGAATTTGCTTCGCGAGGGGTGGAGAGAGGCCCTTGTCGCGGGCCATGAGCGCCACTCCTGCGGCGAGGCCTCCGCCGGCAGATTCGCCAAAGACGGCGAGGCGGGCAGGGTCGACGTTGAAGGATGCGGCGTTTTGCGAGACCCAGACTAGACCGGCGTAGCAGTCCTCGACCAAGCTCGTGCCCTGCGTCTCTGGGGCCAGGCGGTACTCGACGCTGAAGATCGGGACGCCCGTCTGAGTGACTTGCCATGCGTTGGACGGTGCCGACATGGCCACCGAGCCCAGAATCATGCCGCCGCCGTGGAAGTGTACGATGGCTGGACCTGGCGTCCCTGCAGATGTTCCTTTCTTGGTGAAGCTAGTCACCGACAAAGCCACACCGGCTGGGGTGGTAAAGCTGTGTTCCTTCTTCTCCACGTCTGGAGACTCGGGCAAGGCACTTCTGAACAGAACGAGGGCAGCCTCGAAACCCTTGCGGCGGGCTTCGACATCGTGGACGGCTGGTTTGGGCCGGGCAGCCAGCATAGGGATGATCGGCTCAAAGAACTTGAAAAACTCGGCGTCGTACTTGAGAGACATGTTTGTCGTGTATTATTCCGTCTTGTGTCTTGATTGATCTGGGCTCAATATGGTTTTTCTGTAGTTAGCGCTCACTGGTTTAATCTCTCACACTCTCACCCGTCTCTCGTTGGTTATTGCCAGAGGGAAAAAAGCCTTGTATGCGGAAAAAGGGTCTCTTGACGAACGAAGATCCTTGCTCGAACCCAACACGATCTCTGGAAGATTTAATGGGGATCGGGAACTTTAAAAAGACCCAGAGAGCAACGGCAACCTTGGTACCGAGTCCAGTCGATGTGGTTGCCTCGGCCTCTGGAATCCTTGGTGTGTTAGCGCGCTCTCGATGTCTTCTTCTTTTGGACGCCATCATTGGACGAGACAACCCCATTGAGGATGTGTCTGGGTTTCAAGGCGGGACACTATGAATATCGTCGAATCAGGCACAAATGTGCCGCGTTGTGCACAAAAGTGAACGAAAGCATCTTGTCCCGCTTCCCGAATCCTTCCCCGAGAGCATTGGTTCAATCGACTCCGTTCTTCCCGGTGTTACAAATTCCCTGCCATCGTCGCCCACGATACGAGTCAGACATGAATGTCGTGTCGAAGTAGTACGCGATGCGGGGCACGTAGCGGGGGAATGCGTATGTGCGGATGTTCTGCCGGAATGGAATACGAGGTACGCATGTTCAACAAGAAGATGTGCTGGATGAGGACCTTTTTTTGCCTCTAAAGGATTAGCCGCGGTGTTTTTGGGGCGTAGTATGAGGATTTCAGGTATGATGGTTTGACTGCTGTCAATCTATATCTGTTGACTCTTCGGTGTTGGGACAAATGCATCTCTGTACGGCATTGACGATGGAGGGCGGCCGTAGTCACTCCTTGGACTTCTGTCTACAACACAGCAGATTGAAAGACACAGGAGGCGCTGTTGAGAATAGAGCAGCTAACCAAAGTATGTAGTTCACCATTTTCAGTGATTGTCTTTCTGAAGTATTGGAAAAGGATTGACGACTAGGGCTTGAGCCTCCGCAGCCTTGCCGCTTCGCCATTTATGCTTCACCGTAGTTAATTTCAGCCTCGTCAATCTCGCCGCCGCCCTCCCCTTCCAATGCTGAAGCGACACCACGTCTGCTTGCAGCGACGGAGTCCCATCCTCACTCCGTCAATGATGTGTCTTGTCCTGTATCATGTATTTCCGTCAATGGACAGCCATTCTCAGCCTCCCGGCCTGGCTGCAATATTCCTGCGTCAGTGCTGCATTTGGCGGTGACAGTGACCACCCATACGACAGCGACGTCCTCAAGCAGCAGGAAACCCTCTTCGGGCTGTGTCCGGACTACACTAGCTATGCCCGTCATATACAGTGAGCCAACTGGGGTCTCATCTCGTAGACTGAGTTGCTGACCTTGTGCGCAGCAAACCCTTCAGTAATGGCCCTCTCCAACTACCGTTCCAACGACCTCACCCGAGTTGTCGCAAATTCTCTTCCCCGGCTGTGGAACAGGTGATCAATGATCTCTATCCTCGGTTCAAAGATCCAGATCTCGCGCAGATCTTCCAGAATGCGTTTCCAAACACCCTCGACACGACGGTGCTGTGGCACGTAGATGGAGAAAAGAAACATGCGCCACCGTCGCGATTACTGCGGGACAAGGACAGATGGAAAGGGGCACATTCATTCATCGTGACGGGAGACATAAACGCCGAATGGTTGAGAGACTCTACGAACCAGCTGGCTCAATATCAACTCCTCGCCAAATCCGCCCCGGATATATCGAACCTCATCCTCGGAGCGATCAATACACAGGCGGAGTTTGTGATATCTTCACCTTACTGCAACGCATTCCAGCCTCCGGACCCGTCCCGTCTGGCCCCAGTTCACTCGGGTCAAGACGATATCGTCCATCCGGCCTACGAACCCACGGTTGTGTTTGAATGTAAATACGAACTCGACAGTCTCGCAGCGTTCCTCAAGCTGACGAATGAATACCACGCGTCCACCGGCTCGACAGCCTTTCTGACGACTCGATGGTTCAAGGCTCTTGACGCCCTCTTGCAAGTACTGGATGCACAGGCCAGACCAACTTTTAACCCGACAACGGGATGGTACGAGCGAAATCAATACACATTCAGCCGCTGGACGCGCATTGGGACAGAGACTCTCAATTTGGAGGGCACAGGAAACCCCTTGGGAGGTGGAACGGGCTTGATTCGCTCTGCTTTCAGGCCTTCGGATGATACAACCATCTTCGGCTTTCTCATTCCCGCAAACGCAATGATGTCTGTTGAACTGTCTCGCGCGGCGAAAATGCTCAAGTCCGCCGGCGTGGCCTCTTCGCAAGAACCACAAGCAACGCACATGATTCAAGTTGGTGACGACCTCGCCCAGCGTGCAGAGACCATTAAAAATGGCATCTACAAGCACGCCGTCGTCACGCATCCAGAGTTTGGCCAAGTCTTTGCCTACGAGGTCGATGGGTATGGATCCCACCTTCTCATGGACGACGCGAACATCCCTTCTCTCCTCTCGCTGCCTCTCCTCGGCTTCGTCGACGTCGACGACGAAATCTACCAGAACACCCGACGCATGATCCTCACCCAACGTGGGAACCCGTATTTCCTCAAGGGCTCTAAATTCCAAGGCATCGGCGGTCCACACATCGGCTTGCGCAACGCGTGGCCCATGTCCGTCATCGTCCAGGCCATGACTTCGACTTCGGACGCCGAGATCCTCGACTGTCTCGACACGGTGAAGAACGTGAGCGTCTTCGGCCTGATCAACGAGTCCGTCGACGTCACCCGGGGCGTCAAGCGAGGTGGTGGCGGCGAAGGCATGACGCGCAGCTGGTTCGCCTGGGCCAACAGCGTCTTCGCCCAGGCCGTCCTGTGGCTCGCCGAACACAAGCCAGCACTCGTCCTGCAGGACAACGAGGACGGAAGTCCCGCTAAGGGGTATCGTGTCGGTGTTGGCTGGGTGGAATACTCTGTGTGATTATGTGGGTACCTAGTACCTGTAGGGGATTGCATCCTTGACGAGAACCACAACAGAACGGAAGCGAAGGGAATGGAACAGATCGGATCGAGATGCGTGATAAGCATTCTTCACCAGACCAACACTTTTGCATGCCTTGCCTTGCCGTGTCCTGTATGCAATAGACAGCATATGATATGATATGATCCTATAATCGACCAATGAATGCATCGAGCAATTAATTCCCGATAGATTTTCAGCGTAGCCGCGGTAGCGCATAGTCCACCCAGACGCGGTAATGCGTAGTCCTATCCTACTATATGTACCGAGTGTCTTACTCGTACCTCGTATGTCAAGCTGAAACGAGATCGTATGTATGCACGAGTATGCACGAGTATGTACTCGGTACGCGGTACGAATACAGTGCATGTGCATGCGCGCGCGCTTTCTCTCTTCTTCTTGTCTCAATCGGGTCGTCAGACCGGCCCACCAGCCAGCCAGCCAGCCAGCGAGTTAAAAAGCCAGTCCATGCATAGAATAGCCTCGAAAATCCAATGTGCATCGTGTATCGTGTACAGTATATGGACGAACTACAGTACCTCGGTAGGTATGTAGGTACCTATGTAGGCTAGGTACCTATGCGTTTTTCTTGCCAAAAAAGCTCATAATGTTCCCTCCTCCGCCTCCGCCTTTCTTCTTCGCCCCGGGACCTGTCTTGCCAGCCTGACTCGGGGTCGAGCCCTGGCTTTGCGTCTTGGAGGCGGTGGTGCCTTTGGACGCGAGGCCGTCCTTTTTGAATCCTCCTACAGCAGCAGAAGCGCGAGGAGGCGGCGCTTCGGGCTCGTCCTCGCTGAAACTCTCCCAGACGGCTTCCTCCCGAGTCACGAGGTAGCCGTCTTCTTTGAACGTGCGCTTCTGCATCACTTTGCGCTTGCCGCGCCTGCGCCGCGGTGGTGCTGTCGCGGTGGCGGTGGTGTCTTTTTCGGATTTGTCTTTGGATCCCTGTTTCTTCTCCGTGTCGGAGTCTGACCACGCCACTTGGTCGTCCGCCTCGGGATCCTTCGTCTCGGCATCTGCATCGGTGCCCTTCTTCGCTGCTGGAGGCTCATCGTCTCCCAGGTTAGCAGCCTCTTCAACTTTCGGCACTGCAGCCTCCTCCTCGTCGTCGGACTCCATCATCTTGCGGAGCTTCGCCGCCTTGTCTTCACGCTCCTTCTTCACATCACTGGCCCGTTTCTTCGAGGTCGCAGACTTGCGCGTACCCGTGTCAAGGAAGAGTGCTTCGTCCTCGGATTCACCTTCATCCGCGTCGTTCATGGGTGTGTCATGGTCTTGACCATTAGATTGAGGGGCTGTGGTGGGTGTTGATTTTCGGTGCCCCTGTTTCGCAAAAGCTTTGAAGATGTCGGACGCATCTCGTTTTAAGGTCGGCTGTCTGGTGGAACTGGCAGTCGAGGTACTGTCCCGAGAAGCAGGCCGCGAGGGCTCCTCATTTTTGACAGACGGAGCAGCAGTTGATCCTTTGGGGGTTGGTTTTGTGTGGCCTAGCGAAGGTCTTTTGGTCTCTTCTCTCAAAGGTTGAGCTTTCGATGCAGGTCCTGCTGCGATCACCGGTCTCTTGCCTTTCCTCCGTCGGACATCTGGGTTCTGTATAACACCATAGACCTCATTATGATCATCCTGAAGCCCACTCGTGAATAGAGCCCGACTGATATCTGTTAATGCGACTAGGTCTTGTATTCGCGCAGGAGAAAGGCTGTAGATGTGTATGGATGTGATGGTCTCGTATTCTTCTTTTATTGCTAGGATCACCAATTAGCAGTCACTTCGGGTATTGGGTTGTCTGTAGCACACCTTCCAGAGACTCTTCTCTGACGAGAGTGATGGTTCGGACGGGTATATTCTTTGCCTCCTCCTCTTTAGCAGGGCTACTTTGCTGGCTGGGTTCAAGCATGGAGCTGGTAAATGGAGGCGGGCTCGAAGGGAGATTTTCGACTGGATCGTGGTCCTGCGCGCCTCCTCTCGCTGTCCCATTAACGGACACGCTGACTGTCGGTGTCTTCTTGACCCCAGACAGAAGATAGGTGGCATAGACCGATTGGGGCTTTTTCGCATTTTGGAATTCGTAAAACTCGTAGAGCATGCATTTCGCGGCATTGACGTGCACTTTCAGGGCGCGGGAGATGTTGCGGTAGGATATGGTTCGTTGTTCATTGAGAACCTCACTCGCCAGATACTTCTTGAAATCGTCAGCCGTAGCCATAGCGGTGTCCTTTGGAATTCAGTTGTGCGTGGGAGAGACGGTCTCGAGATCTGGGCCAGCCAAAATGAAGTTGACGTGACATGACGCGACTCTCTGTGGAGGACGCGTTGAGTGCTTTTCAGGATTTGGTCATCATAGACACGCTGCTTTAACCGCCACTCGGACCTTAATTTTACTTGCCACTGCGTCAAGTTGCAGCTTTTGTGTTTGGAAATACCACTTCTTTGAACCATTGTAATCCCTCAATTTCATACCTCTAGATGGCCACTTAGCAGACTATTGGTTGGCTTTGTTCATCCCCGTTCTGGGCATCCATATCCCACACTGTTAGTGGCGTGAGACACATCTTTCGCCATCCTTCGCACTTTACCCTGGTCGGAGGCGAGAAAGTAGTGAAATGACGAGCATTACATCCGTCCACTTTCCTTCACGTTCAAGCATCAAGAACCATGCCTGGATATTTTGCGGCAATGGCCTGTGCACGTTATGATCTCCACGAGGCTGTGCGAATGTCGATCCGGGTTTGTCGTCTGACAGAAATTCGTCACCCAGACAAGCCAGAACAGTCGAAATAATTCTGTCAGACAAATAAATTAAACGTTCGTCCCGGATCGGAGCAGGAATTTGCCGAGGGATCCAAGTAAGCGGAAACAAAATCACTTACGTCCACCACATGGACTCTTTAAAAGACTACACAGGGAATCCTGCCTTTGGAGACGCTGAGGAAAAACCATCGGGGGACAGTTCTTGTCATACTCACTCGATCCTCCCTGGAATGGACGAATCCGCCTCCCACAACCCAAGGGACGACCCGATCAGTCGAATCTTACTGGCATCCGTGGAGATATTGGTTTTAAGAAGATGAACACCCATGGTAAGTTTGAGGTCCCTTGATACATGGGAGATGTTTGTTTCTCAAGTTACTGATATTTCAGAGTCTCATGCGCGCTCGTGGGTGTGCTGCTTTTGTTCCAAGTCCTACCGCAGATCGTAAGTGCCCAAGTTACCCCGAATTATGGGCGCTCTACCCTGCAAGATACTGCATTGTTTCGATCGGTCAATGGGTCCGGCATTCGCTTGTGCCGGTTGTCCATTTCTATATAATGATGCCTCTATACGTCCCAGTGTCTCTTTCCGAGCGACAGGGCATCTCTTATTCCACACCATTTGACAAATCGTTAGCCAATTTCCCCAGGATTGCCTCTTCAGCTATCCCAGTCTCTCTGAAGTGGATCCATCAGCCATTGACTGACGTTTCTTTAGTGATGTGCTTCGCAGGCATTACATCAACTGCCCATCCAGGGGTGAGCAACCTATTCCTGGGAAGCTAAAGAAAGGCAAAAAGACTCGAGCGTGCGACTCATGTGCACGTCTGAAATTGGGTTGTGATCTGGATTGTCCATGCGAAACTTGCCTCTCCTATGGCGTTCAGTGCACATATACACGACTTACGGAACTGCGGCGGCCACGGCCAGGAAGTGAACCTCCCTCCGTACCGGTTCAGGATGGACAGCGGCCTAGAAGCCACTCGGTCGCTGTCGACGCAACCCAAGAGTCAAGGAACTATGCGCGGCACGATCGAAACAAGATTTCGTTGTCGTTTCTTCTCAACTATGTGAATCCGAACACCACTATGGCAGATGCTTATGGTCCTGTTGCAGAAACAACCGGGACAGGAGGTGGGTCTACCATCCTATCAAGACATTAAACAAGTATCTAACAATATCGCAGCCTCTATGCCGAAAGACGACGGTGAGAGCGCCACTGCAAGCGACTTCGGCACCTCTACTGCTACAGTGCAGTTGATTAATGACGAGTTTATCTCGCCAGTCCACAATGATCGACTTGACGACTTTTTTGTGTCCTGTCTGTTTCCCGACTCGGAGGATTTCCAAGGTGTAGGAGACGACACCAATTGGCCTTCGAATTGGCAAGTGTTATGTCATCCGGATCCATTTGCCAGTTCTCCAGGCGTCGAGCCCTTCAACTACTTGATAGACTCCTTGACCAGTTTCACGCTCTCCCTCCCACAGGAACATCCTGAAAGCGCCCCAAATGACCGCTTGGCAAAGGCAGCGACTCTGTTTTCAAGAACCAACGTCGAACGATTTGTTGGACATTATTTTCGAGATTACTGTCCACATAGTCCGATTCTCCATCCCGGCACCTTCCGGGTAGCTACAGCATCACCCTTCTTACTCACAGTCCTTGTCCTCACCGGAGCTCTGTTCTCTTCTCAACCAAATGACATGGAGTTGGCAAGGGACATTCTCAACCTTGTGGTGGAATATGCTTTCAGTAACCCTGACTTCCGGAAGTTGTTCCACGGGCCCGATGCAGCAAAGGGGCTGGGCGAATTCGAGTCCTTGCAAGCGCTCGAAGCTGCATTTTTCATCACTCAAGTTCAGCTTCGGGAAGGGTGTCCATCTAGACGGCGAGGTGCCCGAAAGTCGCGGTTTGAAGAGATAATAACTGCTGTTCGAACCCTAGGTCTATTGGAGACCCGGAACTCGTTCTTCGCAGCTGAACCACCGCCACCAGAAAAGTTTCAGTGGGCTGAGTTTGCCGCTCGTGAATCTAGAATTCGCCTTGTATGTGGTATCTTCCATCTGGATGCCAGCTTCACAGTGTTATACAACATGACACCCCGGTTGTTTGCGGAAGAGATGAACATTGGGATGCCAGGTTCTGTTGATGCGTTCTTTGCCGACAATGCTCAGGATTGTTATCGGCTTTCATTAAAGGAGCACGAGTTGCAAAGGATGACACTTTCGCATCTATTCGACGTCTTTTTGCAGGACGAGTGGAGTGAGGAGATGCGCTGTTCCATGCAGCAGTTGTCGCTTCTGCACCTCTGCAGCGTGATCATGGCGCTATCACAGATTTTATGGCTCTCTCCCTACCGACCTAGAAAGGAGGAAACAATGAGACGAATCAAGGAAGCACTGAGCAGGTGGAAAGCAGCCTGGGACTTTCAGAACGCCACCTTGACCACCCGACAACGCGACCGTTACGGATTTCTCAAGACGATTCCCTTTGAATTTTGGCAGATTGCAACTGTCCTGGTGGAGAAAAACAGTACCAGTTTGGATACCAAAATCACTCAAAATGCCATTGCTGCACTAAATCACAACCACACGGCACAAACCATGCTTGACAGTGTCGAGAAGGACAAAGATGAATCTCGCGTCGATGGGTGGAGACTACTTGATGCCGGGGGACCTAGGTAACCTCGAGCCTTTCGTAAAGGCTGCCGCGGGGGGTGCCAAAAGGTCTTCCCATGACCGAGACAGGACTCTGTTCTCGATAGTCACCAAATATTCACCAAAGGAAGGACAAACGGGGGTATATAGATGAATGTACAACAGAGGTTGATACCACATCACCAGAATGATGAAGTCGCGTTACACCGCCCGCCTCTTTTCGAGACCTCCCTCTGGAACAAACACTCGTGTGAAAACCCTCACCAGAGAGTGGATCTTACAAATGAACCAGCAGCATCGTACTTTACTTGTATATACCAAGAGATTCATCCCCACCGAATCGGCTTTGAAGTTCGCTGGGTGCGCGAGGCTGTCACGGTTAAAAGCGGCAATGGCTTCTTCCACTTGGCGCCCAAATCGTCTCGAGATTCATCTGAACAAGTGTCTTTCTCTCCCCCTCTGACGATAGTGTGTATACTCTTTCTTTTTCTTTTCGCGGCGCGCGGTAATTTCAGAACAGCTCGGGTCAGCTCCGACCGCGGTATAATATAGATGGGAGGAACTAGACCAGGGACTAGGATTATACATAGGTAAGAAAGACTACGCCCGATGGCCTCCCCACGCCGATCCTTCTACCCATTGCCCACCACCACCAATACCTGGCCTCCTGGCGAGTGAAGCCATGCGTTACCACAGATTGTCCCATATCCCTATTGAAAGGCAATGCTCTTGACGGATCTACTGCTATAAGTGACAGAGACTCTAACCCGGCTAATACTTTTCAATAGCGAAATAGGTTGCTACGCGTCTTTCTTTTTTATTATAGATATCTGTACATATCTAGACGGTTTGTGCATATAGAGAGCAATTTGGAACCAGAGTCGAGATTTGTCATCAGGTTGGACTCTCCCTGAAAATCCTCAGCCTCGGCCTTACCATCCTACGAGGATACTGGACCCTTCAAATCTATATCAGTCTGTCTCCTCCCTCCGAGCGAGACAAAAGGAAAAAAGGCGACCTTGACGAGGCGGAGAAGGTCAGGGGGGGCGAAGCAAAAATGGAATTCGCCGGTCCGGAACCAGAAGTCCCGTGGGATATCGAGGGAGAGGCTCCCGTGATACGAAGCGACCCTTACCTCGTCGACTCTACCCAGCTGGGGCACCAGATCTATTTCTACGACCCTCGAGCGAAAACATCGACAACAGAGATCGATGGCCACGCTGAAACCGCGGGTGGAGAACAGCAGCAGCAGCCCCAAGAGCAAGAAGAGCAACCACCGACCCCCGACCCAGACCTTATCATCGTCTGCTCGTGGATGTACGCCCAATCGCGCAACATTGTCAAATACACCAAGCAGTATCAGACCCGGTATCCATCGTCGCCGATCCTGCTCCTGCGACAAGACGGGGGGGACTTCTCCTTCCGCACGCAGGCCCAGCAGATGCGGAACCTGGAGCCGGCGGTGTCGCTGATTCGGGATCTCGAGGCGGCGGCGGCGGCGACGGCGACAAAGATGAAGGGAACGACGGGGAAAGAAACTGGTGGTGAGAAGGAGAAGGAGTTCAAGGTCCTGATGCACATCTTCTCCAACGGCGGCGCGTGGAGCGCGTGTCAACTTGCAGATGCGTACCAGCACTACCACTCCCAGTCCCGACACCAGCACCAGCGGGCGCAACAGCAGGACTTGTCAACAGCAGCAGCAGCAGCTACCACGTCCTCTTCTGACGAAGCGCCCCACCACCACATCCTCCCCATCACCGCCCTCGTGCTGGACAGCACACCTTCACTTCCAGACCCGAACGCCGCCCACACCGCCATCTGCGAAGCCCTGCCCAAATCGCCCGCGGCTGTGCGCGCGCTCGGCAGCGCCCTGGTATGGGGATACCTGGGCGTTACACACGCCGTGGAAGTCGTGACGGGGCGCGAAAACGTGACGCTGTCACTGCGGCGCCGGCTCATCGACCCACGCGGCGCCTTCTGTCGCTGTCGCCGCGTCTACATCTACAGCCAGGCCGACGCGCTCATTCCGGGAGGAGACGTGGAATTGCACGCCCGCGAGGCCGCGCACGTTCTGCCTGGTGGTCCCGACATGGTGCGGCTCGAGGATTTTGTCGTCTCGCGCCACGTCGGGCACGTCTTGGCCGATCCCGTCAGGTACTGGGCCATTATCGCCTCGATCTGGGGAGAGGCGACGCGGTAGGACTTGTCTGGCTACCTGGCTGTCTGGATCACCGACTCACCGACTCACCACCTAGGTAATAAATTAACTGATCACCAACCTCGTCTAATCTGGTGGCTAAAGAGAGGGCTGAGAAGGGTGGTGATCGTGCATGATTGGAGTTTTGAATAGATGGATAACATTAGATTTCTCCAGATCAACTGATCTACACGGGTGATGAGCTACATTTACAGGGACAAGGCCATATTCTGTTTATGTCAGTGTACCTATACCTACAGTAGCTGTGAATTATAGGATAGATACTTACTTATTTATACATACATACATACATACGACGGGAATCTACCTAATTACCTATATCCCTCGCTACCTCCAGGACAAGACAAGACAAGATAGGACAGGACAGGATCAATGCCGCCGGATATACAAGTACTTAACCATCCTACCCTCTCAGCCAAGGTATCGGAGCAAGCAAGAAAGCAAGCAAGCATTTGAGTAACTGACTCATTGACTGACTGATTGATTCGACTTACAATGAGCTCTTTTTGCGCACAAATCACATTATGATATGTCATTTTTTTTTCTCGTCTGGCTCTGGTCTCATAATGTCTATCTGGATGGCTATGGGGTGCGGGTATTTGGTTGATGGTTGATGATTGCAACAGCGCCATGTCATCTCCCGTCGCTTATTTTGATCCCGTACCTAGTATCGACTGCAACGTCAGGACGGGGCTACTGTCACGCCGTCTCTTCGTGAAACTGAGTCTCGTCTCTGTATCGCAAGTCGTCCTTGCAGCACCCCAGGTTCTGTTCCACACAGGCATTCGCATCACGCGCCTCAGGCTGTGACTATTGCTCCCCTCACGCGTCGCGGCGAATGGCACTCAATTTGGAGGAACAGGCTCCTCTTCATGATCGGTAGCGGCCTCCTATGGCCCTTCCATCTGCACATTTCTCACCATGCTCGCAAATTCTCTCTTAACAAACTCGACATAGGCTTTCCATGAGATCAATTCGCCGCTGATGCCTTCCACCGTCACATTTGGAAACTTCCTGTCCAGTTCCAGAGTGATCCGCACCACCGCGGCGTTTGCTTCATTCACTTTCTCAATTTCCTGCTTGACGGCGTTCTCCTTCAATTTCGCACCCAAAACCACTCGAAACTTTTCGGCCAGGAAGGGCAATCGTCGGGGTATCTGGTCAGGTTCAATCACGGATAGGCGACCCAGCATAAGGATGCACAAGGTGCGGATATCATGATCATCGGGGATCCCGTCTAGGATGCGGTCAAAGATTCTGGGGATAGGGAGATGTGGGATCGCGCCGGGGCAATCTAGCAGGGCGTACATGGTCGCATACGCAGATTTCCGAAGGTCGAGGCCTGCATCTTCAGTGTGTGTAAAGGGCCCAATTTTGACCTGCTTCACAAGTTCGGGCTTGATTTTCGAGTCCTCCAAGACTGTAGGGAGGAGTTGGCCTACATCAGGGACCACGAGTTCTGGTTTGTTATGAATGGCGGCATTGAGTGTGGTGACGGCCAGACGTCGATTGGATAGGTCGTTGTCACTCAGCATCATCTGAAGCATGGGCGTCATGGTTTTGATGAGAATGTTGTTGTACGAGTTGCTGGCTTCACCCAGCGTAAACCGGAAGGCGGAAATGACAGTGCCACGCACCAAGGGGTTCGGGTCTGCCAGTGCCTTAGAGAGCTCAGGGACGTATGTATCTGGGTCGATCGTGGCCAATCGGCCAATACACTCGGCTCCGACCGCGCTGTTGTCCTCGACCTGTGACACTGCGAAGAGCTTCTGCCACAATTCCGCTGCATACGGAGCCATCTCTCCCAAGGAGCTCTCAGAGTGTTCGAGAATCTCCTTGACAGAGTGCAAATAGAGATAGTCAGATGTCGATGCCTGTGTCAAGCTCTGCAGGATGATAGGCACACATTCCGAAATGTTGTTGGAACTCGCACTGCCCAGTGCAATGGCGGCAGAGAGTCGGACTTTGTCTGATTCGGCTGAGAGACAATTGATGAAAGTGTGAATATTCACAGGCGACTTCGGTCCCATTCTGAATCCAACCTCTCCGAGCACCGTCAAGGCCAAGCAGATGGCTCGCACGTCTTGGGATGATTCGAGTTCCTTCAAAAAATCAGCTATCGTAATATTGAGGTTGTCGCCACCGTAGACCAGTAATGTGCCGATAGCTCTTCCAAGAACCATAGTCTCGCCAGTGGTCCCAATGGTGAGGAGATGTTTCATGAGCAACGCTCCGACTCCCTGCTCCCCAATGACTTTCACCAGGAGCAGGAAAGCTCGGAGAGGAGGGCCTTCGATCCGATTTTGCGAAATGGGACACAGCGCTTCGACCAGCTCCAAGGTAACTAGAGCTTGGGGATTGGTGGGGATGATCTTGGACATGATGACAAGTGTTGGAGTTAACAACTGAAGGTCGTTCACGGAAAGCAGAGGCATCAACATGCCTTGCAGTTGCAGGATCGTGGTAGTTTCGTACAATGAAGATGTAACAGGGTTCAAAGCAAGATATTGTAACGATTCCAGGCAGGAACCTCGGAGAGCTCGATCAGCTTTGCGGAGTTGACTGGCCATCTCGAGGGAAACTTCTTGAACCCACGCAGAACCGATATTATCGTGACTGCTCGCGGCCTCACCGATGCGGCCAATTGCTCTCGCACTCGCGAGTCTGGTGGTTTCGTTCTTCAACCTGTCACTTAGGATCCCAAGGCTCCTAACCCTAGCTGAGCTTGACAGCAGTTGAGTGCCTGATGTCCTCGCCATAAGAACACCAAATACCTGAATAGCACGATGCCGCACTTCCCGGTCAGTGTTATTGTCGGTAACGCGGTCGACTATGACTTCCCAGAGCTTCTCAATGTGTATAGCATGGTCTTGGTTGGCAGTAGGCAGCCGAGGCGGAGTCAGAGCCTTGACAAACTGTTCAACCGTGACAAGAGCTTCCGTTGAAACTTTATAGTTTCGATCACGAGCAATAGCTGTGATAGGAGGGATGAGCGCGATGACAAACGGTATCAGCACAGTGGTACCATTAGTCTCCGCAATGGCACTGATCAAAGACAACGTCTCAATCTGAAGACTGGCAGCTGTCGCGGAGGTGCCTGATACCGCACCACTGGACCCTGAGCTCGACGACGGCTTCAGAGCATCTGCAACGGCATCTTCCAGCTGCTGCAGGTGATCCGACAAGATTCCATTTCTTGCCAACGTTAAAGTCTTGAGCATGACCACTGCAGCCTGCTTCAGTGCTATGCTTGCTTTCTTCCACAACTTTGTAAGTGCCTGCACAATCTTTGGTACCAGACCGACAAGCTCAGCCTGCGACCCCGTTGGTGGAGAGGCTGGGACAATAGGAGGACTGGACCGAATGGAGATGAGACCCCGCAGATCTGGATCCTTCTTGTCGGCTTCGCTGTCTTGCCGTCTCCGCTTGCGAGTGTTGGTAGGCATTGCTGGATTTTCTGAAGAATCGACCCTCGTGAGTGACTCGGACAGACCAGATCCCGTCTTTCGAATCAAAGCGGTGGTAGCTGCAATGACCTCTAACCGGACATTGTCTTCGCGCTCCCCGAACAGCCTAGAGATGAGAACAGGGGCGATCTTGCCGAAGAGCATGCCTCTGTCGCTGGCGGGGGAGCCTGAAATGATGGTGTAGAGCGCTTTTGCCGCGCAACGTCGCACTTTCCAGCTCATATCATCGACATCGCTGAAAGCATCGTCATCATCCAACTCTGCGTACTCGTCATCGTCGTCATCCTCGAGGGCTTCTTCTGTGATGCCATCATCAGAATCCTCGTCCTGGGGCTCCCCCATCTCGTCGTCTTCCATATCTGCAACATTGGGGTCGTACTTGAGATACGTCAATGCAGCGTCAATAGCGCTTGGTAGATGGGGTTTCATTTCTTGCGGACAGGATCCCAGCAAGGCCTCAAGTGCGACGAGGGCAGTCTCTCGCAATTCCTCAACTTCTGGATCAACCTCTGCATCCTCATCCGACACGGAGGCAACGGGTGAAATCTCTTTTTGACTCAGGGCTTGGAGGACGTAGGGAACGACGTCGTTCAGGAAAGGCCCAAACTTCGCTGGACTCGAGCGGGCAAGAGTCGCGATCGTCGCAACAAGAAATCTCCGGTGTTCCGTAGTTAACTGAGAGTTTCGCAAGCTCTCTGTGAGGGCAGCCACAAAAGAGGTGAGCTGTGAATCATTGAAGTAGACCAGCAATGTTCCTATCCCTGCCAAAGCCCGTTTCTTGACCACTCCTCCAGCCTGCGGACTCTCGATGATGTTCATTACTGCCTTTGCTAATGCCACCAGTTCTAACTCCTGAAGCATTGATCCATAACATTTGATGATTTCGATCAAAACATCGACTGCATCACTGCTGAATCCTTTGTCTCTCTGTCTCTCTAACAGGCCTGTCGGCAGCTGAGGTGGCGGTCTACTTGACGGCAACACCACATGACCGACCAATCTTGGAATCAGAACTTTGCTGACGGCACCATATGCATCTTTCACATCTTGAGCTGGAGCTTCGTTTGGTTTGGGCTGAGGCATGGCTGCAATCAGAGCCCGTAATGCAGAATTGGGAATGGAGATATCGATGTCGGTATTGGTGAGATCGGTGAGCTTGTCGATAAGAGGCGCAATAGTCTCGCCCGGTATGCGAGCAGCAAGAGGGGCAATGCTGTCCATGTTAGAGCGTACTCGGACTTTGTATATGCTGCCACTCACCATTTCAGAGCCTGGTTCTGGACTTCGCCGTGCGGGTCTGCCAAAGCCTTAAGTAGGCCATCGATGATGCGAGCGGCAGTATGATGGTCGGTCCGTATGTACTCGGAGGATGGAGACTCTAAGATCTCTGTGAGGTCGCTGAGTTGCATGAAACGAATATCTGGATCGGGGTCATTAATTTTGTTGAGCAACTGCGCAACCCCATGCTGGGCCGAACTACGGTCTCTAGCCATAGTAGGCCACTGAGTCGCTTCGGGTGCTATGGGGGAGGTAGGAGGGCAAGTCTCTCAGGACATCGGAACGTTGTCTCAGTGTAGTAGACTTCGCACGTGGAGTTGACTTTGACTGAAATGAGGGGAGAATTTTCTCAAGGCGCAGGCAGACTCGAACGCGGAGTGATGGGTTAGCTTAAGGACTCGCTTGAACGCTGAAATGGGCGAGTGCTAAAGTAACCTATTAACGGAATGTGTGCACAAAGTTGATTGCAGATAAATCCCTAGGAGGTTGTATGTACCAGCCAGTTCACAGTCAATCACAGTGAATTGGGAATTGACAAACACCGAAAACCCCCCAAGTGGGATGATGAATCGTGTTTTGGACGCAAGCGGGGAGCCGCACCCAGACAGCAGCAACCAATGACGTTTGGGTGACTCTGATTGGCTGAAGGAGCTTGTTCCTGGAGTCTCGTATGACTACGGGAACTACTTGTGTATAAGTTACTGGGGTGAAGCTCCAAAAGCTTCTCCTCCCAGTATTTCCGGAGGTGCTTTCCCGTTGAGCAACTGACAGCAAACAAAGACCCTTTGTTAAGTCATAACTCCTCTCCTTTAGACTGTCGCAGTACACCATTTATCCTGTTCGCTTTTTCCTCATTTTCCAATGCCGCTACCAAGATCAGCCGCCCTCCGAGGCACCCTCCGGTCTTTTTCCTTTAGACGTGCAGGAACCCAAGCTCGAACCAGTTTCCGCCAAGTTGGTCGGAGGACTTACGCCACTGAACATGGTGCATCAAAGGGCAGCGATATTCCTTGGTCAGTTATCTTTGCGAGAATGTGTATCACCGGTCTCTGACATAGCTTGAACAGGTTAATTGGTTCCCTCGTCGTTACTATCCCAGCCGCAGGCTGGTTATGGCAGCAAGGACCGCAAATATCCGATCACGGCCACGAATCCCATTCCACAGAGAAGCACGAGGAAGCTCCACCCGAGGAGCCAAAAGAAGAAGAGCCATCAGAAGAAGAACCGCCGAAAGAAGACTCGGCGAGCACTGAAGAAGGAGGAAAGGAGGAAGAGACCCAGGATGAAGCCAAGGAAGAGTCATCCGATGACAGCGGCGACAAGGAACCGTAGGTTCAGCTGCAGACGATGCTGGTCGCTACAACTTGAGCTGGACTTGCAGACTGACACAGTATTTAGAACTCCCAAGGGTACCGCGTTGCCAGAAAATCAATCTAAAGAATCTGAAGAAAAGGGTGCCAAGGACGTAAGTTGACTCCGACGGTGCATGCTTTGATCTTTGGCTTGCTGACCCCCGACAGGCGCAAGGCGATGTGTCTGGAGCAAAAAATCCTTTCATGGGTGACGAGGAGAGAAGCAAAAAGCCTGAGGGTATGGAAGCGACGGCCAAGATTCACGGCACTGTGGACACTTCGCAGCGGTCTAGTAAAGGCCACCACGAGAGCGGTCAAAAGGACGAATGATGCTTGGGCAATCCTGACTGATGGAACGAACTCGAAGAGATGCTACTTGCATTCAGCTTTGGTGTCCGCAAATACGACATTGTCGGGCGGTTCCACAAGCCATGTTGGTAATTACTGTGTAGAAAAGCAATCTGCGACACAATTATTTTTTCACACACACTCCTTGAGCAACGAGATTTCTTTATCTAGTATCCATTGTGAAAGCCCGGAATAGCGGTGCTGTACGAGTAGACGTGAGAGTAATACGCAGAATACGATTCATACGAGGAATCCATGAAGGTTGAATTTTCCCAGGAAATTGCTTGTCGGGTCCATTGGCCCTCCATAGGTACGTGCGAGGTGCTGGTCCGTTTTCCGGACAGCCACCGGCCGGATACTTTTGTGGAGGCTGACTGTAATAATAATATGAGAGTTGCCATTTCACATGCCCTTTTGGGCCGCCAGGGTGTCTACAACGCAACTCTTTTTCACATCTTTGAAGATTGTCTCATAAAACTGCAACCTATAACCTTCGGAACGTGCGGCCTGTTTCTGGCAATATTGTCGGCACCATGGCGCGTCCACGGCGGACATCGAGCAATCTGGGGGGTGATCCCCGGGGAGACACCAGCGCGCCCGCATTGGCGACAATGACAGCACGACCGACTGGGCAGATTGTTGTATGATAATCTAGCGCCGCCTCCAGGACCGATTGACTGACTCTTGTTAGGCAAACGAGAAGGACGGCAAGCCTCACTCGAAGAGACGGAAAGCAAGGTCGGCCTTCCGAAAGTGGAAGCAGATATCCCTTCGACACACCTGGTTGAATCCTCTCATCCTCACCGTGGCGATACTCATTGCCTACTACGTCGCTCCCGGGGAGCAGAACCCTCTTCACAAAGCGATTTTCTTGTCGTATAATGTCGGGCCTGACTACCCTGGTGGGCCGAACATGTACGGCAAGGGAAAAGCAGATATAGCCTTTGTGGCCTTTTACACGATCGTCCTGAGCTTTACAAGAGAATTCCTGATGCAGAGGTTGATTCGCCCCATTGCGATCAGGTGTGGCATCAGAAAGAGAGGGAAGCAGGCACGATTCATGGAACAAGTCTACACGGCCATCTACTTTGGCATTTTTGGTCCTTTTGGACTTTATGTCATGTCGAGGGGTTCTCTGTGGTACTTCAATACCACGGCAATGTTCGAAGGGTTCCCTCATCGAAAACACGAGGGTGTGTTCAAAGCATACTACTTGTTGCAAGCAGCCTACTGGGCGCAGCAAGCCCTCGTCCTCATGCTACAGTTGGAAAAGCCCCGGAAGGACTTCAAAGAGTTGGTCTTCCACCATATCGTCACCCTTGCCCTCATTGGGTTGAGTTACCGCTTTCATTTCGCCAAGATGGGGATTGCGGTCTATATCACGCACGATATCAGTGACTTTTTCCTCGCGGTAAGGCCCAGACCTGGAAACTGATCTTCTCAAAGGCTAACGGCTCTCAGACCTCCAAAACACTCAATTATCTGGACTCGATCATCGTAGGGCCCTACTACTTTCTCTTCATGTGTGTGTGGATTTATCTCCGCCATTACATCAACCTCCTCATCTTGTGGGCGACCCTCACCGAATTCCGAACCGTGGGACCTTTCGAGCTGAACTGGGAAACTCAGCAATACAAATGTTGGATTAGCCAGATCATCACGTTTTCCTTGCTGGCTTCCCTTCAAGCCGTGAACCTGTTCTGGCTGTTCTTGATTCTCCGGATTGCCAAAAATTTCGTCTTCTCGAATATCAGAAGCGATGAACGCAGTGAGGACGAAGAAGAGGATGAAGAGATTGAAAACGCGCCAAACGGAGGAAAGAATGCTTTGGAGAATGGCAAGGTCGCCGGAGATAAACCAGTTGTGCTTGTCAATGGGAAACCTGTTGAAGGTGTGTCTAAGTCGGATGGAGTGCGGGAACGGAAGAGGAAGGGCTGAGGGCGTGAGGGTCGCACAGCGAAGAGTTGTGGGCGCAAAAGAATCGAGATCTACTGGGCGGTAATGGGCATGTACGAGTAGATAGGGACGTCCAAGGATTAATTGTCTACCAGCTTTGAATTGCTGAGGTAGAGAAAGCAGAACTCAGCAATGGTAATTTTTCTGGCGAAAAACGATGTTCGACTTGGCCATGCCACCCACTTGTTCACTCACCTCATGCACCATGCGCCTGAACTCCCACACTCAGTACCAAGGTCAGACCGGTCGTAGTTAATCACCTCCCTTCTGCGCACCTTGCCTCAATCCACAACCAGCTGGCCTTCACCCATATTGTATCCCAAGATCAGAGTCTGGGACCAGACGATTCTTTCACACCTCGATCTCGACCTCTGCTTCTGGCAAACCTCGCCATCCACAGCAATGCAGTGAACTGCCGGAGCAGAAATGAAGCAGAGACTCGCTTTGAGCGGACGTCCATCCGCAGGTGGACTCACAGCGCCACGTTCATGACAAGAATGAATTGAGACCTACCTCCATCTCAAGCTCAACATCTCCCACCTAGCCACAACTCGACGCAAATTGCAGCCCACCTCCACATCACCCAAGACTCTCAATCAGAAATGACCAGCACACCCTCTTCTCAGCAGGCGCTCGGACCCTTCACACCATATGATGCGAGGCTTCTTCAAGATGATGCCAGATAAGCAGACACAGAAACAGGAAGACGCCGTGTAATTGCAAAGCACGCGTCAAGATCCAAGGTCAATGCTGGATCCTCCTGCTCACATGTGGAAGGACGCTCCAAGATGGACTTCCGGAATACCGCCGGAGAAAGTAGCAGGCTTCACCTCTCGTACATCAGCTCGACATGTGGGGTAGACAAACCACAGTTTAATACTAGTGACTGCGTACGAGGCTCAAAACCCCTTCCAAGCATCACTGGCGTCATGTGGAGAAGATTCCGCAGCCTCCAGGGCGTCGAAGCTGCTTCCACTGGAAAGACGAAGTGCGACAGGTCTACAGGCCAATTGTTTGGGTCACAAAACCCAGAAAGCGACTTTGAGATATCGGTTGCTCCGTTACTAGAAGATGGACCAGTCGCACCAGCAGACACTGAAGATCTGCAGCATTCAGGTGTCCCCTGGGGCATCTCACAGTTGAAGAAGATAGGGCAGGGCGAGACCGCTCGGCAGTTGAGATGACCAGAGAGAGTTTAGACACAACCATCTGCTTGCTCTTACCCCATCTGTACGAAGGTACGCATCAGTTCAGAGCCCCTTCACGACAAAGATCCCCATGGCAGGATTGTCTGCCGTCCAACCCCCGTCTCATCTCCCGGGCATGTTTGTGGGCTAGTGGAAGCCCATCAGCTCACTCTCGATGGCCACAGATCGTGGGGCTAGCGTGTGGGGCATTCTGTTGTTTTGTGAGAATGGGGAACCCCCGATGATGTCCTAGAACATGTGTGGCAGCGTGGAGGAGCAAGGACAATGATTTTTGTTCAGGACCGCCCTGAGTGGCATGGCTGTAATGGGGGTTTCTGGAGAGGGCTACTCGCACCTTCTTAATCATCCATTCTTTTCGTCAAACGATACCTCAATTGCTCTTCACCAGACATCTCTAGTACCATGGAGATCAAAGCAACCGACGACGGGCCGTTGACGAAGTCAGCAGTTGTAACTGCATGGCAGTTCGTAGCGGCCCATCCCTTCGTGATCCTTTTCCTGCTCCTGTTTGTACGACCTCTATGGAGACGCTACTCCTCCCCTTTGCGACAATTCCCTGGGCCGTTCATCGCCTCATGCACCAGAGCATGGAAAGGTGGGTTTGACCAGGGGAAGCATAAAGAGAGACCTTTCGACTGACCGAACTATGCAGTCTGGAGTACTTGGTCGGGCCAGACTGAGCAACATCACATTGCACTTCACAAGAAATATGGTAATTGAAGCACCTTTTCGAGTCCCTCGACAATGCTGACTCCCAACCAGGCCCAGTCGTGCGCATTGCACCAAATGAGGTGTCTTTTGCAAACCCAGAAGCTGCAATTGAACTGTTCAAGACAGGAAAGGGCTTTCACAAAACAGACTTCTATGGGGTGTTTCCGCCGCCCGAGAACCCGGATATTTTCACCGAGACTCGAGAAGCCGTCCACGGGGTCAAGAAACGATATGCAGCAACTCCTTACAGCTTGGCCTCAATGCAGCAATGCACACCTCGGATTGAGGAGACCGAAAAGCTCCTAATATCCAAATTGGACGAATTTGCCGACAATAATAAGATTTGCGATTTTGGTGACTGGCTTCATTTCTTCGCTTTCGATGTGAGTTAGAGATTGTTTCCGCTCGATTGGCGGTGCAGAGCTGATTATTTGTTGTGTGCAGGTCCTGGGTGAAGTCGCATTCTCCAAGAAATTTGGGTTTCTTGAGGCAGGTGTCGATGTCGACCGCGCGATCAAGACCATCGACAATTCCCAATGGTATAACGGCATCGTGGGCCAGGTTCCGTGGCTCGATTACCTTTTCCGACGAAACCCACTGTGGAATCTTATTCCGTTCATGTCCAGCAAAAATGCTCTCATCACCAAGACAGCACTGGGTCAACTCCAGAAACGCCAGGCCCCTGATGGAGAAAAGGTTGAGTACAAGGATCTCCTCAACAGCTTGATCGTGGCGCAGAAAGAACATCCTGAAGCCCTAGGTCCGGGAGACGTATTCGCAATAGCACACGGCGCCATCTTTGCGGGCAGCGATTCCACCGCAAGCACCATGCAAAGCTTCTTCTGGTACGTGTTGTCCAACAAGAAAGTTTACGACAGGCTAGTTGGAGAGATCTTGTCCGCCAATCTGTCCGAGATGGTCGCGTATAATGAGGCGCAGAATCTGCCCTATTTCCAAGCCTGTCTGAAAGAAGCCATGAGGATTGCTCCTGCTGTCGGGCTGAATATCACGAGGAAGGTGCCTCCCGGTGGTGCCGAGATTGATGGTGTCAGATTACCTGAGGGCACCGCCGTTGCTGTGAACGGATGGGTGTTGCACAGAGACAAGAGTGTCTTTGGTGACGATGCCGAGGTATACCGACCGGAACGATGGCTTGATGGCGATAAGGAAAAGGTCAAGATGATGGAACGATGCATGTTCCAGGTGAGTTCAAATGCCCTAAATCTCAGATCAAGACGTGCAGAGGTTAACTTTACATTGTTAGTTCGGAGGCGGATCTCACGTATGCATCGGACGACATCTTGCTCTCCTTGAGATGAACAAGGTGATCCCCGAGCTTCTTCGACGTTATGACATTCAGCTGGTCAACCCTGGAAAGAAGCTTGAGCATCACTCCAGCTTTTTCGTGGTGCAGTGGGGATTGTTGACTTATATGCGGTTGCGAGAGAAGTCATGAACGCGGCAAGAGTCGCAACTCTCGAGCAACAGATGGAAGGCTTGTAACTTAGCGATTATTGTATTGTGGGCACTTGCCAGCAGGATGGCCATGTCGGCAAAAGCGCTCTGATGGAGGTACATGGCCTTGCTAGTTTCGCAATGAGGGAAAGCATAGTTACAACGTTGTCAGGATGCTATTTTCAAGGGATAGGGGGGCAGGTTCGACAGTTGGGCGCCATCACACCAGTTCCTTCCCAAAGACAAATCTGAAAAGAATGAAGTAAAAAAAATCAAAGAGTTGTCAACTTGAATCTAGACATTCCCACCTGTTAGCAGCAACGATATCAATATAAGACGCTAAGGATTGGGGGAGAGAGTACCTCGTACATGTGGGTGCAAGTACCTTGTATGTTGAAGTTGGCCCTTCGTTGGAGATTTGACGCCAAGACCGAGACACTTCACGTGATTCCCACGTGCCAGTGAGAAACTCTGTCCCCACATCTCAGACATATAAGCGGCTTGGCATCTCGGCGACTTTGCTGCTAACGTAAGTCGATCCCACCAGGGCGCCACCGTCCACAAGCGCCACCAACCAACAAGAAGAATAATCTAGAGTCATTTCGGCTCGACAAGTAATAGGCGATTACTCGATACCCGTCCAGATTGGTCTGCCTGCTCCCTAGTTAGGTAGTCGTGATGATGAATAGGCTATCCCGAACGAGGACTCCGTCGCGAGATGCGACGATGCCGCCACTCAGAGATTGTTGGGCATCTTCTTGTACAAGGCACCAACAGATCCGCGGTGAATGTGTACGTGGCGAGACCATGGCCGCGGATAAAGAAACGGGTCTCTTTACGTCTCCTCGCGTCGGCAATAGGTTGGGGCTGACGACACCTGGCCATGTTGTTCTGGTCGCTCACAGGACCATCGTTTTCGCGAGAATGCAACCCTTGTCTTGACAATTCCTTTCCTGGAAGATAGCATCATCTTCGCTCACCGTCAATGTAGGACGGTTGCATCTTGGAGGTTCATCCTGTTCGCCAATGCCGACTCCACGAAGCCTGTGGCCTGTAAGTTCAGTGTCAGGACACGAGCCTGTTCACCGTCCGCGCCCAACTCAGTCCCTTAACATGACATCTACGTGCCACAGAAAGACCCAGAGGGTTGACATTTTGATTGCTCGAGCCTTGAATGCCTAAAATTGCCTGAAGCGAGACTTCCTCTCGAGCCTTTTGTCTGTCAGCCTATTTGTTGTTCCGTTTGCACAAACCTTCAGGGCGACTCGTGTGCTAAATAGGCATTCTTGGGACTTGGCTAGCTTTCGAGACCCGTGACTCATCGTATTCAGGCCTCCGGGTGATTGAGGCAGTAAGCGACGCGTAGCTAGCCTTCTCCGAGACACTTTGTGAATGTAAACTGCAGGAAAATTTCTCCGGGCACGCGGACAGTGCAAGGATGAAGGAGGGGAATGAGATAGCGGTACCGAGTATATATGTGGTCGAGGATGTTGAAACACTTCATAAGAGGCGCAGCCACTGTCTAATTGGTGGAAATGAAAGTATAAGTAGGAATTCCGACACATCGAGTCCTTCATGATCCCAGGAGTTCATGGCGTCTTCTGGTGTGGTACATCAGCTGCGTGCTTGCACCAAAAGTACCCGTCTCCACTGCGTGCACGAAAGAACCAAAGTGCCTTTTCCTCATTCGATTCGGAGAAGAAGAAGTAGAAAATGTCGGGGGTCTAAGGGATAATTATCTTACTCTCATTTACTCCCTCTTTAAGAATGCTGAATCGCTGGAAGGATGAGCAGGAAGGTGGGTATGACGGGACACGATCTAGGACTCAACCCACAGAAAAGGCTGGCCAATCGGATAGTAAACATGTGACGCCGGCCCGCAAGGCTCCCCTCCACTTCAGGGAGCCAATCTCTTCATTCTGCACAACAAACTTGACATTCTTGTCCCATCTTCAGGCCTGGCTTCGGCCGACAGTCCCACGTCTCTTAAAATGTGAAATCCGACTTCTCATCCATGATTCACACTGTGCGGAGGCGTTGAATTGCCTGGCTACCCAGTTGCCAGGTAGCCCTGTGGGCAGGGTCGATTAAATCGGTGGACGCCAGATCATTGGCTGACCAGGCCATTACGCCCTTCAGGCACAGATGAATGAAGGGAGGCGGTGCACTGGACGACCCTGGCCTCGGATCTATATATTGCTGCTCTTTCTCGCCCTGATGCATTGAGTTCGACACGCAGCCCAGCATATCGCCCTCCTTTGACCTAACGAACCCCAAACACCTCAAACACTTCTACACGATGCCCGCGCAACAAGGCACTATGCTATGTAACGCATGTACCGACCTGATGTCGGTGGTCAAGACACATCCACCAGGTAGCTGGATCGGCACCAAGCCAGCACTCTTTGAACATCCAGAGGGGCCGAATGAATGGGCTGGCTCTCACCACATACATGTGGGCGACTTCTACGAGGCGGTTCAGCGAGGATGTTACATCTGCTGGACCATCTATAGAGACTGCAGTACCGAGCTTCGAGAGCAATCGCGTGCCTTCCGCACGTTTTACCAACTCCGTGCATTGGACGCGGGTGGCACATTACCTCACCTAGAGGACCATTACGAGTTAGAATTTACTACCGAGATCTTAAACGGAGAGGCACCCATCGCTAAGCAACAGGTTTTTGATTGCAGTGGCCTTTTCAAAATCCTCCCCAAAAATGGTAATTGTTCCCCAGCTGACCTACCATCAGTTCTTTGACTGACCCATCTTTCTCAGAGGTATCTGCATCGGGGGAACCACTCGCTTTAACACCAAACACTTTTTCAGGCAAATGTAAAGACCAGGTTCGACAGTGGCTTGACAATTGTCGTGTCACGCACGTTCGATGTAACCAAGACTGGCGAACAGGTGACGGTTCTCCCGCCCGCTTATTGCGTATAGACTCAGCATCAGGGGACACGTTTCGGTTAGAGGCCTTCGCAAATAATACTCGACCTCCCAGATATGTTACGCTGAGTCATTGCTGGGGAGCTGGAACGGCAGTCACTTTGACTACAGAAAATCAATTACGCTTAACGACAGAGTGGTCTCGCATCAACTCGCTTCCAAAGAGATTTCAGGATGCTATGGAGATTGCCAGGTGGATGGGGGTTGACTACATCTGGATTGATGCGTTATGCATCATTCAGAACTCTCGGGACGATTGGCTTGCGGAGAGCACCAAAATGGGCGATATTTATACGAATTCGTTTTGCAATATTGCGGCCACGAGCGCCGACCCTCAACAAGGATGTTTTACAGAGAGGCTCGTCTATATGGTGGAGCCATATCCCTTACCAAACCCCCAACTACAAGACGGAGAAAAGACATATGTCATTGGTTACGACGACTTTTGGAGTAACAGCCTCTCCGACACGGCTCTGCACACACGAGGGTGGGTTCTTCAAGAGCGCTTGCTAAGTCCACGTACGATCCATTTCGGACAGGAGCAAATCTTCTGGGAGTGCCGGTGTGAGATGGCCTGCGAAGCATATCCTGATGGCATCCCCGAGCAGTTTCACAACCGGAAAATGCATGCTTGGAGGCAGGCAGACAAAATCCTCGACCCAGCCCAGAAGCAACCCTCGGAATTGTCCCTGTTGTCGAAGTACCTACCACGATTTCTCTCAAATTGGTTCACCACGGGCTCGAAAGTGGATGATTCCTATTGGGTCTATGAAGTTTGGAGCAGGATCGTCGAGGCGTACATGGAATGCAAACTGACCTATGGCGAGGACAAACTCGTCGCGATCTCGGGTATTGCCCAAAAAGTCGCCGAAGCCACAGATGAACGATACCTTGCTGGGCTGTGGGACAATGCCATGCTACCTCAGAGTCTGCTCTGGTGCGTCTTGGGCCGAAGACAAGCTGACGGCACTCCATCATTGAGAAGTGCTTCAGCAGGAGACCCCGACTATCGGGCACCATCCTGGTCCTGGGCGTCACTGGAAGCCAAGGTGATCTGGAACTGGCCTGCCAAGTGTGAACAGGTTGTCATCGACGTTCTGAGCACAGACATCGAACAGCCCGAGGGAAGCAGAATGGCCAAGGTGTCCTATGCACAGATGAAGATCCGAGGCGTTCTAGTCGAGGCTTGTCTCCAGGTCGCAAGTCGGGATATGGATGGAGAACCCGAAGAGGACGGACTCTATACGTTGGTGCTCAACAGTCACGCCGACTCCGAGGACATGCGACATTACTCGATGGATCCCACCATCTACCTCGACACCCCGATGATGCCAGACTCCGATTGCATGGATGTATTCCTACTCCCAATTTGCACACAGTGGCAGGGACGATCTGGAGTGGAGGCCACAGCCCTGGCTGGCCTGCTGTTGAGAAAGGTGATATCGACTACAGGCGGGACGATGTACGAGAGAATGGGGATCTTTGGGCTGGACCACGATCAGGCTCACGCATTGTGTGGCTCTCGCCCTGACGAACCCTGGTCTATCGAAAATGCGTTGGGGAGAATGAGGCGAGAAGATTTATGTCTCATATGATGGAGGGCGACATGGGCACTTCAAATTTGATTCTCACCCAGAATGAAATGCTCCATCCAGTGCTTCATTGCTGGATTCTGCATCTTGCTCTCAAATCACCTGGACCATTGATTTTATATTTCTTGGGCAGGGGTGTTCAGGGGGGAGAGGGCAACCATGGGAGGAAAAGTTTGTATGGTTATTGTATTTTTACTCATAGCTTATGTAGCTTTAGCTTCCATATACGTAGCCTGTACATAGCAGGTGCTTGGGCTCTATACAGAGACCTGAGGACCATTAACAGTGTACCAAAACAGGAATACAAGAAATTTTTGGAATATTACATTCTTCATTATCGAAAAGAACTAAGGGGATAATATTATGGCTGAGGAAAAGCAGGCGCAGAGACAACGAAACTGACGACCGGACCGAACGAGTAGATTTGGGGAAATCAATGTCGCAGCTTCTTCGGATGGCTGCTGTGGGTGGGAGCTGAGGCCGGGTTTGTCCTGGGCACACAGACAAACTTTCACCCACCGACACTTTTTCAAGATTTTCATCACGCCTTGATCCCCATCTAGATCTTCATGCATCCCACGCATTTCGGATATCCTTGCTTCCCATTCGATTTCGGTGAAACAACCACCAAGGGCGTGAAGTAGAAGGGTGTGCTGTCTTCTGTACAGGCTGCGACATGCGGTGCGGAAGAGTGACCGCAGTCAACACTCACCATCGTCCCAACCCTCCTCAGGTCTTTGATTTATGAGGGAAATTCACCGTTATATGACCTCAGGCACTGACACTGAACGATCTAGAACCCCATTCCAGGCTAGAAAGCCCATCACGCCCATCACAATCGACCTGCTGATTGAGGCAAAGATTGTCATGCTGCCCAACCGCGCCAATGCAAGCCACACAAAAGGTCCTTGGAACTTTTGTCTGCCTGATCTGTTGGGCAACCGAGTCCCTGGAAGCTCAGGGCATCTTTCCACAGCACCCCCTTCACTCAGCTACACCGAAACAAAGGCTCATACCACTCAAAAAATTGCTATGGAATTCCTGCCTTGTGGTTGCCAAACAGGTTTTGCTGTGGTACAGGCGTCGAAGGTTAGCTGAACAGTTCAACTACCTCAGATTGCCTGCGTGATGGAAAGGGGACCTTTGCACACTTCCAAGTCGCAGAAGAGCTGCACAGCCCCTGTGCCGGCCCCAACCAGCTGCAGCCCTGATGATCCCCTTGCACCACTCAGAAGCACCACAGCAAGCCTCCAGGCCCTTAACGAGCGCCACCAGGGCCCTTCAGCTCGCCAAAGGCATGGCTATCTGCATGTCCAACACACATGGAACACCAAAGGGCACGGAGAAGGAGACAATTTGAGCAAAAGGTCTGTCTTCAGCCATGGATTGTGATATAATCGATCCCCTGGTGTTGTTCAACAGTTTAAGATGGTCTGATATTTGGGGAGATTTCCATAAAACTATATCATCTCCGTCCCCGTTCTTCTCATCATTCCTGGATTCGTCCTTGCCAAAAGATTTTGAGCCGCCAGTTTGCCTGCCTTGAGGGTGCGACACAGAACACCAGTGTTTACGGAATCTCTCTGGCACTGCTATTTCTGCTGCTTGCAAAGGTTCCAGCTTCCATCGGTTGGCACGTTCAAGGTTGCGCATCTGTGCATTTCCTCCACAGGCTTACGTCCGTCTCTTCTCCTTCGCATCACCGATGGTCTGCACTTTTGCACAGGACCGCCCTTCACACTCATGTGTGTTTGGTGATGAATGACTGCAGGCCCCTCCAAAGACCCCTCCGGCATTCTGGCCCCCTCGGCCCGCTCGACCTTTGGACTCAACCAGCACACACTAAGCGGCCTCCTCGAAAATGAGTCCCTCTGCCGACTCTTCCTTTCTCATCCAATCAACCTCGCTGGCACGAGGGACTCATGTCTCCACTGCTCGGCACCCTGTCACTGGTCAGCACGCAATGGTCATACGCATACTCGGCCTGGGTATGATGGCATTATCCACAAAGAAATGGTCCCAAGAAAGAATAGTGTCGCCCTGCTGCTCTATTCGAGGGACGAACCTAGCTCTATCGAGATGCAAGACCATTGGGCGTTTGATACTGGTACAAGACGTGTTCGTTACGCGGTTTTGGGAGGTAATTATCGATGGTAAAGCGCCGTGAATGTCGAGTGTCACCATGCCGCTGCCCAACATGCAGTGTTCGGGACTTCTCATCATCTTGGTTTGGCTGTCGTTTTTTCGTTCCTCATCCCAACCCGTCCCCCACAATATTCACTGTCCCAATCCCCTTGTCCTGCGACTCAACCCCCTCAATACCTTCCATCGTTTATCAACCTATCTCCTTCTCTTCCCTCAAGTCTACCCTGTTGTCATCTCTGATCTCCCTGTCTTCTATCACTGCTCAACCTTGCTACAGCAAGTTATTCTTAAACACTCCCGACGCACACACAATCAATCCGCTGGATAGTTCCAGTTCCGGTCATATCTCAACCGTCTGGTCTCGGACATTCTTGCTGTTGATGCAAATCCTCACTCTGACGATGTCTTCATTCATGAACATGCCCATCCATCCTCCACCAGCTGGTCAAGGCAATAACACCTCCCTTCCGAAGCAACCTTTCTCTCGCTTTGCATCCGCTTTGGTGAGCCCTTCTGCGAACATCAACTCGATGTCGCCTGCGTCACCACCGGCTGCGTACTCCTTAGGCCGCACAGAAAACTCCCTGACTACACAAATTGCACAAGCTCCTTCTCCGAGCACACCAAATTCCAAGTGTCGATGTAGCCATGGTAATGGGTACTATGATGACGGGGAGATGACTCCCAAACAACGTAAGTCTCGCTCTGTTCTTCGCAGGCGATGTGTCCAACCTCTAATGACCCCTCAGGTTCAGAGGCCGAAAAAAGGGTCATTGACGAGATTGGCGGCCTCTTCTGCGATTGCGGCAAGTTTTTTGCCGGCAAATACGCAAAGACCAACCTGACCCGCCACCTTCGCGAGCAAGGCACTCGCCTCCGATGCACCTATTGTCAGAGCGAGTTCGCTCGTCCCGGAAATCTCCACAACCATATCCTAGAGAAGCACCCGCAGCAGGTGTGCACACATTGCGGCATGGTCCCTCCTCAGCGGTTCAAGTGTCCAAAATGCTCGCGGGTCTTTCAGACCATGGACGATCTGCACCGACACTTGCACACGAAACATCGCAATGATCGCTAAGATTTGCGACCGCTTTACGTTACTTTTGCAGCCACGATACCCGCGACGTATGATATCTCACCCTTGGTTTATTCTGGAGACGAAGACAGCATGAGCATGAGCATTGGTGCGGGATTCCAGAGGCATACATAGGAAGGGCCCACCGTACTTTGAGATTTGGTTTTTTTTTTTCTGATGACAGGGTTGGTTTTGCTTTGCTCGAGATGGGGTTTTGGGACAAAATGGTGTTTTCTCAAAAGATGTTGGTACATACTTCTACACGTACCACGGCCCGGATGATTTGAATACCAGCACAGGGATGATGAGATGTGCCGGACAAGAGTCTGGCCCAAAACTTTTGCGATGTGACACCAGATAATTTTTACCTATTGACAATTGATTTTTCTCCTATGGCCATCTCGACTTGCTGCTCGAGTATTTTGAAAGTTCCAAACTTCGACTTCGACTTCCACCTCCGCACCTATACCCACACTTTTCCATCTTTCTTCGTCGCCCGAGGTCCAGTTAGATGATCACCCTCCGAGAAGTAACTTCCCCGTGCTTAGGTTTTTCGCATCTCGTCCACTTTTCTGTAGATCGATCTGCAGATTGCAAGCCGACTGAACAGGCCAGACGGACATGTAAATATGAAGCAACGCCTACAAATCTACAAACTAGGAGAGCGTGCTGGTACAGACACCTCCCGAAGAAGGGAAGGGAGAGGGGGACGGCGAAATGACTCACAGAGGGGGGAGAGGCTTCAGAGGCCGAAAGGAAAGGCCTGGAAGGTCTACAAGTAGGTAAAGTATGTGTGTAGGCCCCCCGGAGCGAGTGCCCTTGGGCGTGTAGGTCCTCCCCGAGGAAAAGGCTGGGTGGGTGGTGTATTCGCTAAGTGACTTCGCCTTGTAGGGCTTTTTGGTGGGCGGGGGGAGGAGGTAGATGGGCGACGATCCCCTATAAGGGAGCCTAGAAGATCGGTCGTAGGGGGGCACGCAGGGGCTAGACTTTAGGCGCTGTAGGCGGTCTAGGTAGGTAAGTGCTTGCATGCATAGCTATCTACGAGTAGGCAGGCAGGGCAGGTAGAGAACGAGCCTGTAGGTAACTACATACAGCGGTGCTAGGGTGGCGTTCAGCGCTGTGGTGTGTTGTCTTGCGGGGCGGTACGGGCCACGAGCAGAGAAGGAAAGGAAGGGATCGACCGAGCCACCCACCAGCCGGACGGGGGAGAGCAGAGCAGAGGCAGGGGCAGGAGTGACGAGCGACGAGCTGAAGGAGGCGGAACAGCAAGGTGGCATGGCATGGCATGGCGGGCACTTGCGCAGCACTGCTCTGCTCTACTCTGCTCTGCACAGCCAGTCCAGCCACTAACAAACACTCCTCCTACGTGAACCAGCTTGCACACTGCAATGGGAGTGAAGAGTGAAGAGTGACGCAGCACAAGGAGAGGGTGGCGAGACCCAAGTCCCAAGACAACCAACTCTAAGCTAAGCCATGCATCAGGGTGGGTATAGCTTTGACTTTGGCTTCAGCGTTGGGTCTTTGGTGTCTGTCACACACACATACATACTCGTACATACTCTTGGGTATGAATGGATGGACCATCAATCTGCTACCCAAGGAATCTGGTGGGATGGGATGAGATGGGAGGGGACGGAGGACGGGCACGGGGACGGAGAGAGTGGTTTGGATTTCCATATCGAGGTAGGTGAGTAGATTCGCTGGGCTGGGGGGCCAGAACTCAGCATTCTCGGCGAGGTGACGAGGTGCGTACGTAGGTACGTATGTAGCTATGATGCCGACGAGCGCGTTTACATTTGCCCCCCAACGTAGGTTCGTAGGCACGTAGGTGCCAGGGTTGGGGGGGGGGGGGGGGGGTGGTTTGTCTAGAAAATTACGTGGATAAAAGCGGCAAGGTAAAGTTGAGGAAAGTAATTATATCTCCGGTAACGACGAGACGGTACGGAGAGGACTAGGTGTTGGGTGCTGGGTTCTGCTGGGCCGGGACAAAGAAAAAGGGAAATAATGCGGAACCCGAGGAGCATGTGCGCGTGCGTGTCCTTCTGTGTCAGTCGGAGATAAATCCATAACGGTTGAGGCAAAAGGCAACCAAAGCAGGTGATGCCCTACCGGGGATGATGGAAAAAGGCGATCAAACTGGGGGGTTCGCGAACCATTGACCTGGCAGCAAAGTCCACCGTTGACTGGCCGACAGAGGCAAGAACAGACCCAGAACATTTCGCCTCCTTTCTCCCTCTTTCTGTCTGTGTGTCTCTGTGCCCCCTTGTGAGCCACTCGTGGGCTGAGCTGTGGCTTTTGGTTTCTGACACATTCACCCAAGAATGCCCGCTACGTCAGTGCACAGGACAGGAGAATCTGGCTGTCTGTCGCCCTGTCGCCCCGTCACTCTGAATCAATGACCTTCGGGTAATTCGGCGTGTTTGATCCTCTTCGTCAACACCTTGTCTTTCTCTCTTAGACGTGAACCCCGACGGAGCGACCGAGGAACGCGTGCACGGGAGGAAATGGGCATGTAGGAAAGAAAGAGGTGAAGTTTCACAGAGTTGGACGTTCAATTGTGGGGCGACCAATTGGAGGGGACGTAACACGCTCAATCGAGCCAATTCCACCAGGCCGGGTCTTTAGATCGGTCGGGTGCAATCTATGGAAGCTAGCCTAAGTGGGAATGGCGTGGGCAGCTTGGATGCCTCCACTCCCGTTGAACTGGCGGCAGGGCTTTTTTTAAGCTTTTAAGTCCCTTGAAAAGACCGTGACGCGACAGATGACAAGACAGGTACGGGTTATATTTCATTACGAGGTCTGAAATAAAGGGATGCAACGGTGGTATCAACCAATTTGAGTCCTTCCTTCTCATTCCATCTACTCCTTGGTATGACGCTTGGCTTGGCAGAACACTATAAGCTCCCTCTGGGCACTTGTAGAGAGGAGCTCAGCTTGTCAGCCCGTCGGGTTCGTTGAAAAGAGCCCGCTTATTCCCAGGTCATGCGGAGTTTGGGGTCAGATCCCCACCCATATTTTGCCACATCAGGCAGAAACGTCGCTTAACAAAACCTCCCCCTTCTGAAATCTATTCCTGGCGCCCAACTTTTCCAGCGCGCAATGATTGTGTATCTCTGCTGTTTTGGGGGTTAGCTACTGACATGGCTGTTTTTCCCTTGGCGATATTTGTACGGCCAAGTATATTTTTTCACGAACTCATTGGGGTTTGTTGTCGGCATAAGGCTGAAAATTAGATAAGCTTTATTAGTCATACAGGGAAGGAAGGAATCAGAGGGAAAGAAGCGAGGGTGGGCAAAGCAGGGAGCACCCTGAAACGCAGGGGTCGCTGGACCTTTTTCTCCCCGAGCTTTGCTTCAACCAGTGAGCGTCCGCGCAGCAGGAGGAAAAACAGGGAAATGGCATCGTCTCCTCTACCCATCCACGCACCCACCCACCAGTATACCAGTGCGGAGTACACACCGAGGACACAGGCGAGGGACCAAAATAGGTCAGGAACAAATAATGGACTCTCCCCAAGGAAATAGCTTACGCGATCGCACAATCCCTGATCAAGTCATTGATTGACGGCTCGCTTCCCCTTGCTCTGGGTGGACTACTCGTCTGGACAAAAGCAGCAATCCTGACATTCAGCCGAGTCCTGCTTGACGATAAGCTTAGATATCAAGCCCTCCGATTGGTGCTGCTGGTGGTTAAGCTACTTCTTCAGCAGTCCCTCGCCCCACCCCACCTTTCGGCAGAAGAGGCTCTTGCTGCTCTCTCCACTCCACTGCTCGTACACAACGGTGCATAGGTTCCATGGGGTTTACTTGACGAGAGCTCCGCGAAGATGGAGTGGCAAATGGTTTGTCCGCTATGCTGCACAGTCCCATGGCTTGTTGACGTGTGACATGGTTTTGACCATCCGATAGCAGGACGTGACACTTGTCTTCTAAACTCCGGGCTGTCCAAAATGTTTAGTACTGCAGATCTTGGATTTGAAGAGACTTCGACTGGGGACAACGGATGGTCCGAGGAGAGGCCACGAAGATAACACGGGTGTACTCGGTCCTCGGTTTCGTACACCAACAGCGTCCAATTGGAACTGGAGCTGTGAGTAAGGAACAGTTTAAAGCGGCCAAAGGCTTCTCGTGGTGTCTTTCACTCGCCTATGGTGAGTTTGCAGGGCGTTGAGGCTCGGGACCAAGTTTCATGATACTGTGCTTGGGTGGCCAGTGTATTGACAAGTCTAAGGCGCTACGGGGGGGATACGTGAGAGGGTTGGCCGATTTGTGGAACATTATGGTGTAAAAGCGGCGGTAGCACGTGAGCGGCTCTGCGACAGCCTCGCGATGAAATTCACCTCCGCACCCAGCGCCCTCACCAGGTGTCAGTGTCGCACCCAAATTCCACCGTCCACGCTCCACGATTGATATCTTGATGAGTTGACAGGCCGATTGATGATTGTCACGAGAGGCTATCCCAGGTTTGAACCTCGCATCAAAAGCTAGCAGTCATGACGACCGCCACGCAAAATCCTCCGAGTTCGACGTATGTCCCACCACAGGCCTTCTCACTCGACCAAACGATGAGAACACCCCCCTCCCCTACCACGTGCTGAGTGACTGACGCGTCTCGCTCTTGATCCAGGGTCTACGTCAAAAACCTCGAAGAGCGCATCAAGATCGAGCAGATGAAGACGGCCCTCACCGAGATCTTCTCCGAGTACGGCAACATCATCGACCTGGTGGCCAAGTCGAACCTCAAGGCGAAGGGCCAGGCGTTTGTGGTCTTTGACAAGCCGGAGTCGGCCGCCAAGGCCATCGAGGAGATCAACGGCTTCGAGCTGTTCGACAAGCCTATGCAGCTGGACTTTGCGCGCACGCGGTCCGACGCCACGGTGCTGCGCGAAGACGGCGAACACGGCCTCGAGAAGTGGAAGAGGACCAGGATCGCGGAGAAGGAGAGGCGCCAGGCCCTCGAGGCCACGCAGCAAAAGGTCCTCAAGAGGCCTGCTGCCGCCGCCGCTCCCGCCGAACCCGCCGCACCAGGAGCTGGACTGTCCGCCCGCCCTGCGAAGGCGGCCAAGGGCGCAGGCCTCAAGGCCTCGGGCACCAACACCACGGCCATCATCCCCGACGAGTACCTCCCGCCCAACAAGATTCTCTTCCTGCGGGATCTGCCGGACAGCTACGACGCAGACGGCCTGAGTCGGATATTCAGTCGTTTCGAAGGGTTCAAGGAAGTGCGCATGGTGCCTGGACGGAAGGGCATTGCATTTGTGGAATACGAGGCTGAGGCTGGTGCTATCAGTGCAAAGGAGGCGACGGCTGGTATGCAACTGGGTGACGAGGGCAAGGGAATCAGGGTCACGTATCAACGAGCTTGAGCGGTGGTGCTAGGCTGCGCTGGACTGCCCCAGGGAAGTGTTATGATATGGTTGGGGCAACTTCTACTGCCGCCAGCTATTGTATTTGATACCCATGCATGGATTCGGCTGGCGTTGAGGATAAAAAAGCATACAACATCTCGCAGGGTCCTCTCATCCTGTGTAAAGTCACATCAGAAAATAACATCCTCGTCCTCGTGCTCGCCTAGTACATCCTGCGGCTGCGCACCATCTTCTTCCTGTTCTGGCTTGCCTTTTCCAGCTTCCCTCTGTTTCTGGAGCTCAGCGTCCGCCGCGGCTTGATCGCGTTGTTTCTTCCCCGACACCTTTTTCAGTCTGTAGAATTCTTCTCGGTCAAGCTCGTCCAGCTCGGAGTTGATGTCTAGAAGGGGTGTCAGAAGCTTGCAGGGAACGGGGAACACCAATGAGCTTACATTTTATAGTGTTTTCGGTTCGGGGGATGATGACATGTTCAATGGCGTTGACTGTGTCGACGGTCAGCTTCCGTTCGATCTTCATAGAGTCCGACAACCCTACCTCTTCGGTTCACGACTTTGATGACCTCATCGAGAATCATGAATGCCGTCTGCAAGCTTGCCAGCTCCACCAGCGTCTCAACTGCTCGGGTGTAGGTCTCGCGACACCTCTGCACTTGCTGCCCTCCCTTGCCCAAGCCCGTCAGGCCAAAGTCATTGATCTCGTCCTTTGTATACCCCTCAAACTGAGGCAGAAAGACACCCGAGACATTCTCTTGCTTGGTCTTGATCCTGAACCTGGCTGTCTTGACGGATTCTTGGATCTGGTAACCAATGTCTCCGCCCACTGCGTATGATACTTCGGCGAGCGAGAATGCCGCAATCTGCATGACTCGGCCCATCTTCCGTTTCGCCTCGTCGATTCTCTTGAGGATTTCTGTGGCATTTTTAGCTTCGCGGGTCCGCCAGGAGGGTGTGACTGCTTGTACAGACCCCGAAACCGCCTGTTCGAAGATTAGCATGTGACGATGCGAGCAATGGGGGTGAATACACTCACTTTGTCAGAGCCTCACTCTTTCTTTTCAATAGACTGTGGCCGGTCTGAGCTCCCTTCAACTTCGAGTTCATTTGACCCAACGCCTGCCGCGTGGGAAAGACGGCTTCTCTCTACAGGCAGTGGTCAGTAAGAACGTCGTTCTTGTTTTCCCGCACGGCCTTCTCACCCCTGCGCCGGACGACATCTTGTCTGCGGACTACTTTTCGTCCTGTCTGGTAGGAGTCAATACAGAGACACCTGAATTGTGAGTTGGAGCAGCGAAGATCAATGGACCACAGCTTATCACCTGCACCTGGCGAAGCTGCAAGGCTCGGGGAGGCATGACGTTGCCAAGCAAGCTTCGCTAAAACTTTAGCCCGTGCACAGAACATATATGGAAGCTCAGCCTTGAGACCATACGAGTACCTATCTTTGTGAGTATTTACTAGGTATCTTAGAGAGTTCAAGCAATATTCAGTGCTACTTCTGGGACCTAGAAATGCCATGAGAAAATCTGTGGGCAGATTCACAGGTTGAATCTTCCACAGGACCCAGACATCCGCTGCGCAAGAAAGCCAGCTTGATACTTTAAAGACCGCAGGCATCTTAATGAACATGAAATTACTCGTCTCTGTCATGGTATCTCGCAGGCGCGTGGCGATGGGATCATGGCCTGAACCTTCGAGTCTGCTTCTAATCACATTGAAATTCAACGAAAGACCCGGCGAGTGCTAGGTGAGAATGAAGACGCACACACCCAACCTTGTCAAATGATTTTCGATGCAAGTACCAGGTAGATATTGTATGTTTCCTTCGGCCAGCCACGGGCACCATCAGACTCAACGTATTCGATCTTTGTGGATGAAAAAATGTAAAACGCGATCTGTCCCAGCATCTAATTGCATACCACCATGGAAGCACCAATCATCTTGCTTAGGCTTGCTTAGACTTGCCTGGATATCACATGGAGTTTAGTGAATTCTATCAGGGTTGGAAGGTTGCTCGCAGCGAGCATGGAATAAAGTCGCGATACTTGATATTCACCGCAACTAGCGCCGGCTCCACAATAGCATGTGTTACAGCCAAAGCCGTCCTCTCAACACGGTTCTGCATTCGATTATACGTGGCAGAAGGGCCATGAACAGTGAGTTGCAAGGTCAAGGACGAAAGGCCAATATGAGTTCCAAATATGCCAAGCCGGAATCGACTAAATTATCTTCCGAGATCTTCGGCTGCCTGCATCTGGATTTAGCAAAGTCGAGGAGAACTTCTTCAGCACGACAACGCGGCATGCCTGGCACAGTCCGCCGGTCGCGTAACGACTCGAAGGTCGCCATGAAATCCGTCAAGCCCGACCTGTACCTCATCGCCAATGAAGACACCATCTACGAACAGGACATCCTCCGCAACCCCGGAAGCGTCCGACCATGGCTAACCTACATCGACTTCAAAATGCGCAATGGCACGATCCACGAGCAGGCGTTTGTACAAGAGAGGGCATGCATACAACTGCCGCGGTCATACAAACTGTGGAAGATGTATCTGGATTTCCGGATCAAACACCTGAAGAAGAAAAACCCCGTCAAGTACCGGACAGAGTTCAACAAGGTCAATGCCCTGTTCGAACGCGCCCTCATTTTGTTGAACAAGATGCCCGTCATTTGGGAGATGTACCTCACATTCCTCCTCCGTCAACCCTATGTCACCAAAACGCGAAGGACCTTTGACCGCGCACTCCGCGCTTTGCCTGTCACACAACACAACAGAATTTGGAAGCCCTACAAGTCCTTTGCTAATTCAGCTGGAGGAGAGACTGCGGTCAAGATATGGGCTCGTTATGTCCAAGTGCATCCCGAAGATATGGAAGATTACATCGAACTCCTCATCGAGACCGGTCATTACCTCGAGGCAGTAAAAAGGTACATTCAGATATTAAACAACCCCAAGTTCAGGTCAAAGCACATCAAAAGCGAGTTCCAGCTGTGGAATGAGATGGTAGAACTCATGGTCAACAAGGCTCGAGACATCGGTGATAGCTCGGTCTCTGGATTCGACCCTGATACCATTATCCGAAGTGGCATAGAACGATTTGCCGACCAACGTGGCAAGCTGTGGGCTGGCCTCGCAACGTACTGGATCACCCGCGGAGATTTCGAGATGGCGAGAGATGTTTTCGAGGAAGGCATTACCACCGTGATGACAGTGCGTGATTTTACCATGATCTTTGACGCGTATGTCGAGTTCGAGGAGTCTATATTGTCCACGCTGATGGACGCTGCTTCTGCCCGTGCCGCCAAAGGAGTTATCGATCCTGACAAAGACTTTGAGCTGGATCTGAAAATGATGCGGTTTGAACATTTGATGGATCGCCGCCCATTTCTGGTCAACGACGTATTGTTACGACAGAATCCCAATAACGTGGTCGAGTGGGAGAAACGGGTCGCTCTGTGGAACGACAACAAACAAGAGATTGTCCAGACATACACAGATGCGATTGCAGCAGTCGCCCCGAAAAAGGCAGTTGGCAAGTTTCACGAACTCTGGTTGAATTACGCCAAATTCTACGAAGAGGCCGGCGACTTGGACACAGCTCGAATTATTCTCGACAAAGCGGTTAAAGTGCCATACAAATCCGTCGCCGAGCTCGCCGACACGTGGATTGGCTGGGCCGAGATGGAGCTGAGGAACGAGAACTTTGACGGTGCGATGAAAGTCATGGCTACAGCTACCAAAGCCCCGAAACGGAGCACGGTCGACTACTTTGATGAAACTTTATCGCCACAGCAACGTGTACACAAGTCCTGGAAAGTCTGGTCATTCTATGTCGACCTCGTGGAATCTGTGGGTTCTCTGGATGACACCAGGGCAGTTTATGACCGTATCTTCGAACTACGCATTGCCACCCCGCAAACTGTTGTCAACTATGCCAACCTTCTCGAAGAGCATGGCTATTTTGAAGAATCCTTCAAGGTCTACGAACGAGGCCTTGATGTTTTCACCTACCCCGTTGCGTTCGAGCTGTGGAACCTGTATCTCACCAAAGCTGTCAACCGTAAAATCGGGATCGAGCGCCTTCGGGACCTTTTCGAGCAAGCCGTGGAGCAATGCCCACCCGAGTTCGCTAAATCGATCTATCTCATGTACGGCAGTCTAGAGGAAGAGCGAGGGTTGGCCCGGTCAGCAATGCGGATCTACGAACGCGCCACACGCGCCGTGAGCGACGACGACCGTCTATCCATGTTCGAATTCTACATTACCAAATCAGCCACCAACTTCGGACTGACATCTACACGCCCAATCTACGAACGTGCTATCGCCTCGTTGCCCGATAAGGAGGCGAAGACAATGTGTCTCAAGTTTGCAGAAATGGAGCGTCGTTTGGGAGAGATCGATCGCGCAAGAGCAATCTATGGCCACGCATCTCAATTCGCTGATCCCAGAGTCGACAAAGGATTCTGGGAGACGTGGGAGAAATTCGAGGTGGCCCATGGCAATGAGGACACCTTTAAGGAGATGCTCAGGATCAAGAGGTCGGTGGCTGCGCAGTTCAACACAGATGTTGCATTTATCGCAAGCCAGGCAATTGCAAGGGGGCAGGCTGCTGCTGCGGTTGTCGGTGAGGGCGAGGGCGAAGGAGCTGAACGGCGAAACGGAGAGGCGCAGGATGCAATGGCTGCATTGGAGAGACAGGCAAGAGCACCAGCTGGCTTTGTTGCAGCAAGCACAGGGCCAGAGGGTGGGAATCGTGCGCCACCGAAAGCAGCGGACGACACGGCCAACAAACATGACCAAACGGTGGCTGCGAATCCAGATGCCATTGACATTGACGATGATTGAATGCTCCACGATTTCGAGGGATCCAGTTCCCCTATTGGAGCTGTGCGACCTGCGACACAAAACGAAACATGAGCGATCTTTTTTTCCCTTTGTTTTGCCCACGAGGCAAATGTACATTGTGGCTGATCTGAACTTGACTTTACTTGGAACTCGGTCCAACTCGAGATACCCGGGGAATTTGGGGAGGGGGCATTTTGGAACCATTCAGCGACGCGTTTTCGGGCTGGGGAGGCAAGGGAGGATAGGATCTCTCTTCACTCTGTTGGTGCTGGCCTTCTCGCTCCCTGTGAGCCACTCAGTCTGTCGTTTACTTAGGGCTGGTGTGGTGTCGAAGGATACAGACTTGCTTGGTCTTCATTCTGGGGATTTTCCAAAGATTTCTTGGTGGCTACTTGTGGATTGCTACGGTTCTCTCTCTCAGCGCCCCCGGTCAATGCAGTTCGCGCTCGATCGTGACGCGACTCGTACGTATGTGTCCTCCAGAGGCGGATGGCGATATGTACATTTTAACGAAATCATTCGCTTGGACATTGGGGAATGAGCAAAAGACAACGGGCAATTTAGGGGAGCTTTGTCAACTTTCAATGATCCTCTCCTTTATTTCCTTTTATCTATTCCTTCCCTTCTTCCCCTTGCCTTCCCCTTCCGGTCTATATGATACGATAAGATATGGTATGATATGATGTGATGTATCCGTAACATCTGAAATCGGCGCGCTGTTTCTTCGTTGATTGTCGTTGGGTGAGTTTCATTGGGTTTGTTTATCGTTTCAATTCAATTCAATCCCTGACGCAGCACACGTATGTCTCCCCCCTCCATTTTCTATCGGTCCTCAAACCATCCTCCCACAGATGACGTTGAACAGGTAACGAAATCCACTTTGGATAGGGAACTCACTTGAGAATATTTATTTTGGATAATCCTTGACGTGAAAACTCTTGACCTTGACAAACTGCTCGAAGCCGAGTCTACTCAGGGTGACGCCCTTGCCGCTGTCCTTCCAGCCCGTCCAGGCGAGGTCCGGGCTGGGGAAATCGGCGCGGTTGACGAAGACGGTGCCGGCCTCGACGGCGCCGCACAGGTCCTCGCCGCGCCGCGTGTCCTTGGTCCAGATCGACGCCGTCAGGCCGAACTGCGAGTCGTTCATCAGGGCGAGGGCTTCGTCGTCGCCCGAGACCTTCTGGACCGGGATCACCGGCCCAAAGGTCTCGTCGCGCATGATCGACATGGTGTGGTTCACGTTCGTGAGGAGCGTTGGCGCCACCCAGTTGCCCTCGGGCGGGCCGGCGGGTGTTTTGAAGGTTGCGTTGGCCGGTGTTTCGTCTACGGCGCCCGCGGCGATGGCGTCGGCGACTTGTTTCTCGATCGTCTCTTTGGACCGTTGGGAGACGACGGGCCCGATGTGTGTGGATGGGTCCAGCGGGTCGCCGAGTTTGTAGCCCCGTAAGACCTTTTTGACCTCGGTCACAAAAGAGTCGTAGACGTCGGCGTGGACGTAGACGCGCTCGATGGCGCAGCACGACTGGCCTGAGTTGAAGATGGCGCCATCGATAATCTCCTCGGCCGCCCAGGCGACGTCGTCCACGTCCCCGCGCACGTAGGCCGGGTCCTTACCCCCGAGTTCCAGCCCGACGGAGCATGAGACGCGCGAGGCCGCCAGCGTCTGGATCGCCACCCCGGCGGCCACGGACCCGGTGAAGCAGATGTGGTTGACGTCGGGCGAGAGGATCAGGGGCTTGAGGTCCACGGGGCTCCCGCAGTGGAGGAACTGGATGACGTTCTCCGGCAGGCCCGCCCCGCGGAAGATGTCGACCATGTGTTCGACGACGGTCGGCGTCTGCGGGCTCGGCTTGAGAATCACGGCGCACCCAGTCAGAAGCGCAGGGATCAGGCTGTTCACCAGGATCAGGTACGGGTAGTTCCACGCGAAGATGACCAGCACGACGCCGACGGGGTCACTCCGCGTGATGTACCGCCTAAACCCGGTCTCCTCTTCCCCTGCGATCCTCGCGTCCCGCCCCAGCACGTCCGGCGCCACTTTGTTCATGTACTCGGCCCTCTTGACCGCCGTGGCGATTTCTTTCGCAGTGTACGCGATCGGCCGCCCCATCTGCTCCGTGAGTTCGCGCGCCAGCGCATCTTGTCGCTCCACCAGCGTCTTCAGGGCCTGCGACACAATCTGCAGCCGCGACGCGAGCGTCGGGTGGGATTCGCGGTATGCCTTGAAGGCAGCCTGGGCTGTCGTGCCCAGTTTTAGGATCGCCTCGGGCGATTGCCCGTGTCGGGTCAGGATGGGTTTGTTGGTCGTGGGGGAGATTGTGGTGATTATTTCGGCGACCATTTTTCTGTCTTTACCTTGTTTCTTTGTAATTGGTATCGCTCTTTCTTTTTCCTCTCTCTCTCTCTCTCTCTTTTTCTCTCGTAATTAATCTCTTTCGGGAGAGGGGCGGGAAAGCTGGTCAAGGGAATGGGCTCATACACAAGTTGTACTCGATGCGGTAGATTAGGGACTGAGTGATTTGAGAAAATGTCCCCGCCACATGCCACATGCCACATGCCACATGCGGGGAGAACATGACCAGCCATGACGCAAGGCTGGATCCAAAGACAAGCGCCGAGACTCGGCCTTGCACTTTAAGTAATTCCAAGTCGAGAGAAATGTTTTGGAGGGAAATCAATCACAGGCGCGTCAGGTTGGATAACAGACAACAGACAACAGTGAATTAGAGACAGAGAAGCGGGACGATACTGGACACAACGTCGCAACTCATTGACACTCCACAACATTTCCATTCTTATATATTCCCAAACATATAGGATGGATTGCCTGCCTCAGCTTGATATAACGCCATACCGAATGAGACCCATGACACCGCCGAGCAATATCGCCCCGGGGACGGGAACCCCGAACCAGCATCCACCGACGTAACTCGTCGCCGTCACGACCACCCACCACGGATCGCGGCCCAGGCTGGAACCGCTGGTGAATTCCTCGTCGATGTACCCGATCTCCCAAAGCCGGTAGATGGCCGTGTAGATCAGCCCGACGGCGGCGGCATTGACACCGCGCAACGCGGCTTTAACCCATCGCCGAGTGCGCAGCGCCCTCCACAAACCCATGGTGCCGTGCACGAGGATCAGACCCGGCGCGAAGATGCCGATGAATCCAATGATGGCGCCCGCGGCGCTGGGATATGATGCGTTGATGGCCGTCAGCGAGCCAAGGTACACGGCAACTGTGGCAGAGGGTCAATACAGTAGATTACTTGTGAGTCTGAGACAGGATGGTAGGGAAGGTGGATGAGAAAGAATCTGTGGGAGACGTACAGTTGAAGTTCGGGCCTGGAAAGGACTGTATGATGGCCAACCCCAGAAGGAAATCTCGGGAGGATACCCACCCTTCTGTCACAATATACCTGGGTTGTGCCAGCGGTGTCAGCTATAGGGGTGAGGGGGTCAAACTGTAGATCTTGCATCACAACTCACTGTCGAAGGAGGGGAATCACAACAGGGCCACCACCAAATATAATCGTCCCCGCGAGATACATGTTGGAGAAGAGGCTGAAGAGCAGTGGTCGACGCTTGACCACGCCGCGCAGGACCATGACGGTGATGAATGTCAGGAAGAAACTGACGATGAGAACGGTGCCAAATCTCCAGGAAACCTTCAGCTCTCGCTCCCGGGGAATGACTCTTGCGTCTGGACTGTCATTCGAGACGCGTTGGACATCATCGGAAGTTCTGGGGAGGTCGGAGGCCTCAGCCTCTTGTTGGGGGGCTCGGTGGCTATGGTTCGTCCCGTTGGCTTATCGTTTGATGTCAGCCGATCTGCTTGACGGGAAGGCACAGTGAGATAATCCTCGACATATACTTACATTGAAAATCTGGTGACTGTTCTGTGGTGCTGTTCATCTCAACTTCATGGTTCGGCGGCGCGTGTCTCATCCTGTGTGCTATCCCAACAACCTTCCTCCACAAGGCATGAGGCCATCGAAAGTCCCAGATGATCGTGACAGGGCCGGCCAGGAATATCAACACGGGAAAAAACCATAGTGCGTTGTACAGCATCCCGGCCGTGGCTCCCAGAAAAACCAGAATCCTCGTGATCTTGTCTGTGATGGCTTTCTGGGACAGCTGCACGGCGGCGAGGGCGATGACGCCCACGGTGGCGGCATTGAGGCCGGAGAGAAGTGCATAGGCCGGAGCAGGAAGTATGTCGTCAACGTTGGATATACCGAGTGATAGGCAGTACATCCCTATGGCCCCGGGTAGTCTGGATAGAAGTGAGTTGAACCCTCTTCGGCAGAACTTTCAGAGGAGCAAGAAAAGAGGCAGGGAAAACTCACGACCACAGTAGGAAAGCTGACAAGGCGGATAAGAAACCATTCCGGTTGAGGTTGATGCAATAGAGCATTTTGGTGCTCGCCGGGCCTGAGAGCGCCTGAGTGACGGCAAACAGCTCTTGAAACATGGGTTCGTCCAGCCAATGGTATTTCTCCACGAATCTCTTGTGTAGCTGCTCGCCCGAAAGAGCAAAAGTCAGATCCAAAGGGACACTGGTCAACAGACTGCTGGATAGAAGGGGGTCTCCTCACAATCTGGAAATGAACAGGAGGCCCTCCAAAGCAGATCAATCCGAGGTGGCCATTCTTCTGCACCGTCTCCCACAGTCTCTGATGCCAATGTACCCAACCTTCCATCATGCGACGGTCGTCCGAGGACCGTCGTGTCCGCGTCAGGGAGTTGACGAATGAAGAGAACATCTTTTTGGCACTTCAAGATGATGAGGCTTGGAGGTGTAGGTCGGTGCTGGCGATGGTCTGGCTGAGACTCTAAATCAAAAGTCGCGGCATCTGGTCCAGGTTGAAGCTCGTCATGGGGAAGATGCGAGTCATAAATCGACTCGGCTTCTTATGCATCTAGCATACAATCTCAGGTCAGAGAATTCAGCGAAAAGACAACTTTGTAGTTTGCAGGGAGCCAAGCCGACAGCCGGTTGACGTGATTGACAATATTATGTAGAGCCAAGAATAGTAACGACACCTGAATCGCAGCCAACAACACTAGCTTATATTGACCTAGTACCGAGTACCGAGTACACATGTCTTGGTCTGTACTTGTAAACATGTATCATCTGCATTCTATACGAGTGAGAGCGCAGTGAAATCACCTGCTGCGGCCCCCCGGTCTCATTTCTCAATACTAACACCCTCATCGTCTCAATAGACATGGATCGCTGCGTCGTGGTCAGAAGCATCAAGCCCGTCAATCCACAGGCGCAAAAGGGATTATACTCGTGATGGGAGGGAGTCTGTTTATCGGGTCCGTGAGCGTCATGCCCCCCATCGCTTCTTCTAGCTGGAGCAGTTCCACCGCCACCAGGTCAGTGTGGCACAGCTTGGTCACCGAAGAATCCTCGGCCAAGTTCAACTGGGCGATGCTCAGCGCTTGTTGCAAACAGCATTTTGCATTGCCGAGATTGTGTCTCATAACGTGTAAGCGTCCTAGACACCGGAAAGCCGCCAGCTGACAGAAGATGAGGCAGCTCTCTCGAAGTCTCGCCTCGGCTGCGTCCATAAACTGCGGTTGGAGTGCCTGACCCGAGATCAGAACGTCGTTTCGCCGCAGGGCGTCACTCAGGAGACATTCCACCTTGACGCTGGCGTCTCCAGATGCGAGCATCACCCGGGCCTGCTCGACAATGGCGGTAATTGCCACCGCCGAGTTGGCCGAGTAGACTTGTTCCCAAGCCTGCACGACGCTTTCGAGCATCCGGATAGATTCGGGCACGTCGCCTGACGCCGCAGTGAGCCGAGCCCAGTACCAAAGGTGCACCATAGTTTGATACGAGTAAGTCCCGAAGGCTCGAAGGTGCTCCTGATGCGCCACTCTCTGTCCCTCCCTTCTCATTCTCATCTTCTGTTCAGTCGTCAAGGGCGTGCCGAGGAGGATCGATATGGGGTGGCGCTCGCCCAGAGTGTGGATCGCAAGCGGTAACAGGTAGCTCTTCCACGATGCTCGAACGCTGCCAGCCACCGTGTTTGAAGTATCCATGCTGATCTCGTTGAAATAATAGCAGAGCTGCGGGTGCTGGCTGAGTAGCAAAGCTCTAGCGAGCGGCAACGTTCTGTCCAGAACTTGTGTTGCTGTGTGCGGCTGACCAGACGAGATGAACCCTGCCGCTAGCATGATGCTGACTGCCATAGCCTCACAAAGGCCATTTCCGTCAAACCCAGCAGCATTCTGCTGCATGACCGTCCTCCAAATCCCACCAGCATTACCTTGATGATAGTTGGAAATGGCAGTGAGCACTCGACCAAAGTTGGCCTGCTCTTTTGACTCCTTGATGACAGCCATCGGTGCCGCACCAAGGCGCCATTGCATTTCATATTTCCGACCCGGGCGATGACTTGGCCTTGAACTTCTGGGTGCTGGTCGGGGCGTCCTTTTCTTTTTGATGTTTGCTGGCGTCTTTATGGACTTGCCATGGTCAGCGTCTTCATCATCTGCTGCTCTGTGCTTCCCATTGCCGTGTGTGCCTGGAGCCAATACATGTGACTGTGGTGATATCCTGCCTCTTGCGTTGTCTCGATGCACTGGCTGTGGCGTGAATGGAAGTGTTTCGACAGGTTCGGGCACTGACGTCGAGGTGATCCGCTGGCTCGATGCCTCGACAAATTTTGCTACACTGGTGACTAGGCTTCTTGCTGACTTGTCTGGCGCACCCGTTGCTGTCTCATCTGTCAACCGCCTCAAATGGGTTGACGAACCCAATTTGTTGTGCTCCGATGGTCTTTCATGTGGCTGGGAGTAGTCAGCAATGCTAGACGTCCTCGTGGTATCCGTGGTAGATCTCGTCAGCGGAGGAGCAGGTCCCAGATGCAGCGAGTGTTGGTAATGTTGTACTGGTGCTGGAAGTGTTACTGTTCGTCGGGTGGGTCCGCGGTCAACTGATGGACTGCCAGATTGCAGTGCCGGGATCTCATCGGTCGAAGCAAAATTACTCCAACTCGAAGTTGAGGTGGAGCGGTTGCCACTAGTCCCTGTACTGCTGTTGCTCATCAATCCCGCTAAGGCTGGTGGCGGGGATCCGTGGCGTCTCTGAGGAGCGGGTTGTTCTTCAGGTAAGTAACCTGGACTTGGGAGCCGTGCACCCGGAAAGGAGCCCACGCCTTTAGACATGGAGTAGAATGGCGAGGGAGCCCAAATATGCAGAGCAGAGCTGGAAAAGGTGCCGAATACCCTGATCGCCCAGCATATATGTTCCCAGGGACCCCCACAAGCGCAAACTCAGCGTCGGGTCTCTCCAAGTGCTGGCATGCGTGTATCGAGCCTTGTGCAAAACAAAATTCATACTGTTTGTCCAATGTCAACGATGGATACATCAGAGGGTCATATGCCGTCGAACCGTGGAAGATCAAGGCATCGCTCGTGAGCTTATACCATTGGCTGCTGACACATGTTGACTCAGCTAGTGCAACAAAGATGAGTTTGCTAGCATCATCAAACCATCAGGATCGTTCACGAAAGCTTCTGGGTGGCTTCCCACCGCCTTTAAATGGGTTTCCATGTCCGCGTCGATGTCCAGCCCCCGCCCTCAGTCCGGCGTCTTGGTGCATCCTTGGTCCGCTTCTTACAACCATCAGGATCCCGGCCGACCGTAAACTCGGGAGCTTGCCGATCAGGGAGACGAATGCTCATTTGGTATCACTCCCTAATGTCGAGGACGGCCTCCAGGATGGAGCTACAGACATCAGCAGACTGATCTTCCTTTTGACACGAGCTTGACCATCAGAACCGCCTCAAAAGGCATTTTCCGACGACCTGTCCTGCAGAGCGTGAAGGCCTAATATACGTGTAGACGGTTAGGTCTTTCTTGGGAAGGAGTGATGCCCAACAACATATGTGCACGATCTCTTGTGCTCAAGATCTCCCGGTCCCTTGTCGGGTTGTCCGTCTCGGTTATCGGCAATGGCGATAGGGGTTTTGAGGCGGATCGAGCGAAACGTCTGAGAAGAGGAACTACCTCGTTTAGGAATCTAGACATTCCTTGATCGTTCGATCGTTGGCAGAACAGGGGACTGAGCAAGTTCTTCTTTGGGTGAAGAGTGTGATGGCTACCTGTGCGACTGCCAGACATCCGGACACGCATTCGCAATGCCACACTCTGTGCATAACTCTTGTTACTGATTTGTACAGCCCTTGTCTGACAAACTGTGGGTCAATAGGTGCTTGGAGATTCAAATATAGCAATTCCACCTTCTCCGGTATGTCATCGTTGGTATGCCGGGGTCATGCATTCCTGCGCAACCTATGTTGCCTTTATTCCACGATATCGACTCGAGAGATCTTCTGACCGATGTAATTATGTTCCAGTTTCGGCCCCTGCATTGGTTGAAGACAAAGGATCTTAGATGTTCGCCCTGTACAAGGGTGGGCAGACTCGCGTTCTTACGAGAGGCGTTCCTGGTTTGTGTGGGGGCCAGATAGGTAGGCACATTGGTACGATGTTCAGGATCAGGGCTATAGTGTTTTAGTAGGCTATGGTGAGTGATGAATGCTATTGACAACGCTGATACCGACTTCGAAGTGAAATGTCTCTGGATGTGGGGAGGTTGTCGAGTCGCTGACGGTTCGCCTGGTGAGGTGTCTGGCATGATCTGTACTGGTTCAGAGTCTAGTGGAGGACCTCTTTTCATGTCCAGGGTACAACAGAAATAGGGAGCCAAAACAGCAAGAGCAAGAAAAGCAAGAGGATGACTTGAATCCTGAGGGTGAACAACTGTGGGTGAACCTGAACCTGCTGACAGATGAAGAGCAGACACGGCCTTGGCGTGGCTTCAGCCTTGCGCCTTGTCTGGCATGGACATGAAGCATCATCCTCGACAAACTCGATGTTGCGAAGCAGAAGGCGTTCAATTCTTTGTTTCTCGTCTATGGACTTGCTTCATGCGGAAGACTTCAGGATCAGCGTGCGCCAAACTGCCCTGTGATCATGCCACTTTTTCTCACTGGCTTGCTTGCTTCACATCATGGCTCCCAGGTTTCACTTTTCGACACCATCGCGCAAGCCCCAAACCCCAAGCGCAGAATTTCCTGTCATCACTTCTTAGCCAAAAGACCTCGGAAGTCTGACTTGATTGCGTCGCCCGACGATCTCTGCAGCACAAAGTTGTGATACTCTCGGCAAAGTCCTTGGCTATTCTTCTCCACCCGGGCGACGTTGTAGACGTGCGCATTGGCCGTATAGATTGCTCTGGTGCGCAGTTAGTGCCGATCGAGTCCCGGTATTCGTGGCATCATGTCGTGTACCTCTCCTGTTCGAAGCCCCTCTAATGCCCGTGCCCGTCGTCCTCTCCGTGTGGCTCTTGAGGGTCGAGTTTGATCAGTGTATCAATTCTCATGATCGCAATGCAGGCTTCCACAGCGCTCTTGAGCTGCTTTACCTTGCTCATGCTCGGCTCCAAGACACCCATCTTAACGACATCTACAACCTTGCCGCGCATCAGGTCCAAACCGTAATTCTTATACTGTCGCTTCTTCGCAATGTCCTTTTCTCTCTCATTGGCCTCTCCTTCTTGCACCCTCTGGCTCAATGCGTGACGTACACGAAGCTGGGCGACAAGCTCGGAGGCATCTTTCGCCGCATTGACGGCCAAGGTCTTTGGCACGATCAGGAGAGATTGCGAAAATTCTCCAATCGCTAGCTGTTCTCGAGAAGAAACGGTCATGGCGAATTCTTCGAGATAGATGTGTAGTGCCGTCTCCACCGCCCCACCTCCAGGCACGATGCTGCCAGATTCTAGGGTTCGTTTGACTGCGGACAAGGAGTCGTGAACAGACCGCTCCATTTCATCAAGCTGATAATCGTTGGATCCTCGGAGAATAATCGATGCCGATGAGAACGCTTTGGTTCCCTTCACCAGGATACACTCGTCGTCCGAGATGCGTTCTTGAACCACTTCCTCGGCGTACCCCAGTAGTTCCTTTTCGTATCTCTCGTCACCGTTCAGATCAGATAGAGTGCTGACAAGAGTTGCCCCTGTCGCCTTCGCTATCCGTCTCAGATCTTCTTTCTTGCATCTCCGCACTGCCATGCAGCCACGTTCAACAAACAATTTAAGAACTAGATCGTCGATCCCTTTCGTGGTCAGCACCACATTTGCTCCGGCCTTCAGTATCATCTCCACTCTGTCGAGGACAATGCCAGCTTCCCGCTCTCGGATCTTCTCCAGTTGTTGAGGGTCTTCAACCGTGATCTGTACGCCAAGCTTCATTCGTTCCTTTTGGAGGTTCATGTCGAGGCAGGCGATCTTTGCGTCGGTGATTCTCGTCTTCATTGCCTGAGATGCGACAGTACAGTTCAATGCATATCCCTTAACCAGTATTGACTCTGTCGCGCTCTTGCCGTGTGCCTTGAGGATATTGACAGCCTTGACCGGGTATTTGACTTCGTTTTTCTGCGCATTGACCGACTTGACCGCCAACATGGCATCGACTACCATATTGCCAAAGAAATCCGCGTCCGCGCCAATGATCTTACTTGACATTGACGTTTTGGCAATGTTGACTAGACTTTCTCTTCCAAGGGCTTCCACTTTTGTGCTGATGTTCTCCTGCATGTACTTGACCGCTTCTCGCAGAGCCAGGCGGTACCCGGTGATGATGACGGTAGGATGTATGCGGTTCTTCATGAGGTCGTTTGCCCGTCGAAGGAGTTCGGCGGCGAGAAGGACAACGGATGTGGTGCCATCTCCCACCTCTTTGTCTTGCTGTTGAGCCAAATCGACCAGAATTTTCCCGGCAGGGTGTTCGATGTCGAGTAGACTGAGAATGGTGGCGCCGTCATTGGTGACCGTGACATCGCCAATATCGTCGACCATCATCTTGTCCAAGCCTGAAGGGCCAAAGGAGGATTTGACGACATTTGCAATTGCCTGCGTTGCGAGGACATTTTGGTCTCGAATGTCCTGGCCACTGATCTTCTGACCACCGAGAAACAATGTCCCACCGCTGCGCGGGCCCTCGAAGATGCCAGCCATCGCGAATAAAGGTACAGAAAGAATGCGCCGGAGAATGAGGACACCAGATATTGTGCTCAGAGAGAGCCAGGAAAAATGTCCTGCGGCGTCGCCATCACTCCACGTATTAAGGCGGCGACTGCGGGTCACCGTTCGGTCTTGGCGCCGAGGCGATCACCTAGCCCCGCCGCTTTAATCAGGGCGTAGACTGCCTGCGCTTTTGCGCTGTTCAACTTCATTCATCTTGACAACGAGCACCACAGGCCAGTCTACCGATATGTCCGGCTTCTACTGAGCTACAGGCTGCATCTTGGTCCGGCACTCCGCCTGGTGGCCTTTCAGATACCACTACGTCGAGTCGAGGATCAAGTGGAAAGTCTGTAAAATTGCTGCTGCAGACGAGATAGCTCCCATGTACTCCCCAAACACCACAATCGCAGGACAAGGCTGTTCCTGCAGGTCTCAATATGCCACACTTTCAACAAACAGCAGATTTGGCTGTTTCGGAGGTTTGGGGATTTCGCTGACACTGGCTAAGATTGAGTTTCGCTTGGAGACAAGACTAACCATCCAAGCGGTCGCATAGATCGGATGCAATATGATGCGCACCCGTTCGTAAATCTTCTTGCGGACCTTCTCTGGTAGAGCGAGAAGAGCATTTGAAGCTGGTTTTGCTGAGTTTGAGGTCTCGACCGAGATCTTGAGGTCTGTATCTTTGGGTTCCATGATAGTGGGCTGGTTTTCATGCAAAGAACGGGCTTTTCGACTCTGGCCTGTTATGAAGCAACCTCAGGATGGGGTTGATCGACTGATGCGACCTCAGCTGAAGAATGGTGAGTGGTTGGGCTGTGACAAATCGACCCCTTGCAGAGCCAGTACCATGCGATCTGCCAGATCGGATGAATCTCGCAACGACGATGATTGTGGATTCTTGCTAAAGCACCCTCCTTTCATCGACTGGTCAGATCCCCAACGGCTCGCGTTTCTTGAGGACGAGCTGAACAGAGGAAATGAGCTGCCAAATACCACAACTCAAGGCATGCTAATGCAATTGCCGGGACGACCAAGTCTGGCAAGGTTGGCCTCATACTTCCTACACTGATTCTTGTCCTCCTTGAGCAGCGCCCGAACCTAAAGAAGACATTATGTCAATGGCACATGCAGGACCTGTTGTATGTGTTGTTCATTGCAATGAGAAATGTACTGACAAGCACAGACCAAGGTCATCACGCTCATTTACAGCCAGTCTCTAGCTTCAGACAAAACCCTCCGCCCAGCCTTTCCATCCTGGAGAACCTCAGAGATAACGCAAATGCAAGAAAAGACTCAAAAGGGATGCTCTGCCTCTGTGACACCCGCCGACTTGACGATGGTGTGCGTGATTGGGGCCTCGTTCGCACGCGCCCAGGAGAGTACCGCCTCGGGATCGCGACACTGGTGCTATAATAATCCTGTCAGGCTGGTCCACCCGAGTTTCAGGTCATGGGGATGGCTGCTTACCAAAGTGTTGAAGTCCGGCGAAGGGATTTGGATGCCCTTGACCCAGTGGAAGAGGATGAGTCCTAGATCGCTCTTACACATGAGAGCCTGGCGCAACACGTCGATACAATGGTCTGCCGGGTCATCCACGTCAACCTTTTGACGAACCGTCAACACTACTTAGGCGACTCACCGGCATGCTCTCGACGATGATCGGCTCTGGTCTGAAAGAATGGATCGGTGTCGACATAGTGATCCCAGTATGTCCATTTGCGCAGGACATTCTTTCACATCAAAGGTTGTCAGTGCGACCTCTGTAGAGAGTAGCCTGGTTTGTCCGTTGACGTTCACTTACCAGACAGTGTAATTGGTGGAAGACCTCTAGCGTTCCCATGAACCCACCCCCGTTGTCCTGATCAAGCTCAACGACCGTCTCCAATGCTGCGGCGTTTCCAGAGCTGTATATTTCCTCTCGAGATACATTAAGGACTGCAGCCGTCTCAACCATCCAAGCTAGAATTGTGTCAGCCCAGACCCAGAGACCATCGAGGATGATTGAACTTGCGGTTTGTGGTGAACCTGTCCCAAGCAGCATCAATCTCTGGACTGGGAGGCCCTCTATACTGATTCCGGCCGTAAAGAGTTGCATCAAACCTCTTTGGCCTCGAGACGGCCAAGTTACGAAGACTCTCCCCTGCAAGAAATCTTCCATTCAGCCTTGGAAGTCCTTGATCTGGACAACAATGCTGGGCTTGAGGAACTCACTCCATATGGTATCGTCCGAGGAGGTACTCGCAGGCATTCCTCTATCGCATCTCCTCCCAATGATTCTGTCGCCCAGCAGGAATCCAATATTGAGCAAGCTGAGTACGAGGAAGAAGCCCAATACGACGCGAATCGCGATTTCGAGTGTGTTCAACGAGGTACGTTGCCGCCAGGGGAGCCGGGACGCGAAAGCAGCGTCCTGCTTCTCGTTCAATGGCACATTTTCGAGATCGTCGCCCCCAGCCTCGAGTCTTTCGTATCTCACTTCTTCAGCAGATGCCATGGCCGATCTAGTCACACCAGCTCTGTCTCGAGGGTCTTTGTATATTTGGAACAGCACAACTGTGGTCAGGGGCAAGACAAAGCCTCAAGGACCCACGAGGTGTCAATGGAAAGAAAGCATATCTAACCGCTCGTCACATTCGAGCGAGATACTGCAATGTTCGAGGACTCCCTTTTGCATTTCCCCCTGCCCGACTCGCCTTCGCTAGACCGGGGCAGGGGTGCCGATAGAAACCTGGATGGCATCCGCCGCGAGCACAAGCACGAGCAAATGTGCATGACCACATCCGTCATAGTTGTCAGGCATGGTACTAGCCTTCGGCGGGTAAGGGGGGCTGTCATTCAACACAAACAAAAGCACACTGGATGACATGCTATGATGATACTAGGCACATCGAAGTCCCGATTGGTTCTCTGTCCTGGACGGGGATGGCCGAAGCTGCAGTGCTGACCTTGCAGGTGGGTAGGGGTATCCTTTAGCGTGGTCATCTTGCATACCGATCTGCACAGGTCATAAAATCAGGGCCAGTATCGGTAAATTGTCTTGTCATGTCATTATTGTCTACCATTACTCCACAGAACGAGCTGGTGCAAAGGAGGTAAGATGAAATGGTATCAATATGAGATCACACCACCTGATGGTGCTTCGTGAGTTTTCTGTAAGATGCTGTCACGAAGGTGGTTTGAGCATGGATTCGCAACGCGGACGAGATCCTCCAGAAGAGATTGAAGCGATACCATAATATCGACGAGTCACAACCTCGAGGTCTTTTGCAGCCGTCCGACGGCCATGATGGAGAACACCTGGAGTATTCACAAGTTGGTCGGCCGCATCATCACTGGCGGCACCAAGAAGACGCAAGATGGACAGCAGGCTGCCGGCGAATACCAGAGACTTGCAACCGATCATGACAGTCCGATAGACAACGACGACGAAAGGGCCACGATCGAGCAAAGCCATGTGCACGACAAGGCTGGAGAAGCCGGAGGACTCGAAGAGATTGAAGACGCCGTATCTTTACCTCCGCCGCCGCGGCGACGCGGGCCCAGGCTGGCGCAGCTCTGGCTACTCCTCGGAGCACTCATCGCCACGATACTCCTGCTCGTGACGGCCGTCACGACAATCCGCCATATCAAACCACCATCCCCCGACGGCTCGCTCAAGCCGCCCAAGCTCGGTCTCCACTGCGGCTCGAGCCTCGCCGAAGCGCGCGCCAACGGCTGCGAATTCGACCTGCTCAGCTACAGCTGGACGCCGTCGGCGTGCTACGACCGGGTCACGGACCTCGAGTTCCGGGAGTGGGTGCACCGGCCGGAGCGCCAGTTCGGGGCGTTCCCCTTCTTCCTCGACCGGCAGGGCACGGCGCACATCACCGACGAAGAGGCCCTGTCGTTCCGCGCGGGCTCGCTCGCCCGCACCACGCAGGAAGAGCACCTGGGTCACTGTATCTTCTGGATGAGGCGCGTCGAGAGAATCCTCGAGGGCGCCAATGGCGGACGCTTCGCCGAGAGGGGCGACGGCATGCCCCACACGTTGCATTGTTCTGAGAATCTGCTGGCGCGGCTCGAGGGACCGAATCCCAAGGATCGAGACGAGCTGCACGCCGTCATTGCGATTGGGTATAATACGTGTTGAAGCAGCTGTTGCTTTTTTTCTTTTTTCTTCAACTTTGGCTGTGCCATACAGTTCTCCGGATAGGGAGGCAGTATAGACCTCTTTCGCGACCAGATTGACCAAGATAATTCATTTTGATCAGGACTCAAGTCTACGAGTCTTTCGCGACTAGTGGCGTAGCCCTGGTATCGAAAGAATGTCCCCGACGTATGTACCGAGTACATGGAAATGAAGAAAATCGCCGGACCAGGCACATGAAGCATACGTATGACATCCCTCTCAGATTCGTGGGTTTGTTCCACCTGATTCAAGAAAAAAGAGTAAGAGTCAGAGTCGCTCCGAGACCAAACAAACCCCAACACACGCTACTGTGGTACGTACTGTAGGCTGGAGAAAGAAGAACACTAAAAGGGGACCTACTCCTCCCAACCCCCCCTTCCTCTCTCTCCCTCTTTTCCCGCTCCAGCCCAGCCCAGGGAGGGGGGTTAAGAAATGTTTCACACCATGGCCATGTAAACCATGTTCGTGTGCTTGGACCGCTTGATCTTCTTCTTCCCGTTCGGCATGGTGACCAGGTACTCGTTCAGGCCGGGCAGCCGGCCGACCTCGGCCTGTTTCTTGGCCTCGAGTCTCTCGGCGGCCTTTTCGGCCGCGGTGGGCGGGCGGGTCGGCAGCGGGGAGTGGCGCGCCCGGGCCCTCTCGACGGCGAGGTGGAAGCCCAGGTCGTCTTGGATGGAGCGGATTTGGGTTGGTGAGAGGGTCGACAAAGGGGAGAGCGGGGAGGCTGCGGCGGTGGCGCGGGATGACGATGATGATGACGACGATCTGGATTGTGTGGCGGCGGTGTAGCTGAATGTCGGGATGTCGTCGCGGATGCGTTCGCATGTCCAGCAGTAGCACTCGTCATACTCTTTGGAGGAAGACGGCTGGCGGCTGCTCCGTTCCGGGACGTCACTGCCACCAAGCCACTCCGCCGCCGTGGAGATTCGCGGCGATTTGGTGTCCGTGGGCGTGGGCGTGGGCGCGGGCACAATCTCCTGCCGAAACAGCCGGTAGAGTCGCGGGTAGAGCCTGTGCGTTTTCCAGACCAATTCCACGCCAAAGGGCAAAGGGAAATCATCTTGGGCGGCTGCCGCCGCCGTGGCCACGCTGGAGATCGGAGTCGGAGACAGCTGACGCTCCAGATACTGCAGGAACGCGCGTTCGAGCGAGCCCTGCAACGACGGCGACCGGATCCACAGCAGCCGGTGGGCCTCGTCCATGAATCTCTCGCACCGCTTCACCTGTCCGAACAGGTCGATGTCGACGGGCAGCTCCGGGCACTCGACGTACGCGGGCGGCCCTTCGAGGTAGGTCAGGATGTCTGCCGACTGGGACGTCAAGGTGGCGAAGAGATTCTCGGCCGGCCTGGTGATCCTGTAGGCCAGGGAGTCGAGGTCGAGCGCGTCGCGGATGGCCGGCCAGGGGAAACACAGGTCTCCGATCCGGGCGGTGGGCGTTTCTTGGTAGGAGCACGCCGTCGTGTAGCTTTCCTCGTCGAGCATGAAGGCGTACCACACCAGCAGCACGTCCAGCGGCGGGAGGTAGTCCTTTGTCAGTTGCACCCCGGCGTGGGTGCCCGCGTGGTGCGTGAATGCCGTGGCGTGGTACAGGATCCGGTCCATGTTCATCCACCAGGCCGTGAAGCGCGTGATGGCCAGCCGGATCAGCAGGTCCCATCGCTCCGGCTCGGGCAGCTTTGTACTTGTCGGTGGACGATGTTGCTGCTGCTGCTGCTCGCGAAGCACGTCGCGCTTCTCGTCTTCGGAAAATGCCGGCGGCGGCTGGTCCTCGACCACCTCGACGTCATCGAGCCTGCTGGCCGCCGAGAGTCTGAGTCTTTGAAAGCTCTCGAGCAGCGCCAGGTGCACCGCCGCATGGCTGACGTCGGGGTAGACGAGGCTGGTGTCGGCGCCGATCCTTGCCGCTGTCGGCTCGTTGGGCACAAAGGCGTTTCTGAAGATTCTTGGGTTTGGGATCACTGTTTCTCGCGTCCCTGGTTTGGAGGATGTCGAGTACGAAGATGGGAGTCGCCACTGATGCGGATCGACCTGTGCTTGATCTCCTCCGGCGGACCGGCCGCGGAAGCGACTCAATATCGACATTTCGTTGTATGTGGGGCGTGATTCGGATTGTGCGATGTTGTACAGACAGACAGACAATGAACCAAGTTGTTATTTATTCCCTTACTCCCCTAACTACTTATCCAAGCGGTACTTGTAGTTGTACTTGTGGTCTAGTTGTAGTCGCCGTTGTAAGAGAATAAAGTCGGCGCACGCGTGGCGGTGCATTGGCACGGCCATGGCAGTGTTTCTAGGCATCTCGGCAACTATTCCGCCGCGTGCACTGATCATCAGACATGGCATGACAAGTTGCTAGCCTGGCCGGGGCGGTTGGGGATTTTGAGTGGCCGTCATGGTGCCTTGTGTTTGTACATTCTTGTAGAGAAAGGTATTTTGTCCCTGGGTCGATATACATCCCACATCCCCTGTTTGTTTGTTTTGAGGGTTGGTTTATGGAGGGGAAGGGGAGCTTGATAGGGACTGAATAAATGATCGGGGCCACTCTACCGAGCACTCGGCAAGTCGGTACATGGAAAATTAAGGGAAGCCAATACTCAGTAAATACCCCGCAGCGTCCACAGAGTCGGTTAAACGTTGGGAAGCCTATTTGGCACGTTGCCCACCATCCACAAGTAAAGGCCAGTCTGCCAGTACATATTTCGATACTGCCAACTGCCAAGAGCATCGTATTATAGTCTGGGAAACAGATGTACGATTATTCGGTACGACCTACCTCGTACAGAATTATTACGACATCCAACCCCCGTCTACTTGGTACTCGGTTGAGTCTAGGTACGAGTACCTCGTAGGACTGAATGGATTGGCCATTAACCGGGGCTGCCGGGGCGGCCCTCAGTGTCAGCAAAGTCAGCGATTGGCGCAAGATCAGCATCATCATGACATCTCAGAATAAGTGCCTGGGGACTGGGACACACGGGCCACCGACGGGCCAAAATATGACTCCCAAGTGACTCCCTGCCAGGCTGTGGCTGGTTGACCTGGCTGCACAGCGACAGGCCAGGGACAAGGCAGACAGGTCCACAGGATAATTACCATACCATGTGACGGGACGGGACGAGTCGGGGTTTTAATCCAGGACCGATCTTATACTAGGTACGAGTACCGTCATGGCGCGCTGATAGTTACTGTGAGTTTTAGACTTCTTGGGTCATAAAAGGGATTCCCCTGGCCTTGGGACTTCGCAACTACTTCTCGAGGGCAATGTCTGCCAGTTTTCCCTCTTGACACTTTGATGGAGCAAGGAGAAAAGGGGCAAGCGGGAGAAGAATGCCCGCGTTCCTCGTTGATGGAAACTGCTCGACTAATTGACGAGGAAGTTTCGGGCAAGAGTTGGCTTGCCTCCTCCTGGTATCCAGGGAAAACGGCCCTTGCTGCAGGAGACGACAGAGGAGGGTATCGCCATCGCACTCGACGCGAGTTCTGGCTTCTTCATGGCTGCCTTCTGCTGCTATCATCGATGCTGGCCGTCGTTGGCATCTTGAGTCTCGTCATTTCTGAGACGCATCGTGCCCCCGAAGTCATGTGGTCGCCCATCCTCAATGCCGTGCCCGTTCAAAAGACCCGGTTCAACGAGACGTTCATGTACCCGACAAAGTTCACGTCCAAGTTTTCCAATGGTCTTGCATCCGAGGACGAGTGGCGCAGGTGGACGGCAAATCGTGAGATATCCCTCCTCCCAAAGTCTTCTGATCAAAGATTCCTGTACTGACTGAGACCTTGGTAGCGATGCTGGATGGGCGTGACGGCACAATCGCCGTGAAGGCCGACGTGGTCGATAGAATCGCTCCAATGTACACTTCGCAGTGGAAAGACTCGTTGATTCAGCTGTCCCATGGAGGTGAGACTCGGTATATGGGGCAAATTGCCATGTTTCATCATTTGCACTGTCTGGTAAGGCCTTCGCATCCATGAGACAATGGTCAGTTCGGCTGAAATTAGGGATTTGTAGAATATTCTCCGACACGCAGTGCATCCAGAACTGTATGGAGCCGCACCTGGAGGTGGCCACCTTGGTGAGTTCTATTCGTTGTGAAACCGCCCCGAGATCTGAATCTGACGTGGTGACTCGAACCAGACCACTGTATAGAGAGCCTGCGAGAGGTCCTCATGTGCAATCCAGGAGGCACCGAGGTGATTTTGTTCCATTGGATGGAAGATTCGGAGAAACCATATCCAGACTATAACACTTTCCATCAGTGTAGAGATCCAGGCGCGGTTTTAGATTGGGCTCTGGAACACGCGGTCAAAATCAGGGGACCTCTGACCAAACCCAGGGGCGTCTTTGCGATGCAGGATCCCCCATACTGAACAGCGACCAGTGTAGTCAATATGGTAGAATAAGGGAGAAACACATACCTTTGCGATCTATCACGGGGTGGATTGGAGTGTCAGCGTAAATCATATGCAGAGCTGCAATCACCCTCGATCATGACACCGCAAAGTTGTCATCCACGACATGGTCTGGCCTTCGGCAACGCATCATTGGCTCCCCCCGACCCTGCTGAGTAGACAAAGGCCCCTCGGGTAGCATAGATAAGAGCTTCTCACCTTCTCACCACCCAGGCGCCTCGTATGAGGATGGTCTCTTGCTAGAGTTTGATATCTCTAGCATAATGCTCCCCTTAGCTTCCCTAGTATTTCTCCTCACGTCCGTCCGGGCTGTCCCAGAAGCATTCTCGCCTCATCCTTCGTCGCAGGCTGTGCTCTCCTCCAACGATGTACATCATGACCTCCAGGAGATACCAAAGTCGTTTGACTTTTGTCCTCCGGTCGACCGCATTCCGCACCAGTTCCCTTACATAGGGCCGGACTATAGATGGTCGGACAAGACGGTGTTGGACGTCCTCGCGTCTCTCGAGCAGACTCGTTCCTTTGCCGATGCGGTGCGGCCGTTCGACGACTTGGTCTCGCGACTGAGTGACCCGGACGTGAACACTACCGTCTGGGCTGCGGCCGTTGCGGCCGACTCGGCCATCCCTGAGTGGTGTCAAGGCCAAGCCATCCGTGAGTGTCTGGCGTACCATATCTCTCCTCACTGGGTGCCGACAATTAGGGAGTTGTCCATGCCAAACACGCCGACGCTGTTGCGGCCCAGCACATTGAATGGCGAGGCACGAATCCACATCAGCTTGTCCGTACTGGATCGTGCCACAGGGGAAGTCGCCCTGATGGTCAATCGACACTCTCGAGTCGTCCAACACGACATCATGGCCCGCAACGGGGTCGTCCATGTCGTGGACTCGTACTTTCCGCCGCTGGTGCCCATGATGACGTTCATCGACTCCTCCCTCACAAACGAAGGGGGCTACAGCCTGATCCGCCGGGCGGTACAGCACGCCGACTTTGCGGGAGAACTGGAACGGGCACAGCTCTACGGGGCGACGTTCTTTGTCCCCGATGATGCAGCCTTTGGCGAACTCGACCCGCCATATTTGGAGTTCTTGTTCCGTGACGAGGGAAGGGATGTCCTCAAGACACTTCTCAGGGGTCACTTGGTGCCGAATCGGACGTTGTTCTCCAATGCGTTCTACGACGCAGACAGAGCAGCAGCAGCGTCATCCAAAACTTCCAACTCGATGGAGACACATTCTCGGGCCAAAGATGCTGACGTCAAGGGATCGTGGTACTCGTATCAAGTCAGCCCTTCTCGCAATAGCTCTGAGGTCCAGTCCCGGTCCCAGTCCCAGTCCCAACCGGGTTGCTACAGGGTGCCCTGGGGCCATCGCCAGTTTCTTCTGGAAACGCTGCGACCCAGTGAGGAACTGACGGTCGACATTGCCAGAGCTGGGGGGTTCATGGATCTCCGGGTACGAGGATCAGCGGGGAATGGCGGCGCGCGAGCCAGGGCCAAGGTCAAGACCGCCGACTTTCTCTGCAGTGACGGCGTTGTGCATGTAGTGGATAGAGTAGTTCTTTGATTGTCGGGAAGGAAAGTTGTTGATACCGACGGGATGTGGCGGGGAAAGACGGCGATGATGTATTGTCATGCTCGTGCCCAGTATTCACCAACGGGTGCTTTGGAATAAGAGGCACCGGGGGGGTGTTCGGGGAAAAAAAGGGGCATCGGAAGGAAGTTCCAGGGATTGTTTGATCAATCAACGCCTCAGAAACTCAGGGCTGGTACGCAACTGAAACTAGACCTGATCCTCAAAAGCCCCGAATCCTAGACATTCAAGTTATTCACCCAGTATAGCAATGCTTGGGCGCTATTTCGTGATCTCCCATCCATTCCCTGGTGCTTGTAATGTAATTATGTACAGACGGTATACCAAACACCACCAACATCTCTGTTATTTGGTCACCCTTTTTGCCTTGCGTGGAGTCCCCCAGTCACGCCGGTAATCTCCCAAACCTCGTCCCTACGTATGGATCAAATTTCGCCAAACCCAATCTCCCTATATCGACGACTCGTAGCATCGTCGTCGTTCATGTTCCGAGCCCTCTTTTCCGCCTTGCCGTGAAGCACGGCGAATTTCCGTCGCACTTCTGAGAGAAGCTCCTCCAGCTCCGAGTCTTTGGATTGTATGTCCAGGTAGACGCCCAATTCGTACAGTCGGATCAGGTCAGTGGCCAGTTTCTGGGACCGCTGGGTCAGCGTGGATGCGAGCGGGGATCGTTGGGATTCCCAGTCATCGCGGGGTCTGAGCTCGGTGGCGTCGCTGGAGGTTGAGGACCAATGGGACAATGAAGAGGAAGAAGAGGTCGAGGATGTCGTCGAGGATAGTCTCTGCGGGTTTGGTGCAACTTTGGGATGTCTCTGTGGTTGTTGCTGCTGCTGAACACGGGGATCGGACCACGTGTGTTTGTTGAGAGTATGTATCGGACTCCCGTGCCGGGATGGCTGTATCGACTCTGTACATGTAGTGGTATTGCCGGTGCCGACATCGTCCATTGGTGGGAAAAATGTTGTTTCGAGGGAGAGAGATTGAGGATCCGAACGGGTACGGCTGACATATGGTTTCTGAACGCCACGGCAACGCTCACGCCTGTCGTATGCACTTTCGGTCGTCTCGGTGGCGTTGGCTGGATGAGGCCCTCCAAAGGCATTGTCTGGGGGACTGGCAACCGTCGACTTGGAGAGATGTGAACTGCAGCGTCGACAGTGATTGCTCATCACTTGTCCAGCCCGATTTGACAAGGAAGACGATGACGATGGGTGTGTGATGATCTTGAGAGGCGGACTGTCGTTGACCCCGCCCATCTCGTTGAGTTCGTTGATTTCCATGGGTTCTAGGAAGTTGAGATCCATGAAACTTGCATCCGTGTCCAGCCCCCCGACGTCCTGGTTCCAGAGTGAAGAGGCCGCTCCATTGAGACTTAATGCCCCGTTATCTGATCCCATCATACCCAAATCGGAGGGTTCGAGGCCGGCCATCTCGGTAACATCTCCAGCCGTGGGTTTTGCGTCCTGCCGAAGTCGTTGCCCTACGAGCAGAAGGAATTTAGTCGACTCTCAACTCATTTCCATTGCCTAACGATGGGAGAGTAACTCACGACGTCGTCTCTGGGCGATGCGGTTCTGAGCTTTACGGCGCTCGTGGGCATCGCTGATATCCTTCAACTCGTCGTCCATGTCTTGTTCTTGTCGAGTGATGTATCAACCAAGAAATTCCCTCAGTGTTTCTTCTTCCCAGTAAGTCATCTCGAACAGAGATCAGCTGTCGACGAAAGCACTGTCCCTCGGACCCAGAATATTATATGCCGGCTCTCTTTTTCTCTCTTTCTCCACAGAACAACCATTGGTGAACCTGCCATAAGGGGCATCGTCGATCACGAGGTTTGAGGGAACCGGGGATCCATGATCCACACGAAACTTGGGATCAGGCAATCGATATACAATACGGCGATCTCCAAAGCGCCCCTTGGTGATGTAATAGTTCGGAAGCATCCGAGCAATGGCATTGGTGGCATCAAGGTATAGTTGGTTTGGTTACACTCTGTGCGACTCTGTGTTTCTCTCGCTCTGGATGGACGGATGGATGGATGTGGTGGAGAAAAGGTTGATGGTTTTTTTGACCGCCGATGGTTTTTCCAAGGAAGCAAATCATGGTCTCAAGTCAGATTCGGTCCCTCTTGGAGCGCCTGATTGTGATTCGAAAGAAAAAAAAACGGGAGTTTCTGGGTGGTTTGATTCCACGTGCATTTGTCCTTTTGTTGTTTGGTGAAGGGTGACAAATTCGGCGCTATAGAACTCCCCCTCCCTCCTCCCTTGCCCTTTCCCAACCCCGTTTCCTCCTGATCTCAATTAGAGATCCTGAACGCATCGCATCTCGCCTCGTTGCATATCGAGGATTCCTGATCCCAAGTAACAAGACTGCAGAACGAACAGGCCTCCTCTTCCCCTCAGGATCAGACAGCATCGGCAACCGACCATGCTGATCTGTCCAAGTTTCTCGGCTTTCAAATCCTTCGCGCGAAACACTGCATTGGTTCACTTACTGGTTGCATGTTGGAGCTGGAATCCTACAGTAACAAAATTCGTCATCGAAAATGGCCATGGCCACATTATTGCATGTGTTTCCTGGTGGTTTTGTCAAGACGAGATACGACGCGACCAGGATAGGGTTGCCGGATGGGCATGGTACTTATCACAAAACAGTCTGAGGATTCTCCATGCATATATCCGTCCAGCCATCCATCCCGGCTCGGCCAACTAGCATTTGCATTCGGTTAATTGGCATCACAGGTACGTATCTCGACGGGCGCCCGAAACCTCCGACTGGCTGGCAGCATGTGGATCTGCGCTGTGCCATTGGCTGTCTAAGGTAAGAGGAGGCTAGGGCTTATGGATACATTGGGTTTATGCAAGATAGATAAACGTCCGCTGGCGTCCGCTAATGGTAGCGGCTACTGGATGTGTATAATAAGAGGAGGGAGAAGCTCGGGATTTCCTGCTGCAGCGTTACAACGAGTCAATGATCGCGCAGGAGTGGCAAGCATCGAAGTCGACACGACAAGTACAAGGCCAACTTGGGCGATCCCAGTTGGCATCGTATCCTGGCCTCTGGGTCATGGTGCCCATGTCAGCAGTGACAGCAAGATCGCGAAGCTCGCAAAAGATTTCTGGTCATCCATCTGATCTTCGATGCTTGCATTCTGCAACACACTGTCAGCAAATCGCCATGGGGAATCATGCCTCGGGTGTCGACACCTGATCGTCTTGTATCAATAACGTGGGTAACTACAGATGGATCATCGGTGCCAACAACGATGATAATCCCAGGAACAGCCCAGTTTTTTGTCTACAGGTTTGTTGCTCCATGATTTCGTCAGAATAATCGAGCCAAGCAGCCATGTCTCAAGGCAGCCAAGACGAAGCAAAAATTGGTCTCGTACCCGGTCTCTCACCGTCTTCAGAAGCCTCGTTGTCCTCAGACACGGTTTGCGATCTAGGCGAGGATGACCACGATCTCGAAAAGGAAGACGTCGCCCTCCTTCACGCAAAGGAGCTCGGGTCGACGCATGCACGGACGACAGCGAGGAGATGCAGGTTACCCAAGTCGATTCTGCTCTGGACCTTCTTCATTGCTCTCGCCGCCCTCAGCTTTCTGGTGTATTGGCTGCTGCCTCTCAAAATGAACCAGACACCCACTTTTCATCCCGTGTTTGGCGACTGCGGGAAAACACCCGACCAGGCGAGGGCAAAGGGCTGCGTCTACGATCCTCTCGCCGTCACCTGGGTCCGGCCAGAATGCTACTATCCTGAGCTTATCGAAGAGTTCATCGACATGGAACCGGTGGCCTTCTACCACGACAAATCCCTCAGCACGGAGTCTCTGGTGCCGTTGGAAGAAATCATCCAGGCCCAGCACGAGCAAGTGTGGGCGCCTCACAAGTTTCACTCGGTATGTTCTATTCTTCCCTGACTCAGCGGACGAGATCCTGACGGCTCTGGTAGGTCCATTGCGCCCATGTGGTCAAGAAGGTACATCATGCCCTCATGAACCATTTCCCCATTGACAGCTTTTCATTGAACTACGCCCACACGGAGCACTGCCAGCTGGTGTTACTCGAAGAGCTGCCTCAGTGTGCCGCGCCTGGGACTTGTCGACTGAATAATGTCATTCAGAAATACAGTTCGTGCGGATATGTGTATTAGGGGGATATGTCTGGGTAGGAGCAGGGGCTGTCTTGTGGCCCGGAATAGTCGAGAGATGTGGCAATCTTAGACCTACAGTTCCTTATTCCGTGCATACAACTCTGCATATCTGTGTATACAACATCTACATCCACACTGCTTGTACTCGTCCCTCGTAAACAGACTACATTTCATTACCCCTCCCGAGTCCTGATTCCCATTCCCCTAGACTATGTACAGCGTAAACTATCTGTCGATCTTCCGCACAAGGATCCCACCACTTACGATTCACTTGCTTGATCGAGCAAAGCCTCGTGGGTCTCTTGATGACAGTCCATCTTCCTAGCTTCTCCATACGATCCTTCCAAAGAACGATGCCCACACATATCCCAGATCACAAAGATGACCTGTTTGTGCCCCTGTCATCTCGCGCGACTCCTTACTGACTACTCATCCCTGACTAACTGATTCAGTGACTGAGTGACTGAGTGACTGCCGGGTCCACACAACAGTGTTACACTGATACGAGTTACATTGTCTGTCATCGACCTCTGCACTTACAGGTAGGTAGGTAGGTGTACCACCGATGGATACGCCCATGGGTGGTCCTGCTTGCTGACAGTGCACCAATGTACACCACGCTACGCTACACTACACTAAACTGCACGTCACTACCAAGCTTCGAAGCTTCGAAGCGATGCTTTGTCGCCATCCATACAGGATAGTGCGTCAGGATTGCAATGACCTTCACAAGACACGAGTCGCACCCCTACATTCCCTCTCTGCTATGACGACCAGACCAGGAGACGAGCCCATTTTCCAAGATGTCGAATTGAGTTCTCCTTCGACCCGGTCCTATCCAGGATGAGGTTCGATGGTCGATGTCGTGGCTCTGGTCAAGCATCATTCTACACTGATCCCGCCCCCTTTTGTCCTTGATCCCAGGTTTCTAGCCTCGAGGGGGACTGGCTGTCCTGTTCAGCTTCGTCATCCGATTCTGACCTTCCCAACCTATCCCATCCCATCCTCTTGAATCTCAATCCCCTTCCCCTTTCCTCATTCTCCAAAACTCCCAGGGAGAGAAAGAAAGAAGTGCGATCTTCCTCAAGAATCACAAACACAATGTTCGACCACGACTGGTGGTCCTGGCCGGCCACTCGACACTACACGTATCGCTACAACCTCCTAGACGCCGACAAAGATGAAGCTTCGCTCGACGAGGGACACGGGGAAATTCGTCGACAATCCCGCGGTCGTGCGTGTTGTCCATGTTCAACGGTGCTGATATTGGTACTAGCCACGCTGGCAACAGCGAGTGCCTGTGTCCTCGCCTTCTACGCTGGGACATTATACGAGTACGAGAGGAATACTAAGTGGTCCAGCGGGGATAGGGGCCAGTTACAGCGTAAGATAACCCCTTGAACCTCGGACTTGAATATCACTTGGGCTTGAACACACACACACACACACACACACACACACACACAGAGAGAGAGAGAGAGAGAGAGAGAAAATGAGTCTACCGAGTATGTACCAACGTCCAGAGTGGCTGCTGACGTCCGTGTGTCACGAGGGAGGATAGTCCGCACCATCGAGTTCGAATTGGAATACAATGCGAGCTTTGGCGACGCACCCAGCCCCGTCACCGAGGCCGCCTGGGACGATTTGTTGCCCGTGCAGGGGGGTTTCTTTCAACATCCCCAGATTGCCCCGTCACGGTCTGATTTTGCGGTATTCCACCAGTTGCATTGCTTGGTACGTCTGACATTCTCTCACAAAGACGATCTCCATATGTACATGTACCGAGGAGAACCCGAATGCCGAATACTTGAGCATGTATGTATGCACTCGTACTGACATCGAATGTACTTTGTATGTAGAACGGAATCCGACAAGCCTACTGGTTCACCCACGCCGTCGCCACGGGCGCCGCCACCCTCTCCGCATCAGCAGATGGCACCGACGCCGCCGACGTCTCGGAGATGATCTCCCCCCGCCACATCAGCCACTGCGTCGACCTGCTCCGCCAGGCGCTCATGTGCCAGCCCGACCTGACGGTCGAGGTCAAGGACGAGCGCGGCGGCGTCACGGGATTCGGCACCGTGCATCAGTGCAAGGACTGGGCGCAGCTGATGGCCTGGATGGCCGAGTGGGAGACGTACGGGCAGACCGACGAGGAGGCGTACGAGGCTGGGGAGAGATATCGTCATCATCATCACGACCACCTTGGACACGTGTAGCTTGGTGGGGATATAACTCGGTAGGGATATGGGGATGAACCATACTGGCACCACTTGTACTAGTCCCTGATGAAGAGGGCTTAATCCCCCCGTCGCTCAAGGCGTAGCACTAGAATGACAAAGTCAGACGAATGCCCATTCTATCAATGGCGATGACGCTTTGCTCGGCGATTCAAATATACGTTGGGGGGCACCCATACAACTAGTCTAGCTCAGTGCTGGAATTGGATTGTAGTTAACTCTGCCTGCTCTGCGCAGTTTTTGCCGAGGAATGCGGCCGGCCCCTTGGTTCCGGGTGAAGGAGGACAGAGAATGGTGTTTTCGTCAGTTTTGCTCCTTCCGTCTCCTTGTTCGAGGGAAGATGGGCAAGTCCATGAGACTGGCACGTAAAAAAGAACTCGTCGAGGGGTTTGAAGAACTTTTGTAACCCAAAAGAAGAATCGTCGCCCATAACTCGACGTCATGCTCTCGGATCTCTGCGAGCGGCCAGTTATCAACGCACGTGGCAGTCTATGGTGGAAAAGGGAGTTAACGACAAAACTTCCTGCAAAAGATATACCATCCGAGATATGCTCCATCTTCATGTCGATCCCATGGAAAGACATCTCCCAGCAAATTGACCCGTGCCACAATGCTCGGGATGACTTCCCAAGAACTCGGCCCATCATCATGCTCCGACACCTCAGTCATGGCCAGAAGCCCGGCAAATCGATGTATCTGTAGCGTGGCAGGCGGAATGTTCTGTGGCGGTACACGTCTTGGGCGTATTGGTGGTGGCGGGGGTGGCGGCCAATATTCTGGCAGCTCTTCAGCTTGCAGTTGATGCTATTCGGTTGAAAACCTCAGTGTCGAATGCTGGCTGGCAGGCAGGTCTGGGCTGTCGGGTCGCCGTATAGCTACCGTCCCTGGCAGCCCCGGTCTCCATCTCAATCTCCAGAGCTTGGAGCCTTGAAGTCACGAGCCAACGGGTAACTTCTTCATGATTGCCTGTTTCAACCCCTCGACAGTGTCGACCATCTCGACCCCGAACCTGTTGCACACAATCTGCACATTTCCCCTCTTCCAGTATCCCCTTGGACAGGCGACAATAGCCTTGCCGGGAGCACGCACACAGAGCCCCAACTCGAGCAAACTGACGGGCGCTTGGGTGGCCGGGTGGAAGAAGAAGACGATAATGTCCGCCTGGTCCTGTTTCTCGAGCTCCCACTCCACCTGTTCGCGGTAGGGCGCAAAGTCGATATCCTCGATCCACGAACCGTCCCAATCGGCTCGATACGGGTTGTAGATCGTGATGGGTGTGTCGCGGAGGGAGGTGCAGAGGACCTCGCGCCAGTCGCTGGTGTTGTCGACTTTGCTCGTGGTCCCGGCGAGGAAGACGGACTTGACGCCTCGGGGAATCTCGTCTGAAGGCGCGTAGATGATCTGGCTCCGTGCCGGCGCCATCTTCAGGGATGACAATGTCTTTCCTGAGTACTATTGGTTGGAAAGAAGTATGCGTACGAGAACGGAAGAGATGGTGGATAACGTGGGCTCGACACATGGGCTGGGAAGCAGAGCGGCTGCATAAAAGTGGAGGTTGATGGAGAAGCTTAGAGGCACAAATTACTGCCACTCAAATACTTCCCCGCCCCAGGAATTTATTTCAAGTTCAAGTGAATGTCCTTTGATTGCTCTTCACCTTGCAGAAGCAAGAAAGTCGAATAGGCCAAGAATAATCCTCAGCACCTCCCTTCTGTCATCAGGTACTTGAAGGTCAAAGTCATCCGAATAAGAGACTTGGAGAGGCCTTTCAGACTTGCCACTGTAGAGATGCTCTAAGTAGGCAGATGGTATGACTGTCTCTTGGATCTGGAGGAGATTGTCACTCAAACGAAGTACAAATGCCTCGTAGCTATGGCAACTTGGATTGAGGGAATGTGCCACACAGCCTTGTACGAGAGCTTGGGCGACCTGGCATCGTTCTACGTGAAGTGTCTGGAGATGTTCGGAGGTCCAGTACTTGGGAGGTTGAAGCAGAAATGTAGCCAAGGGCATCTGAGGAGTAATGGAGCCTTCAGAGGTGTTCAAGAGAACAGCAAAGAGAGCGCCGCTCTGCAATGTTCGCCAAAGAGTGGTTGCCAACGTTGACAAAGGCGCAGGTGGGAACCAATTTACGGATGGAAAAACAATACAAACACTGCAAACATCTCCCAGATCGCGGGCCTGCGCACAGGGGCGTGAGGGGCCGCTGGGGCCTGACATGACAGGCAGGCACGGAAGCCTCTCTCCATCACATCAAAGATACGTGACGAAAATGATCGATTTCTCGACATTATTTCATTCATTTACCCCTGTCACAATCACGTTTCTCGCTTAAACCCTCGGAACCTCTCCAGAAATAGAACTAGAACTCCCCCAGTCGACATGCCAGCGTCGCCGCAATCATGGCCGGCACGGACGCCGCCCGCAGAGTCCAGACGGCGGGCTCGACGCTTCCCATCTCGGTCATAACCCGCATGATCCCACTGCTGGCCAGCGCGGCGACGATCTGGGGCGTGGAGATGGCCAGATTGTGGAGGCCGAGAATGGCGCCGCGGTGTTTGCGGAGCTCATCGACCTCGTCAGCGTCAGCATCCACGTCGTAATGGCTGTAGTCCTTTCCCCTGGGCGAGATTTCTGCGCCGACGATGGCGTGTGGAATCCACTGCGTCGCTGCCCAGGAGCAACCGACCAGAGACACCAGGACTACGGTGCCTTGCCATGACTTGACCACCAGGGTCAGCAGCATGCAGGCCGCGAAGAGGACGTGGCTGTAGATCCAGACCGTGTGCATCGAGCACAACGCGGGGTCTGTCGTTGCGACATCTTCCTTGAGCGCTGTGGTTATACAAGGCTGGCAGACGACACGGGTCAGGATCGTGGTCGACAGAAACGCCACCAGGGTCCACATCAGAAGCGCCGTGGAGCCAACTTGGGTCGCCGGGGATTTTAGCAGAGTGGCCACGTCCTTCCACCCGTGGAAAGACTGTAGCTGGGAGAGCGCATCTTTTCACAAACAATAGTCAGCATAATCAACCCAATCAGCAAAAACTTCTGCGTTGGAACATACATCTTGTGTTCACGTAACTGCGGCATGTTAGTTAAAAAGTCTTTACAGTGACAGACGCAGGTCTCTCACCTGGTCATGTAGAATAGAAAAGGAAACCATGCCGTCCAAGAGAAGACCTGTACGGCAAAAACTTGCTTGATCCGCGTCGGGGTACAGTGGTAAGCCTGCCGGATGGAGCGGAGAGCAGACCTAAGCCCAAGCGGCTGTCTGTGCTCCGTCACAGTCGTGTCGAAGTTGGGATTGCGTTCCCGTGCCGTGCGCAGGCAGATCGAGATTGTGGCCGTCAGGCTGAGACAGGAGATGATGCTCAGAGTCTGAAACTGTGTCAGGGAGGACACTCGGAGCACCTGGGGCAGATTAAAACTGCCCGCCCACAGGCTGAGAATGTTAGACACTGATGTCGAGTAGCTCGCCCACGCGGTGACACGGCTTTGTTCTTGGGCAACCACGAGATCCGTGATCAACGACCGCAGACCAAAAGCCAGTGGAGTCATGGAGACGTTGAGCAATATGACCATCAGGACCGCGACTGCCCGCATCAGGCTCGGTGATATTGACTGGAATAGATACTCGACCCAGGCCAATAACAAGATGCATATCATAGAGCAGACTGCGCCGACCAGGACAAATGGCCGGCGCCGGCCCCAGGAGAGTCTGCATCCGTCGCTGATTATGCCAATTATAGGCTGCAAGAAGCCACAAGCTGGACTTGTTGCCCAAACCAGAGCTGTCATGGACCGAGACAATCCTAGGGACATCAAGTATGGCTTTGGGTGTAGTTAGCAAACATCTCTGATGCGACCACGGACTGGGCACGATCACTTACACTGCCATGCGAGATTATCAAAGCCCAGACAGTTTGAAGACTGTGGCCCAGGAGTGAGTGACCGACCTTGCCTGGAAAGAAACCATGGGAATCTTACCCTCCAAGACCGCAAGTCAGGCAAAAGAGTCTTCCATAACTAAGTCGTTGGGCGACCTGGGGCGCCAGGTCGTGTTTCCTTGAATACATTGTCTCTGTAGTGAGCGATCCTGAGGATGAAGAGAAGATCCAACGGCTCAACTCCTTGGTGAATAGTCTTTGCGAAATTGGAGCCTCAATCTCTAGACAGATGGGCTCGTAAGGGCATGTGAAGGTCAAGAGTCCCGGCAGAGGTTGGAACCCCGTAGACCAAAACAACCGGGATCAGTCCCCAGTGGGCAAGATGGCTGTGCCAAAATGGTCTGAGGAGCCTTGTTGGACGGTGAAGACCCTTCCAGGTCATCATAGCTTGAGTTCCCCATTGAGGCCGTCGACGCCCACACCTTTGCTTATTCTTTCAGGGATGGTAAAACACAGTGGACTCGAAGGATGATCCTACTGATGTCGTCGGGATGTACAATGTGTGGTTCACTCTGCCATGTAGCCGGAGGATGTTGACAGTGTGGATGGTGGTGACTGTCAGCATGACCTGTTGTCATTCATGCAAAGTAGTGCTGCTGACCCCTGACTGACTCAGGACAATTGCCCAGCCTTGCGTGCATGACTCGCCATGAATCCAACACACTCGCCTTAGTCATCACGTCAGTTTTGTTGACGTCGACTTTACCTCCAGCATCATCGGGGCACCCAGTTGAGTCTTGTCATAGTTGCGGTGCTCCCATCGGGTATGCATACTGCCGTCATGGCTGTAACCATGACCGGTGTCAAGTCAGGATTCCTGGAAGTTGTTTCGAGCTGGCCAGGTCACACCCGAAGACTCGACGTCACAGAGAGACATGTCGAATCCACCTTCAGGCTATGATAGTTCTATAAAACATGGACAGCCCTCGAATAGTCTCTCATTATTCTTGCAGCACGGTGCAGCCTTGTGGACAGAGCCTCAATTTCCCTGTGCAGTCAACAATTCCCAGATCCAATCAACGCTCCCAACCGGAACGCCTCGCAGCACTTACCATCACTTTGTCAATATGGTCAAATACGCTCTTTTGCTCTGCGCGGCAGTCGCAGTGACGGCCGTTGCAATCCCAGCGCCCTTGAGGCCCGTTGCGGAAGTGGTAGGTATAGACACATCTGTGGACTGCGGTTGACTAACCCCATGAAAGACCAAGCGAGGAGAGGACACTGCTGTTGAGTATTGGGACAAGCGAAGCGAGGATACCGCCGTTGAGTACTGGGACAAGGTGTGTATCCCTGACACAAGAACGTCTCGTGTGCTGACACCACAAAGACCAAGAGGGCTGAGGATACTGCCGTCGAGTACTGGGACAAGCGCAGTGAGGATACCGCTGTCGAATATTGGGATAAGCGAAGCGAAGATACTGCAGTCGAGTACTGGTAAGTCGACAACGTCTGCGAACACAATATGTTCTCTGGAGCATAATATCTTGCTTCGGAACACTCGAGTCTTACAGAGCCGCACTAACAGTGATGACAGGGACAAGGCCAAACGAGGCGAAGACACTGCTGTGGAATACTGTAAGAACCCTTTGGCCCAATCAAAAGTTTCAGAGATACACTTCCGAACCTCGAGCCTTCAACACGCATGACTCCGATGCTAATACCATGCTAGGGGACAAGGTCAAGCGCAGCGAGGACACTGCCGTCGAGTACTGGTGAGTCTGTTCCCCAACAGTATCTTGGCGTGGTGGCAAGGGAGTTGGATATACTAACACTCCACAGGGACAAAGTCAAGCGTGGCGAGGACACTGCCGTAGAGTAAGCGGCAGAATCACAGAGTCCTTGCGTTGTGGTGTCACTGACAAGCTATACAAGGTACTGGGACCGCAAGGCTAAACGTGGCGAAGATACTGCTGTTGAGTGAGTACCTCTCCTCGTCGCCTCAATGGCACATGAAACTCACAGCCTCGTCATAGGTACTGGGACCGCAAGGCCAAGCGTGGTGAAGACACCGCTGTCGAGTGAGTATCCGGGCGTGTGAAGGCCCCACAGACGAGCTTGAAGATTTAACACTTTCCTCTCCAGATACTGGGACCGCAAGGCCAAAGCTAGACGCGGTGAGGACACTGCCGTCGAGTACTGGGACAAGAGATCTCCTGACAGCAACACCGCTGTCGAATACTGGGACAAGCGGTCTCCCGACAGCAACACCGCTGTTGAATACTGGTACGTACCATGCCTATATCATCCATATTCAGGACACGTGCCCTCTTTCCCCTTCCGTCCTTCCATCCTCTCCTCCCTCTTCCCTCCAAGAAACCAAGGGTCCAAGAAACACCGAACCCCACCAATCCATCCTCTTGTTTCTCCCTTTGGCGACTTGGCCATCCATGGCATCTTACCGAACTCACACGCCCAGAAACTAACGCATGATCTACAGGGACAAGAAGATGGCCAAGCGTGACTCCGACACAGCCGTCGAGTACTGGGACTAAAAGAATAAGAAACAAGGACAAGACCTTGGCGGGCTGGCAGGTCACTTGGCCTGGGCAATTGAGCTGTGGGGAGCCCAGAGGTCCTGGAAAGGGTTATTACGCACGTGCTTCTTTCGATTGATAGATTGTGTGGTGATGAGGATCCCTGAAGATGAGAAAATGCGTGTGCTGGAGAGATATGTCTATGCGAGAATGGGTGGGTGCGTGAATGTGTGTGATGTCTGTAATGTGTGTGTGCGCGCTGGGCAGAATAAGACTCGAGGGTATACAAAGTATGGAAGCATTCCAATACACATACGAAGTATATACTAGAGACCGAGAATAATGCCGATCATCAAGTCACACAAAAGATAATCCAAAGTGCAGAAAAGAGAAGAGCCCCTTTGGGCATTTCTAGATAAAACCACGACCTTGTTCGTTAAGTCACTCTACATCTACAGAAACTTCGAGGTCGTCACTCAAGTAAGCAAGACCACTCGAGGAGGTGCTGCAACATAAAAGAGGAGAGTTTGAAATTTGCAGTCTAATGAGTATTGGCGAGTAAGTAGCGCCGGGGTCGTGTCTCCGAGCACCAGACCAGCAGTTGGCGATAATGGCTATCAGTGGACGATGAGGAGTGGATGGAGACTTGGATGGACTTGAGGTATAGTTTCTGGTTTGACGTGGTATATACGTATGTACGATACATCGTCTAACACCGAAGCTGAAGCCGAAGCCTTACAACTTCCACCGCGCGCTCAACGCTTACATGAGAGAAATAGTCATAACGTGTCTCCCCGTCCCTGCCGACTCTAACTATAATTCACCGCATCGTTCAAAGTGGGACTCAGTAGTATCTCGAGAGATGAGAGAAACATAGATAGTGTAGTAGACCCGTCGTCGCAAAAAGTTGTGTGGAAAAAAGCCGAATAATTTAATGCCGTGATGGGGCTCTTTACGAGAGGAAGTGTGGGGCGTTGAGGACAATACCCATGATGCAGCCCGCAAGCGTGCCGGCGATGGGGATGGTCATGATCCAGGAGAAAACCAAGAGACCGACTCGTTGCCAGTTGACGGCTTTCCAGGTGCCGTTGCAGAGACCGACGCCGATGGTCGCGCCGGTGATGCACATCGAGGTCGAGACGGGGAGCTTGTACTGGGAGAACAGCAACACGGTGATGGCGGCGCCCATCTCCATCGACGAGCCTCGCGAGGGCGAGTGGTAGGTGATCTTGTTGCCCATGACCTTCATAATGTTGTAGCCGTAGGTGATGAGACCCAGGGAAAGCGTCGCCGACAGCACCGCGAGTTGCCAGATGGGCACCTCGGCGCTGGATTTCGCGGCGTCGCCAGTGTTCCAGGCCGAGTAGATGACTGCCCAGGGACCGACGGCGTTGCCAATGTCGTTGGCGCCATGGGCAAAGGACGCCGTGCACGCGGTGATGACCTGGACAAACGAATAGGTGTGCTCGACCTCGTTGGGATATTTGGTCGCATGAGAGTACACTCGCTCCATACGTCGACCCTCGGGCGTACCCGTGACGCCGGTCTGTGCAGCGTGGATGTCGTAGTTCACGCCATACAGAACGGCGACGACGAGCATGGCCGGAATGCGTTTGAAAATAGTCTTGATGTTGCGGATCTCGTAGATCTCGCCTTCGCCAATGGGGTTGTCGTGCAAAGTCCGCATCGCCCAGCCGAGAGGACCACGCTTCTTCCGAAGTCGTCCGTGGAACCTTGCTTGGGCTTCAGCGACGCGTTCTTTATAGGTCAAGTGGGTGGACTGAGCCTCGACCTCGGCGAGGCTCTTTTCTGCCGTGCTATGGGAATGCCCTTTGACATCAGCTTCGATTTGATCAACGTCATCCTGGCTCTCGGAGTCTGGTGTACGAGGAGCAGCTTCAGCTTCGTCGTCGTGCTTCTGAACAACGGCGTAGTCCGGAACATTGGCTTTCTCATGAACATCGGCCGGAGGTGGTCGCTTCCAGAGGAGAGGACCCATGGGCAGATGCCAGAACTTGACGGTGTGGTCCTTTTTGATAACCTTTGCGTGCAACCAGGGAACGAAGAAGATGGCAGACAGGATGAACAAGCCACCACCAACACCCATGGTGACAGAGGCAATGTACCAGGCGGGTTTCTTGTTCAGACCTAGATTGGGAGAGCCCTTGTAGACAACGGACAGAGTGCAGATAGTGCCGGCAACAAGGAAGAAAAACGGCGAGGTAAACACGGCCCAGGGCACCGGGTTCTTTCGCATATGCACCACCAGCTTGATGAGCATGAAGATTGTCGCAGCAAAGCCACCGGAGATGATGGGAGCCATTCCCAAGCCGGCGAAGATTGCACCGAGACCCTGGCCATCGTTCCAGCCCCATTCTACCTGAGAGGCACCAGCGAGCGCGACACCCACACCGGCAACAGCCGAAATGAGCGAGTAGGATGATGAGACGTGGGCAGAATGTCGGGTACACCACATGACCCAGGACGAGGCACCAGCGAGCGCACAAGTGAATGCGAGCATCTGGACACCAGCGTTGTCATCGAAGGCAGAGAGGGGAATGATCTTGTTCTTGATGGTGGATGCAGTTCGGGCGCCAACAGTGATGGCTCCAACCATCTCAAACACAGCACCAAGGACCATGGCTTGTTGGTATGTGACAGATCTGGACGAGACACTGGTCGCCCAGCTGTTTGCTACATCATCTAACAAGACAATCAGCACCAATGTCAAAAGTGCAGGAACGTGGATGAGGTACTTACTTGCACCGTTGTTGTAAGCATCAAGTAGGGCAAACAACGTGCCAATGGCAAAGAGATAATCGTACTCGTGGAGGCGCGGCATCTTGGTGAAGATTGGACAAGTGTGTCACTCCGCGAGAGATATTCAAGTTGATAGAGAGCACGCAAGAGAAAGGAACAGACGGCAGGTCAGGGCTTTTATGTTGACGCAGTGTTCGGAGCGGCTCAGAGTATGTAATTGCAAAATCCTTGCTCTCTCTTGGCTGCATAGGATCAAAGTAGCTTTTCTTCTCCCGTGCCCACGCCACTAGGCATAGCCAAGTCATCATCAGATCGGAATGTGAGATACCTACTCCGTACTTCGGGCGACATCAAATCCCACATTTCACAGAGTCCCAATGCCTGGGTTGGCCAACGGCCTCTCCGAAGGTTCGACTCGGCGGCCCAGGGGGTTTGGGATGAAGCAAAAGCCAAGGACCGATAACCCACCTGTATTGAAGAGAAGCAAGTTCAAGCCGGACTCAGGTTGTCTTCTTACCTTCCAGAAGGCTTGGCTGCAACTCCGCGCGGGCGTTTCTGCGAATTTGATATATGGCGGGAGCGAGCACGTTCCTCCAGGGACGTATATAAGTGGCCCATTGAACAGGCACGACAGACAAGGGAACGTCTCCGCCCTTCTTGGCATGGCTTGGCGGAGTGAACCCGCCTTCGCTTCGCCGCTTTGCTCAGGCTTGTCTGTTGAACGGCTCCCGATACGTTCCAGGTCCAATATCGACTTCATCTCCGACCCTGCTAGAGTCACCCAACGGGGCAGTCATCTTCTGATCCCTTGGCATGCAGAAATTTTCTTTTGTTGCTCATTGTCATGGGTGGGGGACTGAATGCACGTTTTCGAGAAAGCGACCCCGAGAGGAACGGACGACATGTCAGATCACACGAGATGGCGGCCAAGTGGGAAAGAGGGTCTTCTGAAAGTCGATCCATTGCAACATCTCGCTTGATAAATTGGTCCGGTTAGCTTCCCACATGTTCCTGCCTTGGGGAATGCCCAGGCTGTGCTGTATGCATCATTAATCTGAGGCATCTGTTCGCGTGCACATAGCCCTTTGAGAAAAGCACACGGTGCCGCAGCACAGGTCATGAAGAATCCGGGCACTTTGTCTCACTGCTTTTGACTTCGATCTCGACGTCGACCCTTGCTAGTAAAGGACTGCGGCGAAGCACCGGCCGGGGAGATTCCTTTTCTCTGAGACCTAGCTGAATATCTTTTTTCTTGCCGTGCAGCACAGTCAAAAATTTGTTCCTAGGGCCAACGTTCAACGCGGACAAGTCTGCTGGGAGTGAAGTGTCGTTTATAAAACGACTACCGTGTAGAAAGAAAGCTGGTTGTTGGATGGCACGTGGCTAGGTGGCTTGTCACTGCAATTCCATCAAACATGCCAAGCAAATATGTTTGCTTCGCCACGTGACTCAAGTACAATAATTAGCATTGGCGGGGTTTGAGTGCGGGCGTGGCATTTGCTCGTGCGACGGAGTCACACAGCAGTCAGAAACCTGACACGTCTCGATTTCTGAGTCTACAAATAGTTCAGCGGGGAGGCAGTCGTTGCTCGCGGCTCATTACTCTGCAGCCTTACCTTTCTCGTCTTCCTTCACCATCTCACAGACGTGCAAGAGTACCATGTCGCACTCGAGGAACCCCTCCAAAACCGAACTTCCAACCAGAGAGAAAGAGTCCAAGACTGAAGCCGGACAAAAGATGGAGGCAAAAGCCGCTCCCAGCAAGCCCATTGGCAAAGCGGAAGCAAAACTTCCTCAGAAAGCAGGTGGAAAGAAAAAGAAAATGGAGGGTGCGGCGCTGATTGGTATCGATGTGTCCAAAGACGTCGACTTTTCGGAATGGTATCAGCAGGTCTTGCTGAAGGGAGACATGCTCGACTACTACGATATCTCTGGCTGCTATATCCTCAAGCCCGCCTCACAATTCGTTTGGGACGAAGTTAGAGCCTGGTTTGATGCGAGGATCAAGAAGATGGGCGTCAAAAACTGCTCCTTCCCGTTGTTCGTCTCTGAGGACGTGTTGAACCGTGAGAAGGCTCATATTGAGGGTTTCGCAGCCGAGGTTGCTTGGGTTACGCACGGAGGCAGCACCAAACTGGAGAAGAAAATCGCCATTCGTCCCACGTCCGAGACCGTCATGTACCCTTATTACGCCAAATGGATTCAGAGCTACCGTGACTTGCCCCTCAAACTCAACCAATGGAACTCTGTTGTCCGGTGGGAGTTCAAGCATCCGCAGCCATTCCTGCGCACGCGGGAGTTTCACTGGCAGGAAGGCCATACGGCACACCTGACCGAACAAGAAGCAGGCAAGGAAGTGCTGGAAATCCTCGATCTGTACGCCCAGATATATGAGGAGCTTCTGGCCGTCCCTGTCATTAAGGGGAGGAAGACGGATAAGGAAAAGTTCGCTGGAGGACTGTATACCACCACTGTCGAAGGGTACATCCCGGCTACTGGTCGGGGTATCCAAGGAGGTACCTCGCACTGTTTGGGACAAAACTTCAGCAAAATGTTCGGCATCACGGTGCAGGACCCTAATGCAAAGACGGAGGAGGAAAAGAAGAACCAGCTTTACGTGTGGCAGAATTCTTGGGGTTTGTCTACTCGTGTCATTGGTGTGATGGTCATGATCCACGGTGACGACCGAGGTCTGGTGATCCCACCTCGCGTTGTCGAAACCCAGGTCGTCATTGTGCCGGTTGGGGTGACTGCCAAAACCACAGAGGAGGAGAGGGACGCATTGTACAAAGAAATCCAAGGACTGGTGGAAGTCCTCAGAGCCGTCAACGTCCGAGTTGAAGCGGATTTCCGAGAGGGGTACTCTCCAGGATGGAAGTTTAACGACTGGGAATTGAAGGGCGTTCCTCTTCGCTTGGAGTTTGGACCTGGAGAGAGCAAGGGCCACTTTGTCACGACATCTCGAAGAGACCTCCCGAAAGCCGAGAGCAAGAGCCAGATTGCCATCAGTGAACTTAATACCGCCGTTCCGGAGCTGCTGGAGACCATCCAGAAGGACCTGTACAACCGAGCGGACACGAAATACAAGTCGCATGTGAAGAAAGTGACCAACTGGGATGATTTTGTTCCAGCACTGAACGACAAGAACGTCATCTTGCTGCCTCACTGCTTGACCGAGGAATGTGAAGATCAGATCAAGGAGAACAGCGCTCGCAAGGCCGAAGAACAGAGCGGCGTTCCTCAAGATGAGCGAGCTCCGAGCATGGGCGCGAAGAGTCTTTGCATTCCATTCGATCAGCCCGAAGGCATTGAGAAGGGAGTTACCAAATGCGGGAATCCAAGCTGCTCCAAGCTCGCCGAGGCATGGTGCATGTTTGGCCGATCATATTAGTCGGATGCAGGGGAGCAGGCAGGGAGGGTCGGGGATAGACACAACGAAGAGGGTAGACGATGAGATGCCGCGTTCAGAGCACTCTGCACCACGATCCAAGAGCAATGCATGCGTTTGTTTGGTCTGAACTCAGAATCTCCTACCGAGTACATCACGAGGGCCATGCGATCAAGCATATCAGCTGTCATGTGGATTGTTGGTGCTTGACGACAAGAGGCGAGGCCTGGTTAGCTTTATCATACAACTGCACCAGCGAGACACCACCACAGGCTACCACGGGCTACCACAGGCTACGATTTGGTCTGGTGGGCCAGGAACAGGATAAGCTCAATCAAGTCCGACCCCTACAGCCCAATGGCAGCGAGCGGTTTCTAAGCTTCTGCTATCAGGGGATGCTTGGCCTGTGTCAAGAGCCCAATTGCCTGGACGATAAGCTGATCTGGGCATGCCGGGGCTGTCATGGTTGAGCAAGAAATCGGAAGGGGGAACATGGCATGGGCTCACGAGGCACGATAGATGCGGTCTAGATGGCGTCAGATGGAGAAAATGAAGCAGAGAGAGAGAAAAAAAAAGATACAAAAGGGATGTCCAAGTTCCACCCTCTTTTCAGATTTGACTCGGTGACTCCCCAGCCTGGCCAGTCTCCTCCCGTTATATGTGAACGTGGTCGTAGAACTATTAACATCCTTTTTTTACTTGATCCTTTTTGCCCCTCATCTTCAAGTCTCATCATCCACCTTCCAGCCACAATCCACCCTTACCGTATAATCGATCCTTACCCGCCGAGCCGCCCTCGTTCCCTCTCCGTCTACTCGTCCCCAACGCTGTTGTGGCTCAGGTCTTTCACCTTCTAGGCGCGGTGCTTTCCTTCTTCTGGGACCCAATCCCGCACCAAATATTTCGCTGTTGCATGCTACCGTCTTCCATTGTTACTTCGCTTTCGCCGTTGCCGCTGGATCGGCCGGCGCCTGTGCCAGTGCCTGCGCCTGCGTCTGCGCCTGGACCAGGCCTGTAACCTCCCGCCACTTGTGCCAGTGTCATCTGGTTGAACATGCCAATTCTGGCTGGGCAGCATTTTTTGAATTCCAGATGGGCAGGAACCATCACCACCTCCGACTTCCTGAACATCTCTACCTTTCGCCGCCTCCTCCACCTCCAACTCCGCCGTTCTCCTTCACCTCTGCGTCCCTCCTTGCTGTCAAGTCTGCGGTCCATTTCTCTCCTTCTGCAGTGCTCTTCTGGGAGACTGGTCGCCCCAAACCCTTTGCTGTCGGAGATCGCATTCCGGGGTTCAAAACTTCAGCCGGTGAGAATACGACGTAATTTTCTTGTGTCCTGTCTTTGGAGAAATAGTACACGAGGGAGAAGAAGAAGAAACGAGAACGGAAGTATTCTAATCAATCAATTTGAACAGCTTTCTTGACGACCCTTCGCGCAAATCTCATCCTCGACCTCGAATCTGCCCCGCCCTCTTTAGCCAACACACCGGACATTCTAAGACCGACCGACATGGCTTCGTCCAGCAGCCTTCCTCCTCCTTCACCTTCGCCTTTAGCGCAAAGCTCCGAGCCCGTCGGTGATGGTTCTGCACTTGCTGAGAAGCACGCGGGACCACTCGACTCGATCCCCGAGCTCACGACTAAGCCCGCCGTCACCGAAGACGACAAGATTGAAGCACTGCACTTGATCGCCGACTCTGTTGCTCAACAACGGCAGCTCGCCTCTTCTGCCATCATTTTCCATCCTTTGACTCTCGCCCTGCTCGTCCTTCTCCTCGGTCTTGCCTATCAACATCTATATAAAGGCGCTTCCTCAGATTGGGTAATTATTGGCACGACGTCGGCTGGCACTCTCATGGCCGTTCTGATCACCGTACGTTGGCTCACAAGCGGCTACATTTTTGAGGCCGAGCGTGTAGGGACCTGGAAATGGCTGAATGAAGGCCGTGATAATTCGGAGAAGGGTATCGTGGGTTCTGAGGACGAAATCCTCCTGACTAGGTTTGGTGACGACATCATTGGTACGATTGTCGTTCGCGGTGTGCGCGATGCTCCTGGTTCTTCCGGCAAGTCGCGCAAGAATGCGCCCATCACTGGATATATCCGTGCATGGACAGTCAAGCGCTTGTATAGACGGAAAGGTGTGGGCCAGGGGCTGCTCGAAGAAGCAGTTGCGTTGTGCCAGCAAAAAGGGTGGAGCGGTCCAGAATTTGCAGAGGACCATGCCAACTCGGCGAACATCCTGCATCCGACCTTCTCGGGTGGTTTCAAAAAGAGGGAAAAAGAGGCGAGGGTGATGCTGGAGAGGGTGATTGAGGAGAGCAGGGCGAATGCCGGCGGCAAGAAAGGCAAGAGATGATGACAACGACGATGATACCCCCAATTGATTTGGACAAGACTTGTTTATTCTTCTCCATGTACTTAATCATACTGGACATGGCCTGGCATACGACGGAGATCTTTGATGGTCGATTTAATCTGGCATGTGACCGGGCCCCTAGAATATACATAATAGTTGCTCAGAATACCTCGTTTCTCATCTCCCCTCTCCCTCTGTCATCTGTCTATACCTGTTTACCTCTGATCCGAGTAGAGTGGACAATTCGGGCTGATAGACGTACATGGGCAGGGTCATGATATACGAGTACCAGTACGAGGGCGAGGAGAGACAAGAAAAGGGACTTTGGGTTCTCTTTTTCAGCTCGAGGTAGACAGACTAGTGGCAGACAGTGAGTGCGGCGAATGCAGACAAACAGAGCAGTGAGGTATACCGAGTACAGACAAGCAAGTACCCAGTAGGCTGGCCCTGTAAGTAAAAGTACCAGCGTGTTTGCATCTCACTCAGGACACTGTACCGAACGCGTTGATGGTGATGACCACTCATTCATTCATTCCTCTCCTTTCCCTCGATTGTCGCTATCGCTGTCGCTGTCACAGTCACGGTCACAGATATAGAGCCTGAAATAAAAAAGAAAAAAAGCCTTGTCATGGTTACTCGCATGCGAGAAAGTGGTGGTGTTACAAGAAATATTCCCCAACCGGCTTCTTCGCAGGCATGCCTCTCGTGCCTTGCGGTGCGGCCTCAAAGACTCTATATCTCCTCCCCGGCGTGGCGAGGTTCCAGAGCACGCCGGCTCCACCGCCACTGCCATCGCCTCCCACAGGTTCTCTGCGGCCTTGGTCGCCGTTCGCCCTCTGTATGCAGCCGCCGTTGGACCCGTCCTCGCCCAGCTCAAGGATTGCGGCTACGTTGCCGCACCGGTAGCAGTAGTTAGGGGCGCTCCAGACCGTCACGATCGTCTTGTCAAACATCTCCTTATACCCTTCCATGACCAATTGATGCGCCCGCGCAATCAACGACAGGTCGTTGGCGTGGTTGAAATGTCTAACGATGTCTGCGCCAAAGAGAAATCCCGCGCCTCGCGGGCTGAGCCCCCAGCCTTCGATCTCGTCCGGGTCAGACCACAGAAGATCACACATTGCGCCTTCGTGGGGCACTTCTTGTTTGCGGTCGATGAGACGGATTTTGTCTACGGTTTCAACCAGCGGAGACAGACCACCGTGGACGCAGAGAACTGCGCCGGTCGAAGACGTGGGAGGTTGGAAGAGCGAGGGAGGCGGCTGACTCGGTGAGGATTGAGGGGCATCGAGAGATGATGGGAGGTCGACGTCCGGCGCGGGAGATATTCGACTTCCATCAGAGAAGGCTTGTGACTGTTGTGAGTTCATTGAGAGGCCAGCAAACTGGCGACGGAGAGTCTTGGAGATGATTTCCCCGTTGGCGTTGAGGACCTCGGATTCAAGGTCTTCATCTTCCGAAGGAAGTGTGGATTGCGTATTGACGTCGTTCATCGAGGAAACCATTGCCCCGCCTGTCGGAGGCGGGACGTCGGTGGTTGCTCCCAAGATCAACGCCCCCAGCGCCAGATAGTCAAAGACTTCGCAACAATACCGCCAGACATTCGCACTCCCGTATTTCCTGATACATTCATCGTAGAACCCATATACGGTGGTGATCTGCCTCGACTCGTGGTTGCCGCGAATCAGGGTGATGCGGTCCGGATATCTGACCTTCAAACACAGAAGCAACAGGAAGCTCTCCAAACTGTAGAAGCCCCGATCCACAAAGTCGCCCATGAAGAGGTAGTTTGTGTCCGGGACGTCGCCGCCGACGCGAAAGAGTTCCATCAGGTCGTGGAACTGGCCGTGGATGTCGCCGCAGATGGTGACGGGGGCATCGACGCACACGACATTGCCTTCTTCGATGAGCAGTTCGCGCGCCTTGTAGCAGAGTTCGCGGACTTGAGGTTCGGGGATCGGGCGACACGCGCGCAATTGCGCAATCGCTCTAGATAGATTGTGCGTCAGTGTATGCTTCTTCCAAAAGGTGTGAGAAAGGCCGCTGCAGCAGTCGCACTCACTTGTCGAGGTCGCTCATCACCGCAGCGCAGAGGATGAGAATCGGGCAGCGTTGAGGCACATGGGTGTGGGATGTGTATAACTTTTTTGGGTCTCGAATGCGGGTGGCGGTAGGGATGGCGTCAAAGATGAGCGTAGATAGCGGGATGAGTCGACGATATCGACCGGGTCAGGCAGCGCGACTTGGGGTGTCAGATCTTCGTCGGATGGTCAAATTCTGCGAGTGGGAGCGACAGAGAGGTTCAAGGACTTGTTGCTTTCGATGTGCTGATCGTGGTGTCGCGTGCTGTGAGGGAATCTTGTGGCGGTCACAAAACTGCGACGCCTGCCCGACCAGCCCGACATGGGACTTTTACTATGCAAAAAACGGCGATCGACTCGGGAGATCCTCGGCAGAGACTGTGATGAGGACTACAGCGGAGCATTCGAACATTGAGATGATCTCCGCAGCGCATCCGCGAACCAGCGAACCAGCGAACCAGAGAGCTTGTGAAAGTCGAAGCTCTGAATATATGAATTTAATGTGCAGAAAAGTAAACTCCAGCTTCTCGGTCCATCACTTCCCCCATTCCTTGGGAGACCTCCATAAATTGGTCCTTGACATATCCTCCCACTCTCCCTCTCCTCTTTCCGATCCTGCGTACCACATTCGTCCATGGTGACCAGTCAATGAAAAGTCACACCACACCACTGCTCTTCCCGCGCACCATCGAGCAGGGCAAAAACCTCTTCCATTGAGAGACGAGAAGAGGAGGGAAAAGAAACCGGACAACCTAGCACACAGGATTTCGCAAAATGCCACCCCATTTACACCCGCGTTCGACGGCAACCTCGACTCTTTTCGCGGGGACGCTGCTCGCATCGTTCATCGTGGTCGGCATCCCGCACGTCTTCCCCTGCCCTCGACCGCGGACGGGGTACGCGACGGATTCAGCACGGATAGAACTGGATGAAGATGGGAATCCTGTCCCACGACGACGACAGGTCAGACCAACCGACAATTTACCCACTGGGAAGGTCTCGCCAGATCAGCGTGCTTCACGGATCGAGCAGGAAGGACAACAGCAGCAACAACCACAACAACCGCCTCGCAAAGGCCCGCAAGCTCTCCAGAAAGGTCTGGTCGCGTCCAAGAACCTAGACGAAGAAGCAGCCTTGTTTCGAGAACTGCAAGCCGAGGCGGAGCTGTTGGAAAAGGAGGCCAGGTCGGCGAGAGAATGTCCCGTGCCCAAGCCCCGGGGTTGGGTGGGAAGGATTTTGGGATTCGAGGAACAGAGTCAGAGAGTCGTGGATAAAGAAGGTGGATGAGGAAGAGTGTGGCATCTGTTGAATTCGAGATCACATTTGACAGACTTCCCGTCAGCTCGGCGAGTCGAATAGATGGGAAGGGCTGGAAAAGTCGACGGATCAGTGACTCGGCTATTTTGCACCAACCCATCTAATGCCAACAACAACGATGGACAAAATATGGGCAGAACGTACCGTCCGGTATTCTTTAGGCGATATCAGTGAGCCTCAACAGCGGTGGTACTCAATGTTGCTCTCGACTGGGCACTGGACGGCAGGCATGTCTCTCTCGGTCAATCTGCGCTCTATACAACTAGCCCGAGAATTACTCAGGCGACCAGATGTCTCGCCTCGACCTAGAATTACTGTGCCCAGAGAGAACCACAGCCGAAATGATCACTTCCGCACGCCCAGAGATAGAGCCAGACCACGAGACAGACGATCCGAGGCGTGTTACATTGTATATACTAGCTTATGCTAGGCCACCGCTTCACGAATGGATATGGATGGCTTTATATCATCCCCATGTATCGACTTGGTTGGAGGCAGTCGCTGCGAAGGAAGAGAATAGGACCATCCATGTATGGAGAGCTCAGAATGGCGCGCACAAGACGATGAAGTCTCATCATGGCCATATCCTGACGGCACGAAATGTTGTTTGCCTTTTCTTTATCCAAAACTTTTTGCGCACCCTCTGGTACCCGCGCCTGACATCCAGGACTTCCCGGGCCATTAGAATTGTGCGAGCATGAAGAACAACATCAAGAGAAGAAAGCAATAGCTAATCAAACACGTCTCCAACTTCCCCCCGTCAGTTTGCAACATGTTGTCCAAGTCACCTCAGATCCGCGTCCGTTCCACTTACTCACTCACAGCTCCCTCCGCGCTGAATATCTCCATCTGTCCACCGACGAACTCTGTCTCGGCATGATTACATCTCTCTGCCTATCCTCAACCATCCCTTTCCTTGTTGTTGATGTCCTTCAGCTTCACCCCCGTCTTCCAATCCACTTCTCGTGCAATCTTGGTCATCCGCTCAAACACTGGCCGTCCAACGTATCTCCAGAACCCACCTGCACGGACACACGTCTCCCGTTGCTCGTTTTCAAACCTTTCCAGATCATCTTTCACCAGAGCCTTTAGAGCCGCGACAATAGTGGAAGTTTGCTGCGGAGAAGAGGCAGGGGTTTTGTTGATTCCTCCTCCGACACCATTCTTCCTCACACCGACGCCATTGGTGGTGGCAACTGCAGTGTTCGCGGTGCAACCAGTCGATCGAGCATGGCCTCCATCAACCCCAAGCTTCACCAAAACAGCAACGAGCAAGTCCTCCATCTCATCGTCCTCAGCGCCACAGTCGTGCAGGCCTTCGCTGAATCTCCTCTTTTTTCCGCCGGCGCCGTGGTAGGATATGCCAGCGACCGAGCTCTTGCGCCTTTCACGTTCACTTTTTCTCCTCTGCGCAATGCTGGACAGCAGCGTCTTCTTGTGTTCCTGAATGCTCGACATGAACCCCATGTTTCTTGCAATTACCTCTTCGATGGTCTTGTCGCTCGCCAATGGATGTGTCGCTCTGGGTTGTGTTCCTGGTCGTGCTCCTGCATTGCTGCCGTGCAAGACCTCAGCAACAAATGACACGTCTGCGGTGCGGACGCCGATGATATGTTTCTGTTGATTCTTAGCTGCCTTGGATCGCGACTTTGCTGTTTTGGCGGCCTTTTTAAGCGCTCGAGCTTCAGCCTTGGTCAATTTTGTTGGAGGCATGTGCTGTTGGTCATTCTCGTCAGCCGTGCTGCTGCTGGTGGTGTCGGTCACGGTCTCAGCTTCGTCATCCTGGTCGGTTTCTTCCCCGACTTCGAAGTCATCATTGCCAACATCGAGTTGCTGTATAGCTTGCTGGATCAAAGGGACGTTCACTGGTAGGTCTTCCAGTAGGGTTCTTGGTTTGGCTGTGTCTCTGCCATTTGCGATCCTGTACTCTGCGAGAAGCTCTGCAATCTTTATTGTACAGCAAAGCACAAACGTCAGCTGATCGGGCTCAGTTCCTTCTGCGACATGCCAGTTGTCGTCACCGCAGTCACCACCACCACCTTTGTGTGATGTCCTGCGAAGGAAAGGTCTATGTTATGAGTTGCTTCCGTCACTCACCTTCCTGTGCCTGTTCTCATGCAGCTCATCGGCTTGTATGCAGGAGAAGCAGTTGTGGCTTGTGCCGATAGCGTGCATGGTCTGATGGTAGCGAAAGCAAGGGATACTGTGGATGCCATAGCATGTTTGACGCGCCTTTGGGTTGCTCATCTTCGTGGAACAGAGGTAACAGCTGTGCTCTATAGGCGCGCGACATGTGATATGGGTTAGCTTGTGCTCTCCGCTTACATCGCCACGTCGTGGCAAGGCTTGTGAAACAAGGGGCAATATCCCAAGGTCATTTGCTTACCGAGCCCAGAGGCGGCCTCCCATTTGAACGGGCTGTTTGGCGCAGCGGGATCCATGGTCAGAGTCCGCTCTGCTGTTGTTGCTCCAAGTGTTATCGACTTCTGCGCTACAGCTGCGTGATTGCTGTATCTCACAGACAGAGCAATGGGCATCAATATGTGTTATTGTATTGCAGGTCGTGTGTGGGCAGAGATCTTTTGAAAGGTTCGTGGTGCAAGTCGGTAAAGAGGAACGCGGTGAGGCAGCGAACGCAGGAGGAACAAAGCGGATCAGGTGAAGATCGGTATGCTTGTGCGGCAGCACCAAGCAGTGAATGTTCGGAACGCTCAGGGAGTGAGAGGCGATCGGATTTGAACGGCTGAAGGAGGATATTTTTGAAGGAGGAAGTGTCTGGATCAGAGTGGATGTTAGACAAAGACATCGACAGACACGCGGTGTCTGCGTGATGTATAATGACTCTGCCACTTCTCCAGAACAAAGGAACATGGTATGACGCTGATTCGTGTGAACAATTGACCTGATCGATGGATGGATGGAGGTACGGCAAATGAGATCGATGTCGTTACTGGCATTTCGGGCAACTGCAACTCGGTGGAGATGGTCAGCTGTGTGGTCCCGGCAAAGGAGGACAGTGGCGAGAGGAGGCTGCGAGGAGATAAAGAAGACAAACATGGAGAGGAACAAAGAAACACAAGCAGCTGGAAAAGAGGAAGAGCAGGAGGAAAGGATGAGCAGAGAGGTTTGTGTTGGATTGTCCAATCTCGCACTGAGCAGAATGAGTGAGTTTGACCACACAGGGCCATTACCTAAAGATATCAAACACTTGCTGTGGCCACCAACCAAGAGGAAGGAGCCATCTCTGGTATTTGCAGAGTCCTGGAGAGAACCCAGACAATCCCAGAGACATCTCCCGCCAAAAGGCCAGAGTAAGGAACTTGCAAGGGGTCATAAAAGGAGCCGTCCAAGCAAACCGAAACATCGGGCGGCTGCATTCCAGTCCACATTTCATCGCAATTCAGACGACTGTATCCCTGACAAGTCTGGCCGTGCACCAAACATAGGGATAGTTCCTCTGGTACCAGTTGACAAAGGTCTTCTTCAATGCAATTCGCGGTACAGTCGCCCAGCTGCCTCCCAGACAAACATTATGCTTGCCATCGAAGAAGTCAGCCGTGTACCCGGGATACAGATCCATGGCTTTGAATCCTTCGTGCGGCGCCAATGGTGTGCTGGTCCATTCCCACAGGCCCCCAAGATCACTCTGTCCACGTAGACGGTCGCCGTTGCCAGTCACCGGCGTTGGATGCCAGTGGCGGAAGGCAACGTTGCGATCGGCCAGTTCGACGAAGAGCTCATTGGGGTTCAAGGGACTACCATTTGCACTCCCATTGGCGACACCATTCGATTGATGGCCTGTTGGAGGCGTCTCTTCGACACCGTCATTTGAGAGATGGCTGTCATGGTCAGCTCTGTATCCGCATTGCATGATCACGCAGACTCACCCGTTCACGGCTGAAATCAACTTGCTGGTAACCTTCTGCAAGACGCTGTCCTGGTTCTCAACGTACTGGTAAAGGCTTCGGGCTTCTTCCATGGTGGGAATGCGTCCATCAGACCATTCCGCGTAGGCCGCCAACTCGTCGTACGAAGCCATCACAGGCCAGTCCAGGGCGTATTTGAGAGGAACAAGGCCGTAGACGGTTCGGATAGCCTTGCCTTCGACAAACGAGGGACTGGCCATCTGCACCTCCGAGGTATGGCCGTTCACACCGTTCGTGCCGTTGGTTCCATTGAGATCCGTATCTGCTTTGGAGGCTGCCCACGAGGCAGGGAGAGAATCCTTGTGAGTGGTTTCCAAGAAACGAGCATATTCACCATTGCTGATCGGGCGACTTTGGGCCTCGAATTCGTGGACAGCCACCGTGCGCGAAGGTCTCTCGTTATCCCAGCCGAAGTACCTCTCAGGGCCGGAGTCGTTCTCTGCATCGTCCAATCCGATTGTAACCCTGCTCGCAGGAATACGGTGCCACTTGTTTGAAGTACGATTCGTGCGAGCTTCAACAGCCATGGCTTCAAAGTCAGGCAAATCCTGTCCTGGAGGTGGCAGAACGCGCTCGCTCTGAAGCAGCATGTAAAGGAAGGTTTCCAAGTGCATCGCTTCATGCTCATAAGCAAGCCATAGGCCACGGCTAAGCTTGCGGTCGGTGTAAGCTCGGCCAGAGTGAACGCTCTCGACGATACGATCTCGAACACGTTGCGAATAGTTCAAGATCTCCTCTAATGGAGGCCACGAGTCTGGGATCTCACTATGATCGTGACACACCTCGGGATTGTCCACATCTGAGGCAGCTTCAGCAGCGCATCCTGGATAACTGGCTGGTCGAGGACCTACCTGGATCGATTCCTCGCTCAAATATGGACATGTAATAAGCTGGATTTGTGGGCTTTGCCTTGGTGGCCTTCACATAGTGGATGTCTAGACGGCGGTCAAATCAACCCGAAGCAACTTAGTAACCCACATACCTGCGAATGTAGGGATATGACCCAGATAGAAGATCAAGTCATTTCGGAGCTTGATGGGTTTGTTGAGCAGCTCGTCCCGCGGAACCATGGACCTGGTCACTATATCCCAAGCCGCCCAAAGCTGTTGCCAGTCGTTGAGAGAGGGCACCGGGCTCGCTGCAAACTCGGCCGGCTCGCTTGGGAAATTGATGGTGGCCGGTGACAAGAGATGAATAACTGAGTAGTGCTGTCAGTATGAAATTCAGTTCACCGTCCACAAACTCACAATAGTCGTTGGTCTTGTTGCTGTAAGACATCTGAGGAATGAGGCCCGCGATATGCCACAGAGCATCACGATCCGCCTCGGAGTACTTGAATGCGTCCTCCAAATGGATCTTCTCGCCCTTCTCAAAGGAAAAGTCCTTGTTTTTGATCGTCTTCAAGGCCACATACGACGCCTGGTGTTTCCTCTGGTTCTCATCATACATGCCTTCAATTGACCACTCATCCTGACGGAAAGCCTCATAGCCCAGGATGTTATTGGCGTGAGTGAGACCGTTGCGGTAAAAGCGTTCAGTGACATGCAACGAGTCATTATAGGCATGGAAGACGCGGTCAGGCTGCTGGCACGCGTCGAGGCCCACGATGACAAAATCCGAAGCCGCCAACACTTTCCTGAACGAAGTGAGGAACTGAGCTGCTTCCTCTCGGGTGAAGTTGCCCAGGGAAGACCCCATGGTCATGATACAGGTCGTCCTGGCGTCTGTCGCTGATGTCTTCAGCCACTCAAGGCCATCGTCATAGGTACCATGCAATGCCCGGAAAGTGACATGATGAAATGCATTGATGTCCAGTTGGGCAAAGGTACGCTTGAGCTCGGACAGAGATAGATCCAGAGCATAGTACTCGACGTTTTTCTTGGCCTCCTCGAATGCTTTGAGGAGGATGTTCACCTTGCGGAGATTCCTAACAGCCATCCCACGTCAGCCTGAACACGATATATCTCGTATGTAGGGTAACTCACCCGCTGCCCAACTCAACGAGACGGGCGCCGTCGGGAATTCGCTCGACAATCTTGCTGGCATGTCTTGTGAGAGTGTCAATCTCGGCGTTGGTGAGGTAGTATTCGTCCAAATAGGTGATGTCCTCAAACAGCTTTAGACCCAGTTCTACAATGGTTTAGTGTGTGCCTCAAACAACGAGAACCTCTGTACCGTCATAAAGTAGCAAGGTTGGAAACATGCGCGACTGTCCCTCGGGAGCATTGAGAGACCGCTTGAGATATTCGACCAGGGAATGGTCCGACTTGTCGCCCCTGATGTCGAGAATTGGCACACCAGCAGAAGTGTGGGTGGCCATGGTCACGAGGTTGGGGAAAATTGGGTGATCGAGGACGGGTCACAGATAGTATCTGACAGGGGGAAATATCCAAGTTATAACACAGCAGGGGAGGTACCTAGGTAGAGATGGAAAAGGAGATTCATGACCTTTGAATCCACGGGACATCACAACTCGACATATGCTGGAACAAACGTTCCACTTTTACCCCGGGAATGGTTGGACCATTGGCCAGCCAGGGCAAGTCTTGAAGTTGCCAATAGCAGCAGGTCTAAATTTACTCCACTGAACGGCTGAGGCTGTTCTCCAGCCTGTAAACCTGTAAGAAGACGTCCCTGAGTGGCTGTGGAGTGCGGAAACGCGGCGGAATGGTGACGAGCATTCCAGCCTTTGACGTTATGGATGCGAGGAACACGCATGATCCGTCAACAGACACATGCCACTTTCCAAGACTTTTGAGCGGGGGCTAGCTAGCCGCAGAGATTTCACGATCAGGAACGAGGCAGAACGGTAGGTAATTCGAGAAGCACAGCCAGTCTCCAGGCGAACCGCTTTCAGTCCAGAAGGAGCCACAAGGTGGAGGGAGTCCGGCAGTGCTGACAATGACGACACGAAGATGAATCCGAAACCCGAGTGACATATGAAAAATCAGTTGTCTACATCCACTCTTCGCAGGTGGCCCTTTTTGGTGGTGACGATTATGGATCGGAAATAAGTGGGAAGAAGCTTCCCCCCAACATGTGTGGCTTAAGGCTGGATGGAAGGAGGAGGAAGAGGAGGGGCGAGAATGAAGGAGGGGCAGCGGCCCGTGACCACAGAGACTAAACTACTTTGGGAACTCGTAGACGTAGTAGTGCAGATACTAGTGAGCTAGATACTTGGGGTACTTGGTATTGAAGGCTTCGTCCGGGTTTATGCGAGAACGTGAATGGCTGTCGCGTACTTGGGTATTATTGAAACACTTCTCAGGTATCCACTGACACCTGTAAGCCAGACAAAAACGTCGGAACAGAGTAAGCCAGGTGAGTTGAGCCGTTCGTGTCATTTGTGCTATATTCCGTAATCAAAGGATTAGGGTTATCAGGCAGTTCACTACTACCACGATAAGCTATAGGTGACTGGCAGTGGCTACTATACGTAGTAATAGTGATAATAAAGCGGCATCATTTTCGCTCCGAATGCTCCGGGTCATCAGTCATTACACGGTTACTCGGACTATCTAGAGCCGTAGGCAGATGGCGGGATTGTCCGTGGCTCACGTGAAACCTGGCTTCAACGGGATGGAAGAATAAATCACCGTTAAACTCTCCAACGGCACGACTATTCCAAATACAGTAGGAAAATAATATTCTGGCAGGCGCGCTCTCCACTGCTTCGCGCTGAGCTCCCCGGATTGCATTGAAGTCGTTCATATCCCGCTCTCCATATATACACACACACGTGCAATTGACTTCCCAACGCGTTGATACTCGCATGATAACCATAAACCTAGTCTTTTCTGTCTATCAGTTTGTCTGATCCTCGTTCTATCTATGTCGCCCTCGGTTTCGATAATGGTCGCCCGTGCCTTTTCCCATCCGTTTGCTTGACCGACCCGCCGCAACTCCTCCTCTCCATCTCCTCCGAGTCCAAGTCAGCCGTCATGTCGAAGTCGGGCAACCTAGCTGCCCTGTCAGCCATTCTCAGTCCCGGGGAAACACCCATCATCTACTACGCCGAAGACCCTCCATACCTACCGCGAATTCTCGTCTTCTACTACCCTGTACAAGCGGTGGGCTCTCTGGCCTCGACCTCGCGTATTCGAACGACCATCCTCTCAGCAGCCGGCTTCAAGAGTTATGGGGCATTCTCAGTCGCCCCGAATAGCAGTTACTACTCTGCGGTCCACAAGCTACCGGAAGATAAACAAAGAGACGATGTATCCCGTGGCATTGCCTTCGCGCTTTGTCGGTACTTCTCTGAAGTGCCGACTGAGGTCAAAAATGCCATTGCTGAAGAGAACGTGCATCATGGAATAGCGCTGAAATGGGGCCAGACACATGCTGCTCAGGTTACATGTCGAATGTGCAGGGTCATCAACACCGAGGAGATAGTTGAGGCACTCCGGCCATTTTCCAAGGAAAGACCTGCAAGCCCCCAGACACCTACCAGACCTTTAGCATCGATCAGAAAGACCAGGCCATCTTTCCTACCTCCCGAGGCCGGTAGTCACAACGTTGGTCGCGCAAACCACGCCTTCACCCCATCCAAGAGGATAGCCAGTGGTCATGCAAAACGCTCTCCATCTATATCCACGCAAGCACCCCGCAAGGCGAGCTCGACGATTGACCCAAAGCACTCGGTGCAGCAACTTGAGTCGTTGCGGTTCAAAATGTGCGAGTTTGTGGACACCGAAGACAGGTACATCACCCGTCTCCAAGATTTGATCGAACTCGTCACGAATCAGGGCCGTACGCCAAAGTCCCTGAGCTCCAAATTCTCGAGCTCTCGCAATCAAAAGGCCGTGAATGCCATGATTCAGTTTCCCTCTCTGTTGGACCAGATCAAGGACTTGAATCTGGCTTTCCTGGATGATATCGAGACAGCGCTTCACTGTTCCGAAGATGCTGCTTTGACCTTTTTGGACTCTGCACAAGCAAATCCGCAGCTCATCGCCAACGCCAAAGACCCAATGGGTATCTACAGTTTTGCCAAAGTGCTTTTGAACCACTTCCCTAAATTCCCCATGCCATACCGGCAATACCTGGACCTGCATTCTCAAGTCTCCTCGAATCTCGACCAATTTCTGAGGGAAGGTACCACTTCAATCCAAAAGGCCCCGTCCTTGCTTATGGAGCCGGCTCAGCGTATCTCAAGATATGGCCTATACATCGACACTATGCTTCCCCATGTACCTTCAAATTTTACCGTGGCCATACGAACCCTGGAGAAAGCCCGAAAAATTATCGCTGAGATTTGCGAGATGGAACCTGCAGCATCAACCATTTTGGACTCTCTACGCATCGAGCACGAAGCCAAGAAAAAAGGTCTCTCCCCAACCAAATTGCTCTCTGGTCTGACACGGTCCAATGGAACTGTCAGGGAAGCCCCAGCGTTGACGGGTAGTGTGAGGGAAAGGGAGGGGCCTCGCCTGTTTCCCAGCCTAGGACGCAGTCTGAGTCGGCGTCAGAAGACCACCAGGCCTGGTCTTTCAAGTATCTTGTCTGAACAAAATCCTGAACAAGTGAACAATGTCCAGCCTAAAACAGACGAGAACAGGCCCCTTACGTCGTCTTCGGGTCTGTCTTTCGGCTCCGTTAAGAGACCGCCAACCTCAGGGTCTAGTGTTAGTGCCACGAACCGTTCCACTGCAAGCTCCAGTCCGGGTCCCAATGCTCCTGCTGTACTAATGTCAAGCAAGAGACGCATTGGTACATCCCCTGCGCCCGCCACAGCCACAGGTAACATCACGGCAGCAACTGCTGGCGATGGAGCTCACATATCTACTTCTTCGCAGGCGCGCAGCTTCGAATCTGTGGAGCATTACAAGGCTCAATTGGTACGGGTGGAGGAAGAGAATTATAAGCTCCTTCAGGAAAACGCCGAACTGAAGAGGCTGATAAGGCAATGTACCTGCGGTGGTGCGGTGAGGCGGCTTTGATCAGGTTGTCCCATTGATGGGCATCTCCCTGTGGAGAATCGCAACCAGAGAACCGGGCTACAGTTGAAGGACAAAAGTGATAGACACAAGCTAATGAGTTACGACGATTGGGTATGGCATTTTGTGTTTTGGATTCATCGACACCTTTACAAAAGCAGTTGTATTTTTACGCGAGCAGGTATGGTACGTGTCCTTTTCTACAGGCAGACTTTGTTGGCACCGTGGACAAAGTGCACGATTTTGGCCAGCAGAGAGTGTGGCCTGAGGGCTCAGACTATTAGAGTGTGGGCTCAAGCTATCTGACATGGAATTCGAACTGGCCTCGATTTGATTCTGTCTACCTGTCTACCTCCCTGCTCGCTTGCCCATCTGTTCACGTATATATCTAGACTGTCTCCGTTTCTCTCAAAGGACGGCACCTAGCACCGAGACAAGTTAGGGAGTCGTAGCTTGTAATATCTCACCCGAAGTTACTTAACCACATACATTCCAAAGACAAGGACAACGACTCGGTCGGTACAAGGACAAGTATATGTATAAGTACTCGGTAGATATGTACCCATGTAGGCAGAGATTTCGCTCCTCCGTGACACACGTTCATCGAGTGATTGAATGATTGAGGAATAAATGGATTTGTTGGTTTGATTGATTAATTGATTGATAAATTGATTGATTGTGTAATTGAGTGATCGACCAACCGACCAAACGACCGACCGACCAACACTGGATTTCCCAAAAAGACAAGTCATCTCTATCCCAGACTTTTTTCCCTGCCTGTCCCAAAGAGAGCCACACGCTTACGCTTTCATTTCATGGCTTGAGCAAAAACACACCAACTTTTTGCAGACTCCAACACAGATGCAGATCGATACGGAGGATACTTCTACTCAGTTGCCCCTTTATCTTCCTTTGACTGTCGACCGAGTCACTCGTCGTCGTCGTCATCATCATCATCATCATCATACCCTTCCCGAACAGTCGCCCATCCGCTCTGACTCCTCCGTCCGTCTCGTTCCGTGTTCTTCCTCAACGCCCTCGCCTTCTCCGGATCATCCTCGTACCAGCATCTCGCCGAGTAGTCGTCCGCCACGGTAACCAACTGCCCATTCTGATGTACCCAGGCGACCGCAGTGACTTCCTTTCTATGGCCGTTGATGAGTGGCGTGCCCGTGTAGTAAATGGGGCATTGGCCTTCGGTGCTGACGTCGTGCAAGGAAGCTGACGCCAATAAGGAATTGGACAGCACATTGACGGATGAGGTTCGTTGAGGCAGGCGAGGTCGCGTAGAGCGTGACAAGGTGTTGTGGTGGGCGGGAGCTGGGGGGCAACGACGTGCAGATTTGGCCAGGTAACGTTCGTCAGTGGGGAAAATCACCGCACAGTCCTCGCCTGAACCGGCTGCCAAGAGCTCGGTATTCTCGTTTGTCTTACGGCGGAGGGCGAGTTTGTCGTAGAAAGAGCCCAAGCGCAGGGAGGGATCGCGAAAACCGTACAGAGGACCTAGTCCTTGTCCTGCGGTGCGAGCAGCTCGCAGTGAGGGCTTCGATGTCGGTGACATCTCTGGGCATCCACCAAGTACGAGATGAGCAGTTGAATAAGCATAGATGGTATTGTCCCGACAGAGAGTATACAGCCTGGAGCCGTCAGTGTTCATCGTCATGGAAGTCACACCAAACGGCCGAAGTGTCTCATGGCTCTCAGGCTCAAGAGTCGCGGATACTGGCGTAGGTCTGCCAGACCGTTGTTTATATGATGCGCGCATGTCCCATAGCTTGATAATGGCGTTGTGCTCCGAAGCCGTCGCAAGCAAATGTGGACGAGTGTCGCTGATGAATGCACAGGTGGTGACCGCAAAGTCAACCCTGGAGGACAGTCCAGCAACTTGGCGCTTGCCACTCACAAGTTTGAGCTTATCCCAAGAAGTGTGTGCATCACGTATCTCGACTTTAGTATTAACCCGTTGGCTGTTGGTAAGGAAGTCAGGCGCGCGTTGTAGAGGGATGATATCTAGTGTTTCTGCAGGTTGGGCACACCGAAGATCCCACAGACAGACACTGCCATCTCGGGAGCAGGTTGCAAGGACTTGGCTCCCAGAGCCTGGCTGCCATTGCACGCGTTTTATGGATCCCATATGGCCGATCAGTGTGTGAGTGGAAGTTTGTGCGTTCACATCGATTATTCGACAGGTTTGGTCTCCCGATGCTGTTGCAAGAAGTCGATCATCTTGCGAAAATTCCATGTCCATTATAGCATTGTCGTGAGGGTACATGCAGGACTGAAGCCGCAAGTCTCCAGTATCCTCGGGAGACCGTTCCCAGGCTCGGTATATTTCGACTAGACCATCCTCATTTCCAATGGCAACAGATTGTTGATGGTTGAAACTGGCAACGCAGAATGGCAGTGCTCGAGGTTGGACATCGAACGAGGGACTGGTGATGAGGTCTTCTGGTAGACTGTAGAATTTTGCGGCCTCATGCTGCCAGAGACTGCTCTCGTTACCAAAACGGATGTCTTTTCTTCTCCCTAGCTGTCGTGACAATAACCCTGTGGAGGTGCTTATGGATTGATATCGGGTTACCCTTGGAGGATATCGCAGCAATGGCGGCAATTCCTCTTCGTCGTCGTCGTCGTCGTCGTCCGTCCCCAGGGAAAGAGCATCATCCTCGTCCCCCGTGGCATCTATCACGGCCCCATCTACGCCCAGGCTGCTGGGAAACCCACAGTTAATCTTGATTGGCGAAGACGGGATTGAGGATATTGACGTGAACGAGAGCTTTCGCTTTTTGGAGGGAGGTTGTTCGTGTTCGGCCACAGGGATTCCCAAGGACCGGTTACTTCCTAACCGACTGTTGAGATTAACGGTAGAAAGCTCTCGCAAGGCTTTCCGCGAGGTTCGAATAGCGCGCTTTGCATTCTGGAGTCTTGGGGTGAAAAATCGGGTGAAACGGTTCGGCGTGATGGAAGGATTTTTCTTGATACGACTACTTCGACGGGGACTCCTGTTCTCGTTCGGTGCAACTGCAAATGTGACGGTCTCTGACCGGACCGGCCTTTCGGGTGTATTGTCCATGGAGGAAGCTTGGGTGAAGGGTCCAATGCCGATATCCGAGTTCCTTCTGCCCTCAGTTCAAGGAGGACATATCTGTTCTATAAATTCAACACGCAGAGAGAAAAGTCGGACTGAGGAGAGCAAGAAAGGAAGCTATTGGGTGGCGGGTGGGAAGAAGTATGAGGAGGCTTGGACCTGGAGGATCTCGCGACGCGTACCGAGTAGCGAGCAACGTCCAGCGCGCGTCTTAAATTGATCCACAGCGGGAAGGTCAGCCGGACGTTGGTCGGAGAAAATTTCTCCGCACTACGGAATGCAAGGATTTGATTGGTGGAATCGGATCTCTTCATGGACTGCGTGCTGCCCTTCCAGAAAAATTTCCCCATGATCACACACAGTCCGACCGGCAGGCAAAGATCACATTTTAGGGCGAATCCGGCCTCTTCTTTACGGCGAAACCGTTTATTGCTGATGTCTTGAGACTGGTGTGTCTCCATCGCCATGGTTTCAGCCAAGCGAAAACCCGAAGATGCAGTGATAAAGCAATCGAATAAACGGCCAAGGTCCAATTCCGCCTCGAAGGGTGGAACGACGACTGCGGAACAGGAACAGAACAAGACTCCAAAACCGAAGCCTGTCTCTATCCTTACTAAAGAGCAACCTGCTTTTCCTCGGGGTGGTGCGAGCCTACTAACTCCACTGGAGCGTAAACAAATTCGAGCAAAGGCCGCCCAAGATGCAGACACCGAACATAAGCCTTCGCAAGATCTATTCAGCGACCGAAATGCAAGGGCAGATATTGGGAGTGACGAGGACGACATACCAAGAGAAAATTTACCAGAAAAGAAACGAGAGAGAAAACACCGCAAAGACAAGAAACAGTCGGTGTCCTCAGCATCTGGTACAAACCCGGAGGTACGAATTGGAGGTCTGAGCTATAAACGAATAACCGCAGGCTCTCTCATACTGGGTCAGGTCACATCCATAAGCCCCAGAGCGCTGACTGTGTCCCTGCCAAACAACCTTGTGGGTTACGTGCCTTTAACTGCGATCTCGCCGCCATTGAGCGAGAAGATACAAGGTCTTCTGGGTCAGGATGATGGAGAGAACAATGACAGTGACAGCGACGGAGATGAGGAGGAAGACATTGCATTGCCGGGTTATTTCCAACTTCACCAATACTTGCGGGTTGCGGTGACCTCCACAGAGCAAGACAGGGTTGGGTCCAAGGCCCCAGCGCGAAAGCGCATCGAGATGTCCGTCGAACCAGCATTGACCAATATCGGCTTGGATCAGTCAAATCTTGTCGCTGGTGCTGTTGTCCAAGTCTCTGTGAGCAGTGTCGAAGACCACGGGTTGGTGGTTGACCTAGCACTAGAAGACGGCAAAGTGCGTGGGTTCATTCCCAAGAAGCAGCTACCTAACGGAAGGTCATTGTCGACCATCAAAGTCGGCGCTGTCCTATTATGTCACGTCCTCGAAATGAGCAGCAACAACAAAGTGGTGAAACTGTCAGCAGATCTCACCAAAGCGCCAATCTTGAAATCTGCTCCGTCCGTGGACACTTTTCTTCCAGGCACAAAGGCAGAGATTCTGATTAGCGCCGTCACGGACGCTGGGATTTCCGGAAAAATCATGGGCATGTTGGATGCCACAGCCGATGTTGTTCATTCAGGCTCCTTTAGGGATCGACAAGCGTTCCTTGCTAAATACGAGGTCGGGAAAAAGATTGCCGGTCGACTCATCTGCAATTTCCCGCTTTCGGATGTGAAGAAGCTGGGATTCTCGCTTCTGGACAATGTCGTCGACCTGAGAGATCTCAACGAGGCAGCTCATGAGGATAGTGGGAGGCTGGCGTTATCTTCCATCATCGATGGAGCATCAGTCATTCGCGTTGAGCCTGGACTAGGCGTCTACCTGCAGTTAGACCAAGACAACATAGGCTTTGCCCATGTATCTCGTCTCTCTGACAAGAAGCTCGACACTCTGTCCGAAACCAGTGGCCCGTTCAAGCTTGGCTCTGAACACAAGGTGCGAGTGCTTGAATACAACCCCATGGACAATCTCTACATCTTATCCGCCCAGAAGAGTGTGCTTGAACGGCCATTCCTCAGATTCGACGACATTCCGCTTGGTGCGGTGGTCCAAGGCACAATTGAAAAGCTGATAGTCGGTCCAAAAGGAGTTCAAGGCTTGTTGGTCACTCTAGGAGAGGGCCTGGTTGGTCTCGTGCCCCAGATTCACATGTCCGACGTTGATCTGAAGCACCCAGAGAAGAAATTCAGGGAAGGTCAGGCCGTCACTGCCCGAGTTCTGTCCATTGACCCAATCCGGCGCCGTCTAAGACTCAGCCTCAAGAAAGCTCTAGTGAACAATGATCAAAAACCGTGGCTACGCTTTGAAGATATTGAGAGTGGCGATTCTACGGTTGGGACCTTGACTAAGGTCGACCGCCTCGGTGCAGTTGTCAGATTCTATGGCCCAGTCAGAGGATTTCTACCCGTGTCTGAAATGAGTGAAGCGTACATCAAAGATGCCACGGAACATTTTCGAATCGGCCAGGTTGTTTCAGTAAACGCGATCAGCATCAATGCTTCGGAAAGGCGGTTGACCGTATCGTGCAGAGATATCCATGCATCAACTGCGTCGATCGAGAGCACTCTTGCAGCGTTGCACCCTGGCACTCTAACAAATGGCACGGTCTTTGAAAAATCTCAGAACGACGTCTTGTTGCGCCTAGAAGGTTCCGATGCTATAGCGCGGTTACCTCTCGATCACATCGCCGACGGATCTCTCAAGAAGCGAGAATCTGCAATCAGCAAAATCCGAGTAGGGCAGAAGCTAGAAAATGTGCTTATATTACAGGTTCTGGCGAAGAGGAGATTGGTCCTGATCTCGAACAAGCAAAGTTTGGTGCAAGCTGCGCAGAATGGCACTCTGCTTCGAAGCTACGAGCAACTTCAGCCCAATGCGGTGGTCACTGGTTTTGTGAGGAACATAACGGAGGATGGTGTATTCGTGGGATTTGGTGCTGGAATCACCGGGCTCATAACCAAGGCTCAAGTGCCTGTCGAGGCTGAAGAACAACCGGACTTTGGCATGGTCAAATTACAACCTATAACGGCTAAAGTCCTCTCTATTGACTACAGGGGTGCGACACCTCGCTTTTGGCTTACGATGAGAGATGCCCCCGCAGCTGAGTCCAACATATCGGATGGAGCTGGGGCTCAGGCGGACTTCCCGAAGCTCGTCGATCCCGTGGACGAGAGTCTTAAAACCTTGAAAGATCTTTCGGTTGGGAAAATCACGAAAGCAAAGATCGTCTCCGTCAAAGAGACACAGATAAATGTTGAATTGGCTAAAGACGTGCAAGGGCGCATCGACGTTTCGGAAGTATTTGACGAGTGGAAGGACATCAAAGACCGGAAGAAACCACTGAGGCAATTCTCTCCCAAGCAGGAACTGCCCGTGCGAGTCCTTGGAGCGCATGATACAAGAAATCACAGATTTCTACCACTAACACATCGGAAAGGGAAGAACACTGTCTTTGAACTCACCTGCAAACCAAGTTCAGTCTCGGGCCCAGAGCAGGCCCGATTGACATTACAAGATATGAAGGTTGGATCAACATGGCTCGCTTTCATCAACAACATCTCCGACGAGTGTGTTTGGGTTAATATTTCACCCACCATTCGTGGGAGAATTCGAGCTATCGACATCTCCGACGATCTGTCGCTTGCTGCAAATCTACCGCACAACTTCCCTCTAGGCTCTGCCTTGCGAGTCCGGGTACTCAATGTGGATACCGAAAAGGGACATTTGGACTTGACCGGACGTTCAGACGGAACGGCGAGCTCTCTGACATTCGCAAATATCTCTATCGGACTCGTGCTTCCAGGCCGTGTGACGAAGACTACCGACCACAACATCGTCGTCCAGCTTAGTGACCAGGTCGTCGGTGTTGTTGAGTTGATTGACATGGCTGATGACTATGCTGAAGTGAATCCCGGAAAGTACCAGAAAAATGATGTCCTTCGAGTCTGCGTGGTCAACGTGGATGCACCCAACAAGAAAGTCAGCCTGTCAACTCGGCCTTCGAAAGTCCTCAGCTCGTCATTGGCAGTTACTGACCCAGAGATCACCTCAATCGAACAGATCGCTGTCAACGACATCGTCCGTGGGTTCATTACTAATGTGGCCGACAAAGGTGTTTTTGTGACCCTGGGGCATGGCATCACGGCGTTTGTTCGGGTTAGTAACCTGTCGGATAGCTATTTGAAGGAGTGGAAGGACCACTTCCAGCGCGACCAGCTTGTAAGAGGCCGGGTCATTATGGTCGACAAGGATTCGGGGCACGTCCAGATCAGCCTGAAGGAGTCGGCACTGAAACCCGGCTACAAAGCGCCCCTTACTTTCAACGATTTGAAGGTCGGGGATATTGTGACTGCCAAAGTGGTCAAAGTCGAGTCCTTTGGTGTTTTCATTCTCGTAGACAATTCCGAGAACGTCCGTGGACTGTGCCACCGCAGCGAGATCGCCGAGCAACGCGTCGAAGATGTCGGCAAGCTGTTTAGCGAAGGAGACAAGGTCAAGGCCAAGGTGTTGAAGATTGATACTGCGAAGCGCCGTATCAATTTCGGCATGAAAGCTTCGTACTTTGGTAATGGGACAGAAGATGCTGAAAGTGATTTGCAGTCAGAAGATGAAGCCGAGGGAGGTGGCGCGCACCTCGACCAGGAACTGGGAGACTCTGAAGACGATGAGGAAGCAGGATCACAGGATGAGGACGCGCAGGATTCGGAAGATTCAGAGGACGCTGATGAAACTCTTGAAGAAGAATCTCAGGAGTCTGAAGACCACGAGGAAGAGGGCGACGTCCTTGGGGACGCTACGAAGCCGGCCAACAGCAAAGGTCTCTCCGTGGGAGGTTTTGACTGGTACGGCATTTCGGAACCTGCGCGAAACAAGCGACCAGCAGAGGCATCTGATTCGGAAGCCGAAGATTCAAGCAAAGCACCTAAGAAGAGGAAGAAGAGAGCACAAATCCAAGTTGACCGGACAGCAGACCTGGATGTCGATGGACCTCAATCAGTGGACGATTTCGAGCGGTTACTCCTGGGCGAGCCCGATTCCTCGCTTCTCTGGCTACAGTACATGGCCTTCCATCTTGACCTGGGCGATGCCGATCAAGCACGGCAGATTGGCGAGCGGGCTTTAAAAGCCATCAGCGTCGGTCAGGAGGAAGAAAAGCTGAATGTCTGGGTGGCTCTGCTCAACCTGGAAAATGCCTACGGGGACGACGAAAGCATTGATGCCATATTCAAGCGGGCATGCGAGTACAACGATCCACAAGACATCTACTCACGATTAACCAGCATCTATATCCAATCGGGAAAACATGACAAGGCGGACGACATGTTCCAACGCATGTTGAAGAAATTTACCCAGGATCCCAAGATGTGGGTGAACTATGCGCAGTTCTTATTCGACAGCGTCGGTGATGCAGAGAAAGGGCGGGCACTCCTCCCGCGGGCGCTCCAGACGCTGCCCCGATTCACGCACTTTGACGTTACCTTGAAATTTGCACAGCTTGAATTCAAATCTTCCCATGGACTAGCTGAGCGAGGACGCACAATCTTCGAAGGCTTGATCAGTTCATTTCCCAAGAGGGTTGATCTGTTCAACGTGCTTCTCGACTTGGAGCTCAAGCTTGGAGAAGAGAATGCAGAGCAAGTACGTGGTTTGTTTGAGCGAATTTTCGGTGGCAAGTTGAAGCCCAAGCAGGCCAAGTACTTCTTCAAGCGGTGGATGGAGTTTGAGGAAAAAGAAGGAGATGAACGGCGGGTCGAGGAGGTCAAGGCCAGGGCAGCGAAGTGGATCCGGGACGCCGGCAAGTAAGTTGGCGAGAAGAAAAATATCGGATCTGGGTCTGGTAAGATCTGGCCTTTGCGGCGGGAGTTCCCCGAACGGCGAAGGACGTAATTATGTAGGTACACGCAGGTGGGGTAACGCTTGCCTGTTCATTCTGGTTGGTACAAGGAAAAGTGAGTTCATGGCACAGGTTGCGCAGGATCATTGTGTTCTCTGCGGGCTTCTCCTCCTTTTCTTGTGAGAGGACGACTAGCAGATCTTATTCCCTTCGCTGCGGCGCCTGTAGTGCCGCGGTGCAGTACGGCACCGTGCCCAAAAATCTCAGTGTGTCCGACTGCTACCACGAGAGGCGAGTATTCGCCAAGAGGAACTCCTTAAAACCAATCGTTGCTCTTCAAGACGGATCCATTGTTCCGATCTTCGCTGGACACAATGAAGTCACAGTAATTCGTCTGCCCTGAGTTGCCCTGCGGGCATCGGAAGGAGGCCAAAACGAGGATCGAGACCAGGTGTGGATATTCTTACTCGATGGATCGAAAAGCGAGTAGCAAGTGGACTGAGAAGTTCTCGTTGTTTCTTTTTTCTCTCTCGTAACATCTATCAAGTAATGGGGTGGAGAGAATGGGCGATGAATCAGGAACAGGTGGACAGGTGGACAAGCGGGAAAGTGTTGGCGACGGCCTTGTCCACCACCAGAGCTGAAAGACACTTTTCTTTTCTCGATCTGATGAAAAGGTTCAGGATGAATAATTCCGTGGTATAAAGAAGGAATGAGGAGTTTCTTGGGGAATGATGTTGCCTGTAATGGCAGGTGGAAAATAATAGGACCCTGGCTGACCTGAAGGGGGAGCAAGGGAAGTGCGGCAGAGCCATGCAAAGATTCTTCCACAAGCACCGCAGGGGTGGCTTCGCAAGCTTCGTTCCTGCTTCTGGTGCCAGGTGGAATGGTACCCAAATTATTGGTGCCAGAGGGTCATAGGCCGCGTGGATTTCCGTTGCAGGCATTTGGCCGCTAATGTCAGGCTTGACTGAGCCCTAGCCAGCCGGAAGCACCCTTAACCACCCCCTTAAATGTGCCTAGCTCCCCTAAAGCAAACAGACCCTGGTTCCTCCGAGTGGCCGAAGGACCCTTCTGTGGTTCCAGGTGGCTCCCAGGTGGCTCCTCCTTAGGCTCCCCAGCATCATCGTCACCTCGGACCTTCATCGTCCCACGACCCAAAGGCTTCGATTTCCAACCCAAGCTGCACAGTCCTCGCAGGCATCCTCAGGCGTGGTGCTCGCGTACTGCTGGTTACGCTTACGGCTGGAGGCTAGTTCCGGGAACGCTCCCATCTCCAACCAATCGCCCTCGCTTGATATGGCCGTTCGTCTCTTATCTTCAGCCAGCACACGACATTCACGTCTCTCTCAGCACAGCAATAGTCCAAAACATCAACCCTCCATATCCACGGCGTATTCATTCGCTGAAACCAATCTGCGCCCCGAGCCCCCATACTTGTGCTCCATACAGGGCTGCATCATCATGCCATCCATTGCATCTCCCTCTCATCTATCCTTCTCTCTGATATTGCTACCACATTACTTGAGAGTCAGCTATTATCTCTCTATCAAGACCCCCTGATTCGGCCTCACCCGCCTCACCCGCTTCGCACTCTACTCTAGGCTGCTCCGGCATGCCCCTCGAATCCGATTCTCTCGCATGTCGATATTCCTAATAAATATCTTCTACCCAGATCTCGCACTCTGAGATCAACCAGCCGACATCGCCATGATGATGGTGCCTCGGGCCTTCGCCCACAACCCACTGGCGCAGAGGCAACAATATATCGACTTCAATGAGAAAGAGAAGGACAGGTTATCATCCCGAAGGCAACCGCGAGACACCTCCCCTCGACCACCTCCAGCCCGTTCAGCGCTCACTCAGGGCCTTTCTCAAGAGCTATCTGATTCCCCCCTCAGACCCTCTTCAGACCCGGTCAAGATACCTGTACGGACAGCAGAGAGTCGACCCCGCATTACACCTCGACAACCGGTCGACTCCTCTCAATCTTTGAGACATTTCTCACCTTCAGCGGCCACTTCTCACTCACTGGAAATTCCACGGCGGAAACACTCAGCCCAAGAGATCTTGACATCAACAACTATCCCCGTTCGACGAAAGCCAAAGCAGAGGCCGAGTCAACGCCTGCCAGACTGTGACTATGTTGCAGACTTCAGTAAGCTGTTAAGGGATGATGTCCCGCCCAGCACTGATGGGAGTCTCTCGAGCAGCTGGACAAACCCACAATTCGAAGGACTGTTTGGCAACATCGATGGCCTTGTTGGAGGGCATATGATTGTGGGGAATGAAAGTCTTGACCCTGGTATCCTATCCGCCAGATCACTCTCGACTGAGTCGATGCCTTCGCTATCTTCCCCCGACGACTTCAGCAGTCTTTCACCCGCAACTCTCAGATCTCCTTCTGACCAGCGATTGCGACAGATGGCGAGTTCGGAGGATTGCAGCAACGAGCATCCCCTTCTAGCCAAGGACGAGGATGAGGACTTTAGCGGAGCATCGACGCCAGAACTTTTCATTTCACCGCCGACAAAGATGAGACGAAGGCAAATCGTCCCCAATAAGAGACAGAGCTCGTTCAAATCGAGTCTGACGGCATCCCTTAAAGCTCTCAAGTCTGCAGCCCAAAGCGTGTCCGATCTGACGAGCCAGCCTCCACTGGTACGACCAGACGAGTTCCTAACAAGATCTATTTTTGAGTTCAGACCCTCCCTTACCGATGACCGACGCCCTCCACCTTCAGACGAACCCCCTTCAGCGGCGCTGAGGAGATATCTGAATCCCAGAACCTTCGTCCCTCCTGATTCTCCCGCCCAACTGCATTTCTGGGTCGAGGAAAGACCTGTTGCAACCTCATCGTCTGCTTCCGACACTCGGCCCAAGCTCAAGATCAAGAAGAAGTATAGAAACCAGAGAGCCCTTTCCTCTCCCGCAAACGAAACGGCCCCCTTCGTAGCGTCCAAGAGCCCTGTGTCCCAACTTCCACCTATGGTCCAACTGGCGACGTGTATCCCTTCGACCATCCGCACCGCACACGCTTCTAGCCCACCAACTTGGCTCGAACCCGACGGCACCCCGAGCAACAAGTTCCGCGCCGCGCAGACCCTGTGGGCTGACCCTGAAAACGGCCTAGAGGAAGGTCAACCGCGGTCACGCGAGCCTCGGGAGAATCGGGATTTCCTTCGAGTTTTTGTATGTGAGATGAACATGCGAAAGAATGGGAAGTTGAGCGAGGATGCGGTGGGCCATGCGAAGTTGTGGTTGCCACCGGTTGATGAGGCACCGAAGGGCAAAGACAAGGACGCAGACGACACGAACAGGCACAAGGTCGAAAAGGGCAAGAGGAGAAAGATAGACGCCAGGGAAAGATGGAGGAGTTGGTCGATTGAAGACTTGTAACAATTTCGGAGATGGATGATTCGATGATGTGCTGTTTTACCTAGGCGATGGCTGCCTTGAGCATAGAAGCGACACAGAACCCGGTCCCCCAAAAGGGCCACCTTCACGAATGACGACCGCAAGCGATGATTTCGAGCTATTGGATGAATGTATGCATGATACGGAGCCAGTCGAGTCCAACCGCCTCGACGGTGGCGGCAAAAGAAACTGTACAACACGATGGATGATGGCATGAGCGTTTTTCTGTAAAGCGTGGTTTGTTCTGCAGAGACTTGAGACTTGTTGTTAGAGACTTGCTTTTGTTCCAAAGGGGAAGTTGAAAGAAGCAAGAAGCAAGCCCCACGCACGTATGCACGCAACAAGAAAAGTTTTGTTGATGATGGCGCTTGTGACGATATATACCTACCCAGGAACTTACATTGTATGTTTGTGTATATGACATATGTACGAGGTCTGGAATTGAACACACATCATAACATCACATCACAGAATATGCCACCCGTGCCTGACGAAACGAATCGTGACGATACTCGGTAGCATTTCTGGTGTCTTTTTCACCTCGCTCTATGACGTACTCCAAGGCTCGATATTCCCTCCCAAGTGCTCTAAGTGGTCGAAGTGGTAGGTAGGGAGGAGAGGACTCGAGTGGGTATACACGGGTACAGGGGTAGAGGGTGTGCTAAGTACGAGGACCGAGTAGGACAAGGGAACTCAAATGGTCAAGGACGATTCAGATGGATCCACGTAACGGTAGAAGATTCATATGGACGTGCGCAAAATGAGCACCTAGTGCTCTGGACTTGTATTGCGCTTGTGAAAGCCCTGTCAAGGGGTCAAACGGATATGTATTGCTGAGCAGGCTGAGTCGCGCCCTCGAAGGTCAGCTCCTCCAAGACTGCTTGCTAGGCTTTTCAGTCCACAATTCATAGGTGGAGGTGGCCGGTCTCGTCATCGAGCAATGTATGCTTCCTCGTCAACTCTCGTTCCTTCTTTCCAACACACCTCAATCCACTCGTGGGTCACGATGCGCGGGATTTTCCTCGTGCCCCAGCGCGAGACCTGTTTCCTCAGATCCCCGAGATCGGAAGCAGGGTGGGCGATGATGTGTGTGATCGTCGCTCTAATATCGGAGGGTACCGACGAGAGTGTGGTGTACGTGAGCGAGAGTACCTTGGCACTCGCAAACTGCGCAATAGCTTGGGTAGAGTAAGCTGTGCTCGCCATTGTCGTGCTCAATGTCGCTGAGGAGTCCGAGTTAGGCGATTGCGCTGTTCCATTCCGCGCAACAGAAGCGGGCTGATCAAAGAAAAACACCAGGCCATGGAACATGAATCCCTTCATGCTGAGGAAGTCATCACCGAAGAGGTCTGGAATTCTATTCCGTTCCTCGTCTTCGATGTCGACAGTGCCCATCTTGGCCATAATCTCTTTGAGCTCCTCTTCGCTTACATCTCTTGAGAAACTGTCCTTATACTCATCCACATTATCCTCGAAAAGCTCCCTCTTGTTGTCCGGTACGAAATAAATGTGGCGTTCGGGCTCGAAAGGAACGACCATCTCATCCGCGTATCCTTTAGCAAAGTCCCGTTGCGCCTGGTCAACGCAGTCAAAGATCCACATTGGCTTGATGATTTCCTTTTCACCGCGCTTCTCCAGAGATGCCACTTTGACGGTGCGGCGGGACGCAACACATATCACTCTCTCTTGGTCCTCAGAACTCGGAGTTGCCGTTTGCACGATTCTGCCACCATTTGCTTTGACCAAGGCTTCCAGCTCGAGTTTCGACTTCTTCAGATCCCCGTTCAAAGCGGATTCTGTCATGATATAAAAGGTCAATCCTTCAAAGACGGTTCCTCTGGGTCCCTCCGGTAACTTGACATTGTTCACATCCCTGGCATTGTAACCGGCCACGGTGAGAGGTTTCTTCCGGCTTGCATAGCCGCCAGCGCGGGCCTTGCGTTTCTCCTTGCGCTGCTGGTCAACTTTCATCGCTCTCTCTTTCTCCGCATCCTCGACCTTGACTTGTAAATCTCTAAACTCGTCGACAGAGAGAGCAGTCTTCCAATCCTTGTCCCTTCTCAGTCTCATGAATCGAGGAAACCGCAATGTCTTCCCAAGGCCGTAGTCGTCGCTGGCTGTGACTTGCGCAGCTTTTACCTGAACAACGAGAGAGTCGGAAGGCTTGATCCACACGTCGGGTCTCTCCTTGAGCAAGCTCAAGTTGCCTAGGTCAATATGGTCTTTTGCCGACGGCCGGCGGGAGCCCCAAGGGTGCCATTTCCCGTCTGTGGAGTGGCGTATCGTAGCGTAGTCATTAGCCGTCATACCGCCACCAACTTTGAAGAAGGATATAAAGTTCTCGATTGGGCCATTTGGTTCAGACGATTCAGCTCCCTGTTCAATCGAGGTCTGCGATTGAGTCGGTTGACGTTGCGAGGATTGTTCCTCGCTCTGACTCTGGCGTTGAGACTCGGTCAATTTGTGCACAGCATTGCTTGAGGCACGCAGACCGCACAAGAAACTGGAGAGGTTGCCGCCCCGTTTCCCTGAGCCGTAGTAACCGCCAATGATAAGACAGTCGAGCTCCTCTCCGAAGCCATCCATGTACTCTGGCTTTACTTTCTGCCAATCGCCTGAGCGGTCATCTAGACGGTACATGGATCTTGGATTCTTGAGCACTAAGCCCTCGGAAGCCTCAGCCACGACTTTCCGAAGTAGGTCTTCCACATCATCCACTTTCTTTGCTATGGTGTATTCGTGGATCTCAAAGCGTTCGGGCAGACTCCTTACGCTGGCAGCCAACGCTTTGCGGCGATCTCGCAGAGTGTAGCGAGTTAGAGGTTGATCATTCATTAGAAGGATGTCGAAGGTCCGGAAAACAGGTCGGTGGCCTTGAGCGAAAGGGTTGCGCTGCTCCGCCAGTGCGGCAGTTTTCAGTGTGCCGAAAGGAACAGGTGCTTTTTCATTGGGGTCCCACGTTATCATCTCTCCATCGAGGATGATGTTTTCTACCCCGTCTGTGAAGCAGTCCTTGATGTGCGGAGTGAGGGCTCCATTGGGATCGTAAAATCCGTCGCCGTACAGATAGGTGTAGTCTTTGGCTTTTCGGGACCAGAATCGGAAGCGTCTTGAACCTGGATGGTCGTCATCAGTGATCATGTGCATCTGAATACGTTCGCCGTCGAGTTTCTCTTCAATCCAAAACTCGGGGTCTTCGGGAGTGGGCTTCAGCGCTTCGACCACTTTGTCGAGAGATTCTTGCTTGAATTGGGCCAGCATAGGTTGGAAGCATTGCATCAAGGCGACTCCAGCCTCGTCATCTTGAAGACGGATCTCTGGACGGTACAGTTCCCAGCACACTCTCCGCAGGTTGCTGGAAACATTGAACAAACTCTCCGCGTCGGGATGCCAGAGGTGGAAAAAAGTCTTCTCGGTAGCACCCACTTTCATCTGTTTCAGAATTACACGAATCAACCACATCAGCTCTTCTGCATTCATGCGCTTGTAGAATTCTGCCAGAATCGGGAGCTGGTTCTCTTCCCTTGGTGCCCCTGACAACTTATCCAAGAGCTCATTGACCTCTGCGATCGTCATGTCTCCAACTTGAACCCTCATGGGGCGCTTCGATAGGGCCTCATAACAGCGACCTGCGAAATCTCCAGCCATGCGCGACGCAGCCGTCTGACCAGGCTGCTTCCAGTTCAAGAGGCTGTACCCGTCCTCGGAGTTTTTGTCGATCTTCATGATCTTGATCAGTAGTTTTGCGATGATCTTCTCTTTCAGTCCATATACCCCACGTTCGCGGTCCTTGTCTGGGATGATCAGCCTGAAGGCCGGAAAGAAGTCAGGGCCGACCTCTTTGCGCCAACGAGCAATGTACCGTTGGATGATTGCGCGCCGTCGCTCAGACGGAGATAAATTGGACTGGCCATCTGGACCTACTTTTCTGCGGTTGATGACGGCTGCCGTTGGCTTCTTTTGCCTGTTGTCAATCAGAGGATTGAAGAGATCCTCGAACAGTGTGTGAAAGGGAAGAGTCTTGCCGTGATTGCGAGGGCGGTTTGGGTATTCCTGGTCTAACCGTTTCTCAACATCTGCACGGTTGGGCACTTGTTCATGACTGGATTCATCGTGCATGCTCTCATCGTCAGACATCCTGGGATCGGGCAGAAAGTCTGCTGAGTTGAGATGAAGTTGCCCTACGACCGCACACACATTCTTGCTGAGGTAGAAGATGAATCCAAAGCATCATTAGGGGGCAGGCTGCGAGCTGCCACTTGATAGGCGTGGCGTATCTCGTTGCCTAGCTAGAAGTGAAGTGAAATAATGCTCTCCCTCTAAAACGTGGCACCGACGCGCCAAGACGCGCAGTCACGTGCGCAGTCCCGAATCCATGCATCGCCGTCAAGGCCGAAATTGACGCTTACAGACCAAGCCTTACAGCTTCGCTCTGCCTTCTCCTGTTCCTCTCCATACTTCCACTGTCTATTCCTTCGTCTCTGGACATTCGTTCGGCAACGGGCTTCAAACCTTGCTACAGAGTTGGAGTTATTGAGATGTGACGAAACCCTTACTAAGCTCTCGAGACTTGCGCCGTGTGCCCCATTCGTTCTGCATTGTCCGATGCTCCGGCATCCTGTATCTGACCAGTTGTCAATGGATTGATGAGTGAGAAGCAGGCACGGCGTCCTCCTGTGGCGCCAAAGCCCTCCTTCATCCAGCAACACAATGCCGCCACAACCAAAATCTCTCCTTTGCCCTCGCCCGCTCTCCGGGGTGCCACTTTAGCATTTGGAGCGCCTGCGGTAAAGCCACCCAACATCTCCATCTCCGCATCACATAATCCATCTGCAGGAGCCCTGCTTGCAGCGACCACTGCCTCTATCAGGAAGCAGCAACAACAAGCACAGCAAAATGAGGCGACTACTTCACAAGAGTCGGCTTTCAATGCCCGAGGTCGACCATTGACGACAGAAAAGCTACCAACTGCGGTTTCCAACTACTCCTCTCTATCTCCTCCCAAGCCTGGGCTTCGGCCTCATGCTGCTCGATCTACGTCTGCCGTTGCCGCCGTTGCCGCTTCTGCAAAGACAAGCCCTGTGCGCAGGCCGGAATTGAAAAGAGATCAGGGGAGCTCGTATTTGGCGAGGCGAGAACCGTCCCAGGTGCGAAGTCGAGGCATGAGCACAAGTAGCAGCAGCGAGACTGTCCAGTCACTCCAACAGAGCGCAGCTGCTCTCGCTGGGGCGAAGGCCTCGATGACAACGGCTCCCGTGCCAATCCAAAATGCGACGGGTGACAAGCAGAGAAGCGACTTGGGTTACCTCTTGAATTTACCGCTTTACTCTGCTCAATCCTCGTCGGCTCCGAGCCCGTCAGTCTCCGGTGCCACGGCAGCAGCTACGGCTTCTAGGAACGCTGCCAGTTTAGAAGCGAGAAGAAGAGCTCTGTCAACTTCTGAGGAGAGCAGCCCCAGCGCACCGGTGTTCCGCAATCTCACTGCGTCCCCTCAGTCGACTACCGGTTCGTCATGGCCACGTCTGCGAGTATCTCCCCCACAGACGGATTCAGAGAGCGACACTGGACGGTTAATTGTCGAACAACCCCCCAAGCCTCTGCCGGCGCCCGTTCCAGTGCGCGCCAATCGAGCAGCAATCGTTGCACAAGAACAAGCTGTGGCCCAGGACTCGCGAACAGGAATGACTGCAAGTTCTTTGGCGGACGCCATGGTTGCGGGCTCCATTGCAGCCACCCACACCGGCTCTCGTGTAGCATCTCCTGCATCGAAGAAAGTTCCACCACCTATACCACGTCGGCGATCAAAGTCAGTGGGCGCTTTCGGCAGCGCGCGGCAATTAATGCACCTTCCTGGGATGAGGAGTGAGACGATGTCGCAAAACCCCAAGCTGAAACCACTTCCCATGCGACCTATGAGGCAGACATTGCGGAATAACTCGCCCGAACATGACGAACCATCAGAAGAAAAGCGTGGGCGGAGGCACTGGAGGCGGCATCCCAATATGCACCACGAAGGCGATCGCAGGCGGTGGAGAGACAAGGTGACGGAGCGGGAAAGGAAACGGTACGAAGGTGTGTGGGCAGCCAACAGAGGGCTACTCATTGATTATGATATGGACAACCCCGATTTGGAGGGAAGAAAAGATGGCGCCTCTCCCGGTGACCTGGTTGTCAATATTGTGGTTCGTGACATTTGGGAACGAAGCCGGTTGCCCAAAGATGTGTTGGAAGAGATCTGGGACCTCGTGGCGCAGCCAGGGGCGAAGACGCTCAATCGGGAGGAGTTTGTGGTGGGACTCTGGCTCATTGATCAGAGATTGAAGGGCAGAAAGCTGCCTGTCAAGGTGTCTCCGAGCGTGTGGTCGAGTGTGCGACATCCCCAGGGTGTCAAGATTTCGAGCAAAGCGCTACACAAATAAACAGGATAGAGATATATGGATAATTACACTTTAGACATGGCAGTCTGCCGTCAGGGGTGGAATAGTCAGCCAGTCAAGGATAATAGCTGGACCAGGGGCTTCGCCTTGCCCCTGAGGTTGGGTATCCACGGCAGCCTCGGGGAATGCTGTACGGAGTATGTATTTCTACGCAGGAATCATCATGGCCGATAGTATCTATCGACTACCCTTACAGCCCTACGTGCCTATTTCGGTATGTATAGACAATACCTCGTCATCTCGTGCGAGTGCGAGTACGAGTACAACAGATCAACATACTTACTAGTATACGGCATGAGCAGTACCTCGCACACGTACGCGCACGTCCGCACCCAAGTACCAAGCTCGTAAGGAACGTACGTACGCACGTATATTCGTATGCAAGTGCGCAAGAATGCAGATCCCAAGGCTCTTGGCCAGGTACCTGGGCTGCTGGGCACCTACGGAGTACATACTCGTAGATCAGGGATTTATCTCGGTATGGATGCGCAATCGCAGAGATCGAAACGCACCCGGCACCAACGGCACCAAGTCGCGTCCCCCACAAAGCCCGGAGTTCTCATCCAGAGTACTCCGTACTCGGTACCTCGGACCAAAAGTTGTCAGAGCTGATTGATTTCTAGAAAAGAAATTCCCGCAACTCAAATTTCAGGTTTCATCGGGGTCTGAAACGGAGAGATGGGAAAGGGAAAACAAACACCGACGAAGAAAAAAAATGCCTCGCGTGTCGTGGTGAACCGGGCGTGCGGGTGCGCGTGCAGGCCGGGTTCACGGGTCCATGTCCATGGGTGGTGGTTGAGAGAAACTCGGTGTGTACATGTACATGCACTCGGTACCTCCGAGGATACAAGTAGATAGGGGGTGGTAAGTGATATGTGGTAGATGGTGGGAGTAGGGAGAAGGAAGAAGATGGTAGGGAGGGAAGGTAGTAGTACGGAGTACACAGGCGATAGATAGGTAGTGGGGGTGTATCCGTATCGAGTATTGAGCATCTATATCGAGTATCGAGGCAGGCATACCACATGATTGCCGTCTTGTTCACCATCTCCCTTTTTCTTCCCTCGGAAATACCTCTCACTCTCCATTTCTCTCACCTCTAGGTACGTATGCATAAGCGAGAGGAGAGTCAAACGTATCATTCTCAATCCCAATCTCATTCTCAATGCAGTCCATTCCATCCCATCCCATTCCACTCCACATCTCCTCGGACCACAACCGCATTATATTGCGCGGCCGCTTGTACAAGCCACTGACGAGGTACACGAGGTCGTTGGATAATGAAACCGCCGCAAAGTATAATTAAAGTAGAATATTATTTCATGCATGGTGGGTGGTGGGCGGTGGACGGTGCCCGGATGATCGATCCACCGTCGATCGCTGATCCCCCAGAAGAACACAAGACGGGAAACGCGCACGCCAACTGGGCGCCGAAAGCCGGGCAAATAATTAATGGATCGACATAGAAATGGAAAAATGTTGGTTCAGTTTTCAGCTTTGGAGAAGAAAACATCAAGATCGGCTGCAACTCGCAAACTGGGAACAGAATTCAGATCATTGATGTAACATTTGTGTAATTGATTTCTTTGCATTTCCATCCCCATCCCACAATTACAAGTACAACTAGCAAATCTCAGATCCCTCATTGAAGACGAGAGACATAGACAGTAGTCAATTAATAATGTACATAGCCATGGATCGTAGATCTCAAGTCCTGCCAATCCCCACCCAGGACCCCATACAGCTGAGCATTCCCAATATCTCAGATAGATACCTCCATCCCTTGTCCCAGGCTGACTTATCAAAAGCCACGACTACTGGGGTTCGGTAATGGAGACGGCTAATGTCCCATCTGAGGTGGCGCGCTCATGCTCGATCCCGTTGGCGGTGAAGCTTTCCTTCTCCCCGATCATCGACGATCGGGTCGTTCTTCAATGTGAAGCTTCCTTGATAACGCTCGACTGCTCCTGGTCGCTGCATCTCGTCGACGGGTCTCCGTAGCGTCAAGCTCAACTGGAGACCCAACTTCGTATCACCAGCTGGTGGCGGAACTGCAGCGGCAGGAGAGTAGCTTTCATAAAATTCGTAGCCTTGCGGCTGAACAGATGCTCTCAATGGGGTATCAAGTTGTCATAAAGGCGTAGCGAGTTGTGGAGGCGGTCCATCTAGTCGTCCCCTTCAACGTCAATGGCCGTCTCCCGGACTGTAACTGGTCGGTTTTGCTTCCAGCTCTGGTCGTAAGTCGACTTGGCCGTTGACGGTGGTGGAGGGGGGGCTCGTCTCCTTGGGCTGGCAGGCGCAGAGCTGGACTGGGAGTCCTTGTTCTCCCCACACTGAACCACACCGGTCTGAACGGCATAGACTTTGCCGTTGCTCTGGGATTGCTGCTCAATCGTCGTCTCGTCGTCAACCTCGCAGTCAAAGATGGCAATCTGGTCCATAGACGAGGCATCCTCGTATTCCTCGTCGGATGCCGAGTCCTCGAATGGATCGCTGTCCGTGTCGGACTCGGAGTCGACGACCACGGTTTCAGAAGGAGTAGCAAGGTCACGCGACCATCGTCGAACATTGTCGACAATAGAGGCGTGCAGGACTATGCGGTGGAGATCTGGGGTTTGTCGGCGGCACTCCCGGTCGAGTTTGGTTTGGGAGAGGTGGTAGACCTTGTAGGCCTGGATGGCCGGGTTGGATGATGTGGAAGCGAGCATGGTGAAGATGTTTGATGTTGTATGTCGTCGACAATGGTTCTTCAAGAACGTCCTGATTGTGGATTGGATATGGAACTCGACCTCTGGTTGTGAGAAGGAGAAAAGGGCTGACAGAGTGGGATGGGACTGAGGAATATATCCTTTTTGATACAGGAGGGGACCCGAATCAATCAGCCGGGGTAGAGGCCGTGGAAATTCAGGATGAATTGCATAGGGAGGCTAGTGCGTCTGCAGCTTCGCCAGGCGAAGTATCATGCGCGAGGGTGGCTCAAAGCGCAATAATTTCGGAACTGGCGGGCGGGTGACTAGGGACGCCCTAGCGGGGGAGCCTCTAGTCAACCAAGGGCAACGGGTGACGGGAAAGGAAGTCGTGAGGTAAGCATGCACGGCGTCGTAATGGACAGGGCGGAGGAAGAGGGTGACAGCACAACATGCAGCAAGTCAGTCAGTTAGTGGTACGAGGATTCTGGTTGCTGAGGTTTCGGTGGCCGCTTGTCTTCTGTTGCATGGTAAACTTTGTCCGGCCCAAGGATCAAGCGCTGGGATACGCCATGGACTCTGGGGGGTGTTTTACATTAGCCTAGGATGGAGAAGTGGCTTGAGATGGGAGCGGTGGGAGAGTCCTGTTTCCTAGTAGATGGTAGATGTGATCATAGTCATCATCAACATGAGCAGTTGTTTACAGGAGAGAGTAAGTGGTGTTGGTGAGAGGAGAGGCGCAGGCGCAGGCAGATACGCACCCGTACCCTGTAGCAGTGCCAGTTGCGGTGCGCAGTTTACCCCTCCACTCCTGCCTCTTGTGCGGCGTAGTAACGTGACCAGGCCACTAACTACCTTCTCCGTACTTGCTCCCTGGTAAACCAAATGACGTAGCCATATGTCCAACCACGGCCAGCTTTCCGCCTCGTTTCCGTCGCGCCGTATAAACCGTCGATTGTTAGACGCCTGAAAACTCCCCTCCGGCTGCAACGCAACTCTACAACCGCGCGTGTCAAACACATTCCACAATGACGGTCGACGGTTAATTGTTCTGGGAAGGTGCTCAGATGTCTCAGACCACCGATTGCGGTTAAACCATCCTTGTCTCCCAATGTTCCAATGGTGCTGTACTGGAGGTACACAGGTACACCGCCAACCTCCACCGAATCCCCTTGGGGACGTGTTTGTTGGTATCTTGATGACCTGAGCAATGCACGGTGGGACAACTCTGAGGTTTCTAGGCCCGCGTATTGTCGATCTTCACCAAATGAACCTGGGACCCCAAATCACAGAACGGGCTTCCACCTCCGTTGGCTACTCTCATTCCAAGTCCCTCCAACGAGATGGAACTCGCTGAGTAGGTAATAAGGTTTCCTTACTCAGTGACTGAGGCCCCCGCATCATGCAAGACCGTGTGGATGACCCTTTGCAGCAATCGGGTGGCAGTTGAGCCAGTCAAAGACTCCGGCCAGCACATCCCACTCCTTACTTAATCCCTAGTGCTCCCTCTACTCACCCATACTTACTGACACACCAAGCAACGACACTACTTCTTTGGGATAGGAGCTCTAGCCGCTCTCGGTACGAATGCCTCGTTCAGCAGTCTTCTAGAAGGTGAACAGGCCACCCTCCCGGCACACCATCCGTTCGTCACTGTTTCAGATTATGCGCGTCCTGCACACCCAGTCTTGCTGACCTTATCTCCTTCCACCTCGACAAACTCGTAGGAACTGCCGAATCAAGAAACCTTCGAGAAGAGTTCGCTAAAGCCCCAGCTCCTCCACAATCCTTTCTTCTCAACGGTATACCTGTTCTCTGCGACTTCCTCAAGCATCAGTCCTGTTGAAGGATTCGAGGTCACTGTCACAGTGTCAACGAGCTCCATCAAATTCCATTCCCGGCATCCTTCTAGAAGTCCAATATATTCCCCACAAGCGGATCGATAATCTCCACTGAGCGGTTTTCCATCCGGTGCGACCCCCGAACAATGGGCGCCTTGTACCTGACTGCCTGTCCAGGACTCTGGGATTTTTTTTTTTTTTTGTTGGATTTTTTTTTTCGCACGCGCGCGCACTGCGCGAAAATGGGATTCCGCTTAATGTCTCATTGGAAAAGCGAGGGAGGATTCTTGACTTCTTGATGTACCATCCTTACCTTATACGGACTCGAACAGCGAGCGTCAAACCTTGTTCGCTCTATCTACAGGCTTTGACTTGTGGGATACATGACCATTACTCTGCGCTAAGATAGGAGAAGAGATGGCTCGTCACTGACCAGATTGACTCACTGCTGTAGTAGCCAGTCTCTTTCACCCACTGGCCGAGGAGATCTTTCCCTGAGCTGGTGTCGGAGATCATCTCCTCGGAACTCCGCTGGCCATCAGCCATCAGAGACTCCCCCTCGTTTTCGGCACCAGCTCCGGATCTGGTGCGAGTCTTATGGCTCACTGCCTTTTTGCACAAATTGATTGGTCCCTGTGTACAATTCGCGCTATGGTTCCCTTGTACTCGTTCGTACACGATTGAATCATCTCGATGACAGTGCCGACAAAACGCCTTCATTATGAGCGTTTTTACTCCCTACACCAACAACAGTGACACTCATAGACCAGAAAGATGCTGCAAGGTTGAAGCACGGACAATCTCGGTATGAGGTCACCCATTGAATCTGTCGGAGGCCACCGCCAAACGCAGGTAACGTGCAATCAAACATCCAAGCAAAGGGGAATGTGTGAAATTCCTGGAAATGGTTAGCGTTCAGATACCGGCCATTGAGTCTGAATCCTACGAGTCACGGGGAAATTAAAAGCACCAAGATGTCCAGTGTTTGACACCAGCCAGACAGATCTGCAATGACATATCAACGCCCTGCAGAAGAACATGTTCTGGCCTCAGAGGGCCTGCCTGATGCGGTAGGCCCTCGATGTCTGACATGGCAGAGGAACTGATTATCTCTGCCGTTACTCAGCCTGCGCCCCCACCCATCTTGGGGCACATTCGCTGCATTCGCTACACTCGCTGCACACTCAGCACATGCAGGGGTTGGCTGTTGGGTGGCTGTATGCCATGACATAGTGTCCAATGGCTCTCTTTATTCAGGCTAATACTCGTTTTTCTGCTGCTTTATCACACCGTGCAGTTGAGACTCCCAGAACTCTATGGGACCACGGAGTACGTACAAGGTGGGTAGGGGAACAAGGCAGCGACACGGCGGCTGTTTGGCCTCGTCTCTTGTTTTAAGACCGAGCACCCAGCCTCAATCCAGTGTTCTGAAAATGGATAAAGCCTGCTCCTTGCCTGAGCAGCGGCTTCATCCCTCACATGATCGAGAGCAATGAGGCCACCCTGCCAAACCTCTTGCCAAATGTCGACAACACATTGAGCAAGTGCGGTAGGTACTCCAGCAAGCACACACCTGTCAACAATGAGTATGTACAGCTCCAATTCCCGCCACAAGCGTGCTTTATTGCCCATCTCAACACTCTTAACTGGAAACTCCATGGCGTCCAACTATCGGTGTTACAGTCGGAATCTTCCATGTACAGCCTCCCCAGAAAGTAATGATGCTAGATGAACCCGCTTGATCTCCGGACAACCGACTCACATGGTGTTGCATCTTTCATTGCGACGCGATTATGCACATTGATCTTGGGGATACGAGTGAATGCAAACGTGGCCAATCTGCCAAGATCTTTCGGGAGAGTTTCCTTTACGAGGCGACAGGCATTCCTCGGCCAGCAAGTGACAGCAATCCTGGAGAACCTCCAGATGAAGTAGCAAAACCTACCGATGTACCATGTCAATCACCTCCCTCCGCCATCGCCACCAAGCGTCCCTCGATGGAGAGATGGGCCCGAACCGTATCGTCCTTCGCTTCCACGAGAGATACGAACGGGACCCCGCGACGATAAACCTCGTCTTCAATCTGTATTGCAAGTCTTTCCCCTCGGTGAACCTTGATCAAGTGTCCCACGAGGTTTACAGGGTCAAAAAACCCCACGATGACTTGTGAGTTTGATGCTCGAATTTCAGTGGGGGAGACCTGCTGGATTAACCAGAGTCAGCACATATAAACAGCTCTCCAATGCGCACCACGAGGCTCGCGCACGTTGTTCAATACTCCGATGGGATACAACTGACCGAGTCTGAGTTTTAATCATCCGATGAATCTGACGAAGTACGCCTAGCACATTTGGGCCATTCACCCATGAGATTCCTGTCTTGAGCATCAAGAGACAGGGGGATATCTCTCATCTGTCCGCTCGGCGGTACACAAGGAGTTTGGCTCGGCCGCGCCTGTGCCGTTTGACAAAGAAAGTATTCCGCACGAATCACATGTTGAGGGTTTTGCCTACAGCTTTGAAACGTCTTCACTCGGGTTTCGCAAGCGCGCTTCATGTTCGAAGACCCGATGGGTGGGTGGGTATGTCTCAACCGGCGTCGTGTAGACACACGCGTGCCTAAAACGGACGGATTTTGTTGACTTGCGCCAACCATTCCCTTTTCCACCGACGTCGGAAATCAGAAGCGGAAGCAGAAAGGCTGGTGTGCGGGCTTTGACTCCTCGGAACTCTTTTCTCTCCCAAGCTAACCAACCCCTCTTGACTGCTCCCTACCTAAGTAGCCAGAAAAGCGCCACCACTCGTCGCCCCCCTGGTCGCACGGTTGCACGGTCGCACGGCAATGGGTCGCGTAGCATCATGTACATTGATGGTTTCGGCTTCGGTTTCGGTTCGAGATGGAGTGATCGTTCGTAATGCCGACTGGGCGTGCACCTGGGCCGTTACCGAGTACACAGAGGAGAATCAACCTGCAGTAAACGACAAACGAGAGAGAGCACGTCGAGTAGACGCGAACAGGGTAGAGACGTTACTGGAGGGAGCGCAAAGCGGCGAGGGATCACCTGGCGATCTGGGTACTAACGTTGGCGGAACAGCCCAATCAAGGAAGCCTTGAGTAGCACGACAAAGGTTGACTGCAGTCGGGGTGGGGATGGTGTTTTATATATTAACGACATGCAGTACATATATACAGATATAACATACATAACCCGACATAATATATTATAATATTATACATATAGACACAAATATATATATACTTATACCACATACGTCCAATCATGACTTCATATACTCGCCGCGAGGCCAAGACGTTCCCGATTAGATACGTGTTTGTGTCGGCTTAGTCTATCGAATTTCAATCTACAGCAAGGTAAGTGCAACTTCTATCAACCGTTTGCCTGGCCCGTCGTGTTTGACTGAATATGTGCCTTTCCTTGCCTTCCCTTGCGATCTCTTTTCGTTTTCCAAGCCCCTTTTTTTTGGTTGGTTTTTGTGTTTTGGACCGTTTTTCTCACTGCAAACGCCTCAAATTCGCTTTTCTTTTCCCTTTTGTCTTGATATCTTTTTTGGTCATGTTTTTTCTTCTTGGATTTTGTAAATTCCCGTCCAGATGCCGATGTAGAGACTGACGTGAAAATTCAACGTGGCTCAAACGGAATAGACACCCCTCTGCCACAACTGTCGCCGCCAACGTCTCTTTTTAATGCGCTAGCACAAGTGCCAACAGCGCCATTCTCGTGTACAGCCCATACCGCATCTGTCTGAAATAAGCTGCTCGTTGATCAAAGTCGACTTCCTCGCTGATCTCCCTGTTTCTCGGCAACGGGTGCATGACAATCATGCTCTGCTTCGCATATTTCAAAACAGAGTTGTCCACAATCAGACTATCCTTCAATCTCTCGTATTCGTCGAGTGAGGGGAACCTCTCCTTTTGAACACGCGTGCAGTACAAAACATCGCTTTTGGCAACGATCTCTGGGGTGAGCGTTTCGGATTCAATGGCTAATTGACCTGAGGACACGATGAGATCGCGTACATCGGATGGCAAGGCAAGTGCTCTCGGTGACACCAGGTTGATGCGCACTTCGTAGTACTGGAGGAGCTTGACCAGGGAATGAACCGTACGTCCGTACTTGAGATCGCCCGTGAATGTGACCGTGAGGCCAGTGACAGTACCCAACTCTTCACGGATAGTGAAGAGATCGAGGAAAGCCTGGGTAGGGTGTTCGCGACTCCCATTTCCGCCATTGATGATAGGTACCGGAGAAAACTTGGCCGCGGTAGCAGCCGACTCTTCGTCCGGATGGCGGAGTACTACAGCGTCGCCGTAGCAGCCCAGTGTCCGAATACTGTCCTGTAAGGTCTCTCCCTTCTGAGTACTCGAGTGATCGGTGTTGATTGCAATCGTGCGCCCTCCTAGCCGTTGCATGGCAGCATCAAAGGACGACGATGTACGGGTGCTGGGTTCATAGAACATGGTGCAAAGAACGCGAGATTGCAAAATGGGAAGGATGCCTTGTCGTTGCACACCCAGGCGCATTTCCTGTGCCACGGTGAACAGAATATGTAGATCTTGACGATTGTATTGGTTGACCGACAGAACATGGCGATTTTTGAAGGGTGACGAAGCAAGAAGAGAGAGTAGAGACGGCGAAATAGTGGAGGAAGGTTGAGGTTGGTACAACGCTGCGGTTGGAAGGACCGGAGTGGTGGTCTCCAAGAGTTCTTCCATGGGGCGAGCACGGACAATTGGCCTGCTCCTGGTGCTCATCGAGACACGTCTGTCGCTTGGACTCTCCACTTGTGCTTGGATGACTGGAGATCCGGGACCTCCCAATGTCGACACAGGATGGAGCAGGTGTGAAGACATGTTGGAACCTCGAGGATCATCCAATAGTGCTTCACCGTCAAGGCAAGTGGTCTTGCCCTGGAAAATGACTCTGGAAACCGCACCTCGCAAAGTCCTTCCGACAAACGGCGACCACACCTCGCCAGCTTGCAGCACATAGGGGCGGTCAATGTCAATTTCGACAGACGTCGAAGGCTGGTCGTGAAGCTCAAAGATCGCCGTTGGGTTGTCGTGCAGACGTGTGGTGACTTCCTCCACGGTCATTCTACCTTCAGAGACCGCCGTAAGGAGTAGGGGAAGAGCATCAGCAATTCCCACAGTGGGCACTGCATTATCGCCGGCAATCTGGTATGGCAGGCTACCAATCGAGAACACATCAATTGTTGGCAGATGATCCCACAGAGCTCGCTGATCGGCAGCCGTTGGAAGCGCGGGGCATTCGGGAAAGTCTGACTGCGACAAGAAGAGGCTGTAGACTGACACATCGCAAGTGACCTTCAACCCTTTCTCCTTGGAAAGGGCAATCAAGCTAATATCGTCCCGGGAGGTGACATTGTGCACGTGGACTTTTCGGTCATGTAGACTGGCCAGCAAGAGGATTGATGCTAGATCGGTAGTTTTGGCATCAGTCACAATGGGTTTGTATGACGGCCAAGTTCCAAAATGTGCTGTCACAGTCGCAACTTTGTTGATATTGCCAGAAGAGAGATGGTTGAATGGAATGAAGAGTGACCCAACCTCTTCCTTGACATGGACAATCTGCTCGGAATTGGAATCGGTCGCCGCTACAGACAAGTTGAAGTCGCAGAATGCGCCACTTTGAGCATTGTACTGTGCCACTTTAAGGGAGCGAGCGTCAGTGACAGCACTATCAATGCCGACAGGCATGACCCGGACCATGCTGAAGCCTGCTGTAATGGATGCCTTGGTAACAAGGGAGAAATCCGAAGATCCCCTCTGAGCAATACCGGGGACAAAGGCGGCCACGTTGACCAAACCTGGAAGAACCACGGTCCGATGACTCGTTTGGAAATCGATATTCCGGATATTCAGATCATAATGCCTGGCCAGTGCTTCGATAAGGATCTTGGCAACCTTGACGTTGGTGATCAAGGGAGTCTGATAGTCGACAGCCATTCTCCGGGTCCGATAGCCTTTGCTCATGTAGTTGGCAGGCCTCCTAAACCTATTGTTGGAGGGTAGATTGATGTAGAGATCAATCATGTTCGTGGCCAGGTGCTGCGTCAGCGAATACTCCGACTTTTGGTCTTTGTCGTCTCCAGCCAGAACTTCCAGGTATTTGACCTTGATGCCGTGCTCCTCGAGGAAGTCGGCCGTCCCAGAAGTTGCAAATATATTATATCCCAGATGATGCAATTTCTGGACCGAGGGAAGCATCTCCTGCTTGTCTTTGTAAGACCCAATCGAGAGGAGTATATTCTTTTCAGGCAATTTGAAGCCAGTCGAAATGGTTGCCTTGATGTACGCTTCGTACCGATCTCGTCCAAAGCAGGCAACTTCTCCCGTCGACGCCATCTCGACACCCAACACAGGGTCTGCTCCCGACAGACGAGAGAACGAGAATTGAGGCGCTTTGACGCCAACATAATCGGGAGGCAGATTGATGGGCGGATATGGAGTCACAGGTTTGTCCATCATAACGTTGGTCGCCATCTCGATGAGATCCACACCCATGACTTTCGAAACAAAAGGGAAGGACCTCGAGGCTCGCACATTGCACTCGATGACTTTGATCTCGTTGTCTTTGGCAATGAACTGGATGTTGAATGGTCCCGTAACATTGAGAGCATTCCCGATCTTGCGGGTTGCTTCCTCAATACGAGCAATAGTCTCTGGCTCAAGGTCCTGTGGAGGACATATGAGGGTGGCGTCTCCTGAATGAACACCGGCATTTTCGACGTGTTCAGAGATGAAATGCCCTGTCATGACACCGTCTTTCGCGACGGCATCCATTTCAATCTCTTTCGCATTTTCGATGTACTTCGTAATCACGACGGGATGTTCTCTTGATACAGCAACAGCTTGGTTGAGATAGTTCGCGAGATCGTCCTTGGAATACACGGTATTCATTGCTGCTCCGGATAGAACATAGGATGGCCGCACTAGAACGGGATACTGGACCTTCTCACAGAACTGCAGCGCATCCTCGATGCTTGTAAGCTCTTTCCATGATGGTTGGTCCACCTTGATTCTGTCCAACATCCGAGAGAACTTGTACCTGTTTTCGGCCGAGTCAATCATCTCTGGGGATGTTCCCAGTATCTTTACATTTAATCGATGCAAAGGCAAGGCGATATTGTTGGGTGTCTGTCCACCCATCGAAATGATGACACCACTAGCCGATTCCAGCTGATAGACGTCCAACACCGTCTCCAAGTCGATATTCTCAAAATATAGTCTGTCGGCCTCATCGTAATCTGTGGAGACTGTCTCCGGATTTAGCTATTTTGAGGTTAGCAAAGGCCGTTGAAGTGCTGAATAGTAATGCGAAAGAATAGGGGCCAAAGGGGCTGGGTGGGATGGGTGGCGATCAGTTGAGCCCGGTGCTCGACCGACGAGGGTCCAGAGCTCCTCGAAAGGCAGGAGCGGCCAGAGAAACATAAGAAATGAGAAATAATTAGCTTACATTCACCATGATCGTTTTGAAGTTTTGTTTTCGAAGAGTGCGGATAGCTCTGACTGAGCACCAATCAAATTCCACAGAGGAACCAATCCGATAGACGCCAGACCCGAGGACCATTACGCCGTGGTCGTTGAACGTGATGTCGTGCTCCGTGCCATTGTAGGTCAGATAAAGATAATTGGTGACGGCGGGGAACTCGGCGGCAACGGTATCGATCTGTTTCACAAAGGGATGGATGCCCGCCTCAGCCCGCAGACGTCTCACTGCCAGTTCGTTCGAGTTCCAGTACCGAGCTAGCTGCCTGTCCGAGAACCCAAGTTGTTTGGCTTGTCGAATCAACGACGGAGGGATACTGCTCGCCGTGAAAGTGGACATGAGTTTGGCGAAATCGCTCAGACCTTTAAGTCGAGAAAGGAACCACTTGTCAATCTTTGTCATTTCCCAGATCTTGTCCACAGAATATCCCGCGTGCATGGCATTGGCGATCGCAAACATTCTTTGGTCTGACGGCGTCTGCAATTCATCGTCGACTGACATGAGAGGGTTTGAGATATCCGAGAACCCAAGATTGTGAACATCGACAGAGCGAATGGCTTTTTGAATGGCTTCTTCAAACGTCCGGCCGATAGACATGACTTCACCGACACTCTTCATTGAAGAACCGAGCTGTGTGGATACTCGGGTGAATTTCTTCAAGTCCCAGCGGGGGATTTTGACGACAACGTAGTCGAGCGAGGGTTCGAAGCAGGCACAAGTCTTTTTCGTGACTGAATTGGATATTTCGTTCAGCGGGATCCCCAGTCCGAGTTTGGCGGCAATAAATGCCAGCGGATATCCTGTCGCTTTCGAGGCTAAAGCTGAAGATCGAGACAATCGGGCGTTCACCTCTATAATGCAATACTCCTTGGAAAAAGGGTTGAGAGCGTACTGGATATTACACTCTCCCACGACACCCAGATGGCGAATCACATTGACAGCTGTGGTTCGTAGCATGTTGTAATCTTCATCCGACAGAGTTTGTGAAGGGGCAACGACGATCGAGTCCCCTGTATGGATCCCCAGGGGATCAAAATTCTCCATGTTGCAGACTGTTATGCAATTGTCGCGGGCGTCTCGCACGACCTCGTATTCGATCTCTTTCCAGCCTTTCATGCTCCGCTCAATAAGTACTTGCGGACTTGCGGCGAATGCTTTTGTGCATAACTCGCGCAGCTGGTTTGGATCCTCAGCAAATCCGCTGCCAAGTCCCCCCAGTGCGTATGCAGCTCTGACAATCACAGGAAACCCAATATCTTGAACGACTCGCATTGCCTCTTCCAGACTGGAAGCGGACGCTGATTTGGCGCATTTTTCTCCAATTGACTCCATGCTTCTCGCGAAAAGCTCACGGTCTTCGGTGGTGATGATAGTATCGATTGGAGTCCCCAAAACTTGAACCCCGAGAGCTGCAAACTCGTCCTTGAGCTGGATACCAACTTGTAGAGCAGTTTGGCCACCAAACGTGCAGTAAATCCCGTCCGGCCTCTCATATTTGATGACTTTGCGAACAAAGTCTGCGTTGACGGGCAAAAAGTACACCTTGTCAGCGAGACCTTTGGAGGTTTGTATAGTGGCAATGTTCGGATTGATCAAGACGGTGTAGATTCCTTCCTCCTTGAGAGCTTTGATTGCTTGACTGCCGGAATAATCAAATTCTCCTGCTTGGCCGATGCTTAGACCACCGCTTCCGAGGACAAGGACTTTCTTCACCGTAACACGAGGATGTGCTCGATCGTTCTCATCAATCGTTCCACCTGGGAAGGATACGGGGCGGAGTAGATAATCAACAGATTCAAGACTCTTCATGATTGCATCAATAAAGACATCAAAGAGGAATTCGGTGTCTCGGGGTCCAGGTGTAGACTCAGGATGAAACTGCACGCTAAAGTATGGTCGAGATACGTGTCGGATCCCTTCATTGCTGCCATCATTTGCGTTCACAAATAATTCTTCCCATCCTTCAGGGAGGGTCATGGACTCGACGGCGAATCCGTGGTTCTGTGAAGTAATGTAGCATCGTCCAGACAATAGGTTTGTGCAGGGGATGTTGTGGCCACGATTACCAAACTTCATCTTCAACGTCTCAGCACCGGCTGCGCGAGCAAGTAATTGGTGACCAAGACAGATGCCAAAAATGGGGGTTCGGGCTTCCTTCAAAGCCTCTGAAATGTGCTTGATAGTTGTTGAGAGCATTGCGGGATCTCCGGGGCCGTTGGAGATGAACAATCCATCGTAATCTTTTCCAGCAAGGGCCGGAAAGTCATAATCCCATGGCACCACCAGAACCTCCACCCCTCGAGATAACAGACAGCGAAGTTGATTGTACTTGAGACCGACATCGACAACCACGACGCGAACAGGACGTCCAGAAGGATGCAGCAGAGCTCGTGTAATGGGAGGCGAGATAACTCGGGGCTCCTTCACAGATACCTCTGCCACAAGATTTCTCTTGTTCTGATCATGCCACTCCACTCCCTCAACTTGATCTTGCCAGTTTTGCGGGCCCATCACTACGTCTCCATTTGATAGCCCACCAGGGTTGATACCATTGGAAAGCTTTGATTTTGGAGAGGGTCGTGACTGAAGCATACGGCCAAGCATGCTTCCTTCTTCTCGTATTCTCTTTGTCAGAGCTCTGGTGTCGACGCCACACATTGCCGGAACACCCTGTTCCTGCAACCAGGCGCCTAGAGAAGATTTAGCCAGGTGATGAGAGTAGCTCTCACCGGCATATGAGGCAACTACCAGGCCTCCAATGTGGATCTGGTTGGATTCGAAGTATTTGGGAAGATCGCCCAGCAGCTCATCCAAGGTGTCTCTCGAGGGTACACCATAGTTGCCGACTAACGGAAAAGTAATGACTAGGATCTGTCCGCGGTAGGAGGGATCAGTGATAGACTCTGGGTAGCCGACCATACCGGTCTGGAAGACGAGTTCTCCAGAAACGCTTTTGTTGGCACCGAAGCTCAGGCCTTCAAACACCTGACCATCCCGGAGCTCAAGGTAGACCTTGGGTTGGTCACCATTAAAGGGCTGAGGTGTTGCCATAGGGTTGAGAGCACCCAAATGGTCTCCATCGATCTGAATGGTCGGGGAGAGGGGACCATCGGCGCTGCTTATTCCAACAGAGGCTGCAACCGTTGGGCTTTGAGGTAGATTACTGTCTCTGGATACTGGGCGATGACCATCGGTGTTCGAAGGGATTGACCGATTCATGATGAAGTAAGAGGACTGCTGTCAGCGCAGCAGGGCGACAATCAAGGGCACATCTGAAGCGTATGGCGGCGGTAGGGATCAAGTTATGTACGAAGAAGTGCCAACTTCGGAGCTGTATGAAACAAGAGAAGATCAAATAGCATGATATTGCTGTTCCAGGAGAAATTGAGACACTTGGACAGTGCTGAGAAAGTCCTTTTTTGATGCCAAGCAATTTTTTTTCTTGTCACCCAATCAGGGGACGGAAGTGGCCGTGGCTCTCCGCTACTTACTGCAGGTGCCCGGCTTTGGGTCCAAGGGGCCACCCGATGGGATTCGAATTTTTTCAGACCTTGCATCACTCCTTTGCCTCATGATTTCCCTGGCACGCTTGGTAAAGAGACGATGAGAGGAGCGGGTAGTTAGTATCAAGACATACAGGCGACAGCAGGTGATAAATCGGCATGACAGAATGTCGAGGTTATAGCATTGGATACCAATGAAACCCATACCATGCCATGCCATGCACATGCTTAGACACCCACTGCGGCTTCAACCTTTCAATGTTATTTGGTGCTGGGTTCATGGGCTTCAAGTGATCGAGGATCCAATGTTGCTACCCCACGCTGCATCCCCATGACCTCTTGCATAAGCGGCTCTAAGCGTGCAAGTCACCCTCGGCATCTGGTAGGCGACCCCCAATCACAAGCCTGAAATGTACAAACTCCCATCCCCAAAGAGCCTTATCTGCAGCCCGTTTCCCTGATGTCACCAAACGTTCGCCTGCGCCCATCGCTTGTGCCACAACTGACGACTCGTCTCACTGATACAATCACCGTGATCGCCCATCAAATTCCACCCTCCCACATTCTGTACCGAGTACATGCAGATGGAATCCCGTGTGTCTTGATGCAATTGTTGCTTGCAGCAAGCCATGGGCCACCCCACGACTGCTGCTAGTGGTAAGGTTCAGGGTTCTTCTACCAGGCCAAAGCGGGACTGGCAGGGCGCACCTGCGCGCTGTTTACCACTCGCATTGTGCTCCCTCTGCTCGTGCAAACAGAATATCCCGCATGCCTCGACGCTGCTATCAGAGACTCACCGACAAGTTCCTCACCCGTCCCTCCCCCTACTCTTTCTTCTTGTTCTCTGGCTCGTTGGTGGTTTTCTGCTGCTGTTCAAAATGACTATCTAGGATTGAGACGTGTTTTCTGTTTCTTTTTCAGTCCGGGGTCGCAACAATTTGTTTACGCGTCTTGCATTCTAATTTACCTATCCATTGCCTGATCGACTATCGCCCACCGCCCACTGTGCGCCACAACTTCCTGGTGGCTTATTGGTTCGATTATGATTTCTTTCTCTCTGACACGCGCTCTCCGAAGCCAGAGGCGGCGGGAACGGTCACCTTTCTCTTCAACCTACACTCGAACCACACAGTCCCCCGAGGCTTCACGCCGCCCAATTCGAAGAATTTGGAGGCGACCTTCCCTACACGACCGTGTTCCCTTTTCTCAAGAAGACCATGATCAAGACATCGACGACGAAGGAGACGGGTCTGAAGATGTCGAAGAAGACGACGACCAAGAGGAGGAAGAGGAGGTACCCACTGAAGATGGGGAAGAAATTGACAACGACGACGAAGACGACGAAGACGGGCCTGACGATACGACGCCCCTCCTTCCCATATTTTCGGCCGCTCGTCTCGATGCCATCCCCGTCTTTGCCCTCACGCACGCCATCCGTTTGTTGGTGAGCTCCCGGTGCGATACCGTCTTGACCTGGGAGCAACTTCGGGCTCCCCAAGTCTCGCAATTCCTGGTCAAGCCTATTGAACAGGAAATCCGACGCAACCATCTGAACGCTGCTACGCATTGTGCTCTCATGGCAAACTGCCTTCAGTATAGCAAAGAGGCAGCTATGTCCTCGGGTAATAGTGGGACAAACAAAACCCGTGCAATGGTCTGTGAGCTGGTGGCCATCAAGCTTCTCAAGGACTTTTCCACGAGAGAGCTGATTGACGCATTGTCCTATGACTTTGATCCTCTTCAAGGGCAGTTGGACGCGATGCCTCAGACCGAACACGAACGAAGAAACACAGCAAGCTCAAAAAGGCCGGCTCAACGGCCGGCAAGGATCTCGTGCTTTGAGATTGCCATCCGCGCCCAGGCTAAAATGTTTCTCTCCCATCCCATGGTAGTGAAGCAGCTTGAGGCAATATGGGCTGGCACAATCGTGTTCCACTCGGCGGCCGACAGTCTGCATAGACCGGTGCCTACAATGAGTCGATCGAGAGGTTACGGCACAAATGATGGTGGCTTATCAGCAAAGTCCGCTCCTATCCACCCTAATTCTTTTACACCAAGACGAGCCGTCACGCTGTACGATCCTCGGGATGCTTCTCTTTTCAAGTTGTCCCGGTTGCGCGTTCCTCGATACCGCAACATACTATCCACCTTGTCCTTTGCTGTTCTCCTGAGCTTGTTTGTCGCCGTGCTCGTTCAGCGCTCTCTCGAGATCACGACGCTCGAAGTTGTCTTCTGGTTCTGGGCTGCCGGCTATATGCTCGATGAGATCGTTGGATTCAATGAACAAGGATTCAGTCTCTACATTGCTAGCTTCTGGAACACTTTCGACCTGGGAATCCTCCTCATTCTCGTCATCCACCTGGCACTGCGACTCTACGGGATTCTCATGCCGGATGTCAGGAAACACATGGTAGCCAACATGGCCTACGACGTCCTTGCGGCCGACGCTATCCTACTCTTTCCGCGACTGTTTTCTGTGCTGGACCATTACCGCTATTTCTCACCGCTTCTGATTGCCTTTCGATACATGGCAGTGGATCTCATCGCCGTCTCACTACTCATCCTGATCAGCTGTAGTGGGTTCTTCGTTGCACTCACCTTGTCATTTGGCAACGATGGTATTGACACTCCTAGTTCGGTGGCTTATGCTCTACTACAAATGCTCATGGGTTTCACGCCAGCCGCTTGGGATCGATGGGATGGCTACAATATTCTGGGAAAGATGATTTTGACTTTGTTCCTGTTCATCTGTCACTTCCTCGTAGTCACCATCCTGATCACTGTACTGACCAATTCCTTTATGGCTATTGTCCGAAATGCGAGTGAAGAGCACCAGTTCTTGTTTGCGGTCAACACCATTTCTCACGTCAAATCGGATGCGCTCTTCTCTTACGTCGCACCAACGAACATCCTACAGTGGCTTCTGGTCCCTCTCAGGTACTTCGTCCCCTTCCGTCAATACGTCAAGATCAATCGGACCATCATCAAGATTACCCATTTACCCCTGCTGTTCTCGATCTTACTGTACGAAAAGACCATTATGCAGTCTACCGTCTATGACAGTATCGATCTTGTCGAGCGACGAGGGCGTGTGAGAAGAACCACAAAATTTACGCGACTCAACCGAGCACCTTCCATTGCTACCTTTCGCCAGGACAGGGCTCTAGAAGAAGTGTTCAGGCAGCCTTTTGACAGTACCGTTAGAAATGCTCATGATAGTCGAGACCGGCGCAAGGCTAGTAATGTGGTTAGCACGTGGATGAATAAGATGGGTGACGACGTGGCAGACCCGCCGCAGGAGCAAGACCGGCAAGTTGTCGATAGGCTCGAGGCTAAGGGAACGATATCTCGCAGACCGCGCCGCGTCAGCCGAGCTCGCGACTTTTCTCGCCAAACCATGTCAGTCGCATCTGACCCCGAGGACTTCACGACCAACCAAGGCTTCTTATCCCCAGCCGAGACAAATCCCTTACAGATCACACCCTCAGCATTGGAACAGCCGGCGGGCAACACCGATGCGGAGGGAGATGATGAAATGCCGACACATGATGATGGTGATGAAGAGGAAACCACAACACTTGAGCACCGGTCACAGAGTGATACAGAACCGGAACAACACAACACTATCCCTCCCATCCCAGAACATCCGGACTATTTTACAAGTAAGCAGGCTTCTGGAGACTCTGTCCCTGAAGCAAATCACTTCCTTGCACCGGTTTCCCAAGTGAAGCTGGAAAAGCCCCGATCGGGTACCGATTCGCCTTTGCGACGCCTTCCCGAGGAGCAGGCTCGTCATCATTCCCGCAATGTGTCGGCTGCGACCATGATTTTTAAGCCCATGACGGATTCCAGCACGGAACAGACTTCGTCGGTTGAAGAGGGCAAAGTTGCACCATCCAGGGCGCATATTTCAGCACCTGGATCAGGGGCTCGCACTCCTGTCTCGAAGCTTGGGTCTAGTGGTGCGGGGCATAGAACGCCAAAGCGAGCGGCAGGTCCAACTCGAATGCGACCAACCCTTCCCACCAAAGACGAACAGGGTTTCCGGTCGACGCCCAATTTGGCAGGGTTAGTGTCACTTAAACCCCCACCGGCTCAAGTGCGGCGAAAACCGTCCCTCGAAATGGATCTGGTGTCGGATATTGGTGACAACAGAGCAATCGGCGGAGGCTATGTGGGAGCACTTCCAAGCTCATTTGCGGTTCACATGGTGAAAGGAACAATCGAGTCACGCCATGAGAAAGAAAAGAAGGACCAGCAAGAGATATTTACAAAAATCATGATGGCGCGCATGAATGCCCTTGAAGAGAGCTTCAGAGAGGTAATTCATGAGATGAGAGACCATATGAGACACGATGATGTGAGGAGCAGGAGCCGTGGAGCGGGGGCACAGACGAGTGGCCGAAAGGCAAGGACCCGGGAGGAGGAAGTTGATCGAACACTCCCGGCAAGCAATTATGCAGGGGCTACTACACCCCGAGCGAGGTCGCCCGCCAAGGGGGCAGAACCCGTGCGAGTCCAGCAATACAGTACAGAAGGGGAGGACGGGCGAAGTGAAGAACAAGATGCGAGGACGCAACCACCCTCCACTTGAGACTCACCTGGGGTTGGTTTTGGAAAGCCTTGAATGCGGTTCCACACCAGACTCAACGGCGGGAAGACATCGATATCACTTTTACCTGTAAACGAGTATATACCCCTGATATATCGGACATA